CACGATGTCTCAATTATACTCGACTTATATTCGCGCACGGTCTTCGAAACACCTCGCGATTTTTTGCGCCATGCGCGCAAATATCTTATCGATCGGTTTTGCGCAATTGATTGACACACGAGACGATATTTATGCCGTACAAGGTGCGCACACCGGGCGCTACGTGAGGCTTTTTCTAAATTTGTTCAAATATAAATCTCCGTGACCCAGTATGTGCGCGCAATCCGTCTCATTCCTTTGCGTAACCGGCCGCCGCCACCGCGCTGTTCGCGCATAATTTTATCCCCTTTCTCTTTTGCAGACGCTTTTTTCAGGTGGACGCCCACTTTTGCATGGCTCTCGCTAATCGGTTCGTAGAATAGACACGTCCCTCTCACACCCGGCGAATAAATCTATTCGATCTCGCACGGCTGATTTATACGTCAATTGTTCAAGCTGATTTACAGCGCAACGTATTTCACGTTTACCGTTCAATCACGATGCTGTGATTTATCGTGAAAAGAATTGCGCTTCTCCCGACGGAAATCCACGAGGCATTCATCGCCAGACAGGAGGAGAATGCAGGCCCAGCATCTGCTATCACAACAAGGTAAAGACATTCGTTGTGGAATCATCAGGCGCATCGGCATCATTCTCGCCTGCGTCTGCGAGATGTTAGCCGCTGAGTAAACAAATTCCACCGGGTAATTTCCGCTTGGAAACGAAACATCGTGCGCGTTACCGGGGAATATACCGGCGCGATCGTAACCAGAAGTACCAAGGACAATCGGCATTCGCTTCACGCCTGGCTAATGCTTTCGGCATAAGCGTAGTCTCGGGACGATCTGCGGCTGAAGAAGGACACCACCGCGCCTTTAAAAGGCAGTGACTCTAGTGAGTCACACGTTTTCTCCACCCTTGTTCGATCGCGGGCAAAATGCGTCACGAACGCGATCGCGGGATTTGAAATTAGGACCATCTATGGAAAAATTAGTTACGTCATTGAATTGGAGGAGGAAGGACCAGGTGACGAAAACTAAGTGATAAGAAAACCTGGTTGAAGTTTGAAGCGATATTTGAACGAAAATCAGAGATGATTTTTTTTCTCGAAGGAAACTTGAATATGAAAGCAAATATATGCGAAAAATGATAAAATTGTTAAAATAAACAATTATAAGATAAGCAAAAAAAGAACAAATAATGGTCTGTTACCACGACCGAAGACATTCGTCTGCACTAGGAAAAATTATAATTATTTTCAACACCAATTATACCCTTCTATTGGTTTCAACTAGTAAGGTTATCATTGATAATAAAGTAATATTTATTATAAATGAAAAAAAATTTTTTTGAATTTAATGTACATGTTTGTTTAATATAAACAACATAATTTAATATCAAACATTATTTTGTTTCAATAGAAATATTGTTTCACTGGAACAAATCATGTTGTTCGTTCGAAAAATAATATTATTTAAAAGAAATAATATTTCGTTTTCGATAAAAAGAATTATTTTATTATATGTTAAATATTGCCCCATTGAAACACAAAAGAGTTTTTAAATATTTTTCTAACATAATTATAATGTTACTTCTTTCAAATTATGTAATGTTACTTCATATATGTTACTATATATAATGTTACTTCTTTCAAATAATTTATTGCTTGTGACAACTATTGTAACGTATTTCAGTGAAAACACACAAAAAATATGCTATTTGACGTGAAGATATTTACTGTTTGAGAAATCAAACAATCATGTTTGTTGATTAAAATATTTGGTTGTTCGTTTACTCTACTTCAAAAGAGAAACAAATTTGTTTCAATTAAAAAAAAAAATTACTAGATTCAAAGAAATCTTTCCCTGTGTAGAAAAATGGTTTTCCTGACTATGATTCTTTTACTATATATGTATAACATTACAGTTGCAAAATTCTAAATATTTTTCTCTCAGTGTATTAACACCAACGATAACAGCTGCATCCGAGAAACTTAAATTGGGCGATCCCCGCGCGATTAACGCATTATCAACGCGTGACGCGTTTAGATAGATCCTCCTAAAATATACATGTGCTCGTCCTGCGTTAGTCATTGTTAATATTTGACGTTACGCTGCACCGTTTTCGATAACGGTCTCGCATCATAAAATAGCGCGGCGACGCATTGTCACGTAACGCAAGCAGCAATAAAAATCCACACGGTAACGTTCTCCTTATTTACACGCTCGCGACTTTATCGCTCTCTCGACTGCCTCCGCGCGACACATACACACACACGCACGCGCGGTGTAGAATAATCGCGGCTAGATAAACCGGAGAAGAGTTTTCCAGCGGTTTTCCGGGGGTGAAGCGAAACCGCGGTGGCGGCGGTGACTATAATAACTGCGTCCGCGGGTTAATTGTACAATTAACAATCTCTGTAAGCGTTGTCGCGCGATGATTTACGACTCTCTTGAGCGAGCGCGCAATTAATAACACAAGGAGAACGGAGAGGCGCACTCTGACCGCGCTATACGCATCCGCCGCTGCACGTGATACCTTGAAGAAAGCGCGTAACAATAGCAAGTCATCATTTGTGGACAAGAAAAGGGGTCGAAAGCAAATAAGATTCTGTCCCGATGAATATTCACCCCCCGCGAACTTTGTGACCCGACCGTGCACTGACAGGGAAAATATTTAGTATTTGTAACTATAATCAGCATAGTGAAATAAATATAGTTAAAAAGAACCACTTTTCTAATAAGTGTTATTGTCAGTGATAATAAGCGTTTCTAATAAGTGTTGATATTAGTGATAATAACATACATACCGCTGCTATTATTTTTGAGGTTAAAATCATTAAAAAGGATATAGTTCAGACTGAAAAGAACTACACAGAAGAAAAAGCGCTGATATCAAATAATATTTATATGATCAAAGTGAAAATTGGCTGAGGAATTTTATAATAATTATTTACTTGAGTCTAGCACTTCTTTCTATATATAGTCTTCCTGTCTACAGTGTTTTGCATCGAGAAAATCGAAGAGTTGTTAATTAATTAATTCGATATAAAAAATCTTTACACGGGGAAAATTTTATATTGCAAAAATCACTATAGATTTTTGTCTCTGGGGATTACGTCGACATTTCGCCTGAATTGTCCTCCTGTTTTACATACGTTGTACTTATATTTTAGAAACTGAAATGTACAATTTTACAAAAATGTTATTCCTTAGAATTTCTCCAGAATTTATCATGTATCTCAGCAAGATATATTCTACCGAGGGTTTATTCTTACATCTCTGGAAAACATGATAACATTGGGGAGGATTTCATATGAAGAAGGAACTGTGATATTCTCTTCGTGTAATTCTCTTCGATATAATTTGTCTGAGCAACTCTCTTGGTGAAAAAGCGAATCGAAGTTCCACGGAGACGGACTCGTTCGAGGACCACGGCGAGAGAGAGTCACGTCTTTTGCTTAGCACCGCGACGCTTGTCCGCGGGATTCTGCGGGGCACGTGACTCGCTCGAGAAATGCGGGCGGGTTGCGGATTAGCAGCGGAGGCCCGTATTAATGCGGCTCGCGTTTATAATTTTAGATATTAATTCCGCGAGAACGAGGCTGGGGCGATAAGACGCGGCTGAAAAATCGAGAAACGGGTGAATGTCAGGATTACGACGCGCCGAGCCTCTCTGTCGCAAGCGACATCGAATACGCGTCGCGCATGTTATCACGAAAGATTCCCTGTGTCGCCGGCGCGTATCGATAGATTCAAGTTTATCTAACGGACGTGTGTGTGCACGTGTATGCGTCTTTCTGTTTGTCGGTCGCGTGTGCATCTGCCTTTTATTCTTGCAGCGCCGGCGTTTTCCACGTACGGCTTTCTTACGCCTCCTCGTCGGCACACGGGGGACGAATGCGCTCTTCCGAGAAGCCCATTACGCAATTCGACGCGTCGCGTTTCCGTTCGCATGGCGAATTTTTATCGGCAAATTTTTTTACACACGCGAAAGAAAACGGAAAGACAAACGTCGTTTCGCGACGTGCGTCGTTCGACAAACGAGCGCGCGCGCGCAATTCGCGCGAATTCGCGGCTTTCGTCGTGTAATCTGCGCTTCCGGCTATCATAATATATAACTTCAGACTTATCGGTGTGTCGTGCCTCATTATCTAGGCGTGAGTGCGTGAAACTTCGTCGTTTCTTCTTTCTCGTGTACGAAGCTCGCAACGACAACGACGTCATCGGATCATCCTATGAAATGCGTTATCGTGGAATTACGAGATATGTATAAATAAAGCTCAAAGCACTATCGCGATTACCACGTGTTCTAACTTGTTGTGCAATGTGCACTCGCGCGAATGCGCTCCCCCATAGAGAAACTCGATCTATCGCGCAACATCGTCCGCGATCTCTGCAACCGTTCGTGTCGCATGATTTACGAACGCGCTCGACGACCAGTGCGATTTACGACCGTGCAGTCCGGTCATCAATTAGAACCGTCCTCGTGAAAGAGAAATTGTACACGAGAAAAATCTTACTTTTTATAATCGAACAAAGACCAGATGAAAATTCAGTGGCAAGAAATATTATCTATATTACCACGACCGATTTGTACGAATATTCGGCTGTCTTAAGACTCGGTTGAGTCTACGAGAGCAATTGACCAAGTAGAAATCTCCTACAGGAATCTTCCCGTTCCTACAACCGAGTTTTCGTCAGATCTTCAGCCAACGGAAAATTCAGTTATGCCTCGGAATTGTTTCTCCGTGCTCAGCGATCGTTTAATTCCGAAGTGCTCCGCATTCAAAAAGTTAAGTATCGGTATTGTAACCCCATCCCCATATTTCCTCGGTGCAAAAAATCGAGGTAAATTTTTAGCAGTGTCGCGAAAAAAAGTAGTGCTGTCTCAAATGGTATTTGACTCACGAATAAATTTACTCGCTCACTTTGTACGCACGCGAAAGAAAGAAAGAGAGAGAGAGAGAGAGAGAGAGAGAACGAGCGAGGCGCACCTTCGGAGAAGTCATTAGGCCTCACCTTGTTGAGAAGAGTGGGATTGTGCAGCTCGTCTAAGGAAGGTCTGTGAGCTGCTTGGATGCTCATGATGTTCCTGTAGTTGTCTAACCTGGGCAAGGCTTCCCTGGTCATGTGCCTGAGAGACTTCTTCGTCTCCTGCTCGCCTAGAAGACTCGCCCGTCCTTCGAGACTGTCGACTCGGTTCACGTGAAATCTGGTTCTCCTCAAAGGATTCAATTCCACCGTCTCCGAGTCGGTGTCCACACCGTTTATCCCGTTCTCGTGTGCCATGTCTCCGTTTCTTTGTCTCTTCTTCAGCTAATAATGTTTCTTCTTCTTCTTCCTCTGGTAACACGAATGTCCGGAGAACGTGCCGCCACTCGATAGCTTGAGAATCGAGCGGCCGGACGTACAATGGCCGATCAAACGGCAATCTAATTTCTCTCCGGTTTCCTCGGGAATTTATTGATTCGTCAGGGCGGCTGTCCGATAACAATAGTCACGGCCACCTGTTGACAATCGTTAAATGTTAATGTACGCGGGACAGACATACGCGGGATAAGCAAACTTAAATATCACCTGCCCGCATTTCGTATCATATGGTAATTCTGCGCGAGCGACGTTACATATAATTGTGCAGAATTTAATTATTTTATTTTGCAATTAAAAATTTTGTAATTTAATAAACTTTGTAATTCAATTTTATAGTTTACATAATCTTGCAATTCAATATAATTATAATTCATAACTTAAAATAAGGTCGTTCTTCATGAAACGGTGCAGTTCTAAAAATACGTTTCGAGCCGAGTTTGCATTTGCAACGTGACTCAACGATGTTGCATCATAATAGCCAACACATTGAGTTCATTTTCATGATTGCAAAGTGTAAGGAAAAAGGTAGAAATAGAACTACACCGCACCCATTGCCAAGTTGAATCGTGCAACTTAATCGACCTGACATAATGTTTAATTAAGCTTAATCAAATATGCTCTGGTATCCTGGAGCAACACCTATGTCTATATTTGAGGATCGGCCGAAATATCTCGAAACGTGGGAAACAATAAAGCGCCGAGGATTTCGTTGACTGTGATAACGGACGCGATCGGGCGTATTTCTTACAAGACGTTAAATTGCCGATTTCGATCGCGATAAGAATCCCTTTGATGCGAATTTTATTTTAGAAAAAAATCACTCGCAACAATTTACACACACACACACACACACGTCTGCGCATCGCGAAAGTCAATTAAGATTCATATCGACGGCAATAACGCGATGGTGTGTATTCATGAAAAGCAATTTATCATTAATGAAGAACGATGTTCGACGCTCAAATTAACACTCAACTTTGCGGCTTATCCTTCGCATTGTTCTCCTTCTGAGAAACGACGTGGGAGGAGGTTCCAGACGAAAGATTCAGGGAGTTCAAGGTAAGAAGTCACGAGGTGGTGATCGCGGCCTTGCCGGGTTCGCAACAATTAAGTAACGAGCGTCGCGTGGGTGCGCCAATTATGAAATTACCTTTATCACCGCGGGTGGTTCGAGCGCGCGCGGATATCGTCGGTCCCTGGTGGGTTAATGCACGAGTTATCTAATTAATTCACGAACAAATTGCGCCTTTGGCGCACCGTCTTCCGCGTCCGTGACACGTCCGTGCGCGCGTTCCCACGCGAACGCACTGAGAGAAAAGATCGGCAGTTTTGATCGGAAACCGTTCAAGCAATTATCCAAACAATTTTCGGGCTTTCCATCGAAATATCCAGTTGCGACACGATACTTTACTTCGAATAACATCCGGATTTTTCTCTCAGCGTAGACGTAAGTGGCGGCGTTTCCCGGCCAACCTATTGTCGAATCATTGTCATTACGATGAGATTACCAAGCAATTTGTCCTTAATTGCAGCAAAAGGATTTACGGTGCGGGCGCCTCCCGATGTGTGAACGACCGACCGAGCCCTGGAAATTATTTTAAGCGCGAAGCTTCTCCGATGAATCCTCGCGCCTCTGAAAATATAATTTCCTTTTCCACGAGGAAAAAAACAACTTTCAGTTCGCGTGACTGAGTGGGGATCTCAAAAATTGAAAATTGAAAAAGAAATCCGTCATTAACCCAGTAAAAACATTTTGTACCTGTGTTAAAATCGGTTATTGTTCATATTTTCATTAAATTTGTTTAACATATCCATATTCATTTAATATACCGTGTTTATATTACCTCTATATTTTATGTTGAGTCGATATTCAACATGCGTAAGTGTTAAAATAACACATTTTATACTTCAGTGTCGATTAACATATTATGGATATTAATTTTGTATCAATTTTTTAAATAAATTTATGTTATTCTTCGACATGTTCACCATATGTTAAATTAACATAAAAGTTTGTGTGAACCGTTCGGAACATGTGAAATTTAACATATAATTTTTTACTGCGTACAATGATCATGCGGATGGCAAGTGTCATCTATGTGCACTAAAATGCATTTTCCGAAAAATACTATCAGGTAACCACATTTTGCTTCCGTGAATTTGTCAAGCATGAACTGCTCTCGTCCGTCTTTTATGATCTCCTATGATCGTCATTTCCATATGAATATTATTACTTGCTAAAAGCGATTTTTTTTTTACTAAAAATGTCAATTTTAAATGAAGGACTCTTGTCATCCGGACGATCACCCGTGTTGCACTCTAAGTACGCGACTAACGTCACGTTTTCGGATGTGCAACATTGATTGTTCCAGCTCGCAGTCGCATACCGGATATGCAAGAACTGTTCCGACCTTAATTTCAATGGCGGATTCCGCGACGAATTCATCGCGAATCGCAAGCTCTCGCGACATACGAGATCGACTGACGACGCGCACGCGATCGCTGGTACGCCGCTCGCTGTTGTGATAGCCGATCAATCTCGCGCGAATGAGGCGATTAATTAATTCGACAGATTGTCGACATCTCAATTTGGTTCGCGTACGTCGAAAAGCACACAAGTGTTGCACGCGACGGCGGTCCCTGATATCTCTAATTCCTTCTCTCTTTCTCTTTTTTTTTCATTGTGCGATGATTTGCATCGCGCACCAAGAAACGGAAGGCCGCGTGAGTGTTGAGATATCTTAATTAGCAGCTAAGTAAACCGATCTAAAATGTGCGCGCGAGATCGAACGTGTTTTCCTTGCTCCGGCGATGGCGCCTCGTGCTTGGCCGCGCGCCGAGCGGATGCGGAATATTGTCGGGAGCGCTTTTATAAGGCCGTCGCGGCGCCCGCGAGACGCGCAAGCGGCGAGATAAGTCGTCGTAGTTAGACGATTTATTCGGCGGATTGCACCGACGCTAAGTATCGTCGAACGACCAGTGTCCGCAGCTGGACTTCGCCCCGGTGAACTTGAACTTGAAACCGCGAGAACCCGTTCTGCCCGCGTATCGAATATTTCGGATACCTGCGTCGCGATACAAACATTGCAATCAATTATAATAAAGAAAGACCAAAGCTACATGAAAAAAATTAGTATCGATTCAAGACTCATATTCTCGTATATAAGCAAAAATATGTAATCTTAAACGGATCTTAATTCCATTAAAAATACCATATTTTTTTTATTCAAGAATAATTTTTATGAACTGAGAGGAAAAAATGTCGCAAAGATATCGGAGAGGAAATATTAAGAGGAAAGAATTATTGTACGCGATACAAAACAATAAATTATATAAAAAAATGTAATAAATGTAATAAATTATAATAAAAAAAGACAAAAAACTACACGAAAAAGAAATTAATATAAATTAAAGATTGATATTTTCATACATAAGCAAGAATATATCATCTCCATGTAAAAGCAAGTTTTATCTTCATATAAGACTACATATTTTTACTTGTATATGAGAATATGAGTCTTGAATTGATACCAATTTGTTTTCTGTGTTTGTACAATTATGCGCATGACCGGTACCGGCGGACATCGTCGTGATTCATCATCGCCGAATCAATTAATTCACGCGGGGACAATTTGCATCGACAAAATTAGCCGACGGCGCCACATAATTGCACTAAATCTTCTCGGTTTAACAATAATGTCATTGAAACCGATAAACTCGGCTCATTAAGCAACGTATGATGCACTAGCTTCAGTAACATTCGAATGAAGGAAGATTTACTCCGGTTATGACGCCGTTGGGTAATTTTGTTGATACAACAACGTGCCTTTATCCGTTGAGCGGCTTCTCGCTTGTCGAAAAGCGCATCACCGGAAATGAATTTCCTCGCAAGAAGCAACACGACGTGACGCGACAGAATCACTTCTCCGGCATATTCTTGACGATCGCCGGTCGCGCGCGCACGACGATAAAATATGCCAATCGTTAAATCTCGCGTCGTACGGTACACTAGGTAGTCGAGTAGGTATCACGAGTCGCATCCGTGATTTTCAAATAGCGACGACTTCTACATCGTTGTCGTCGCCGTCGTTGTTCAAGAATACAATGGCGTATGAGGAATAATGTAATGCCTATGGATGGATGTCGATATGTATATATAACTTGCAGACAAATTTTTCAAAATCCATTGAAAATTCCCCGAGAATTCCAGATTTTTCAGGTTTTATTAGGTAGTAAACACCCTGGTTACAGCAATAATTTTTGAATACAGACATTATGTGAATTGGATTCTAATTTTGCATAATGAATTTGTAGAGAACAGAGAAAGAGAGAGAGAGAGAGAGAGAGAGAGGGACCATTAAATCGCGATTTCGCGTTTTCCAGGCCGCCGTGGAGGAACGGCGGTGCGACGATCCTCGACGAACGATTTCTACCCCCTGCGAGAGCGCGCGCGATTAAATCTCGGCGCAACCGAATCTACCGAAGAGCGGTTTAAACCGGTTCACACCCGAACGCAAATCCGCGGGCTTAATCGACGGGCATTTTTATTAAAGAGTCTCCGCAGCCACATTCTCGTTCTAAATCACAGACGTTAACCAATCCGGTATGGATTTGTGCAAACCGGTTTGGGATGAGAGCTCGGGCGGTGTTACTCAACGATCCATCGCGAGATTAGGATACAACGATTCGTTAACTCGCATCTTTTTTTTTTTATCGACGTAAATAAAAAAACCCGTCGGGAGGAAATTTTTCTGAGAAGATTGGACGCGAGCCAGAAGTCGAAGTCGGATCGAGTTTTGCGGGGGAAAAAGCAACCTCGACAACCATGGACGACGACCATGCGGTCCTCGTACACACGTCCGCTCGCATATTTTTTTTTTTACGGAAATATTCATTGCGAGCAACGAAGCGTCGCGAGCATCGGCGGGGCTCGGTCCCATCGCCGAAATATCTACGAGCGAGATGTTTTTACTCTAGCCGATCGTGGCTATTGTATATTCTATCGTAAAAAAACACGACTATAAAAGAAATAAACTGTATTTTTTGAAAGCGCGGACTAGACGTTAGAATCGCAGTTGACGAGTCAACGATCGATAAAGTATCGAGATTTATGTCTTGTATGGCCGGTGTTTATAGTCGGATTTTATATTTAAGATTTATCTTAAGTTCATCTTTAGATGCAGTATGGCTCATTTGAATGGCTATAAAAGAAGAAGATAGACTTAAAGACGGTTTTAAATATAAGATCTGACTATAAATACAGGGATTACAGAGATTATTAAATATAAGATATTTTTAAATATAAAAGATTTTATATTTAAGATCGTTTCAAGTTCATCTTCAGATACTGTACGGATTATTTCATTGACAACAAAGCATCTGAAGATGAATTAGAAATGATCTTGAGTACGCAGAGAAAAATATCATTCATACCGCTGAAAAAAATTACTCAGTTTATTGTCATCTTTTTAAGTAATAGTTATCCTTGATAAAGAATATTTTCTTGATAACAGTTTTAAAATGTACTCACTTGTAAAGTTTAACGAAGTAGTTTATCACGTGTTCAAAAGAAAAATTTCTCTCTTCAAGAATAGAGAAATTTCAAGAAAAGAAAAATTCTCTTTTCAAGAGTATTATAAACTTTATCGAAGAAAAATTAAATTCGGTTAATTTGAATAAGCAAGCCGAAGTTTGCTTTAATTTAATATTTTTGATCGAAGTACTAAATTTACTAGGATTCAGAATATCTTTTGAATAAATTTGATGCATACATCATGAGATATATACTAAAGAAAAAAGACTAAAAAATTTACTTGTGAAATTATTTCGCAGAAATAAACATTTATTTAAATAAGACGAAATAAAATTTAATTCCTAGTAAATAAACCGATTAATAAGAAAACTTGGGTATATTTCGCAAAAATATATATTCCGTCGTAATAGTCGAATTATTTTCTAACCAATAAATATTGAAGAAAATGTCAGAAAGAAACATTTACTTCGCAAAATTTCAATTTCTTTTTCTCAATATGAACGCTGATCTTTCCGTTCGAGAAGATCGATGTTTAGTGAAGTTTTAAGTATCCGAAATGAAATGCAATAATTCAACGAGCGTGGCTCGGGTTATGTGTCTTTGTCAAGAATAAACGAAATACGAACGGTTCTCAGAATCGACTTAGGTTGGAATACATATTTCTCGGAATGACCTGTTGTTTGAAGGATCACATTAGAAGCTAATCCCTTAGGATTAAACCATCGATGATACAACCGGCTGCGGAGATTCGAAAGTTTTAAAGGAAATGTTAAACAGATTCTCCTTCCAGGAAAGAGAGAGAGAATTTGTGTGTTTCTCTGGAGGAATATGAAATGGCCAGATTTTGCTCTTTCGGTTTTTTTGATTCGGTTGTCCCTTAACCTTGTCAATTTGAGTAGTACGTCACCGTTTTGAAAACCTAAATTAGTCACGATATCCCGAGGATTTCGCTTCTACTAATAGTGGCAAGTTGGCCAACTATTTCATAAAGCGACTTTAATTTACGACTTTTCGCTCGGCTCTCTTTCGTCTCCGAGAGCGAAGGCCATGCGCACTACGCCCTAGAAAATAATTTTACGCACTTTCGATTTGCTCTTTTGTCTCGCCGCTACGGCCGAAGGCCGCGCTCTCTGCTCTTTGGGACGTCGTACTTGATCTCGTGAAACGCGCAAAGTATGCACATCGGACGATCAAACAAATATTCGAACAAAATTGATCGGCGAGGCAAAAGGCGCGAAACAAAAGCGTTTCGCGAACCTATGGCATTGACAAAAATTCCCTTTTAAATTCACAAGTTCACACCGGTGTCGAACAAAAAAAAAGAGAGCAACAAAAGAGATTGAAAGAGGACGAGACAGAGCGACGAGAGCGGTTTCGTGCGCCAAGTCTCGCCGCGAAACGGGGAAAAGACGGGCGGACTTTTAAAAATTGCCGGTGCGCTTAGCAACGCCGGCCGATCGCGAACGGTGCCGTGGCCTTTATTGCGAACACGAGCGTTCGTTCGTACACAGGGCCGGTGCGAGGTCGCGGCAAAAGGCGACGTCGCAGCTCGGAAAGAAACCGGCGATCGAAGAAATCGAACGAGAAGCGACGGTTCCAACATCCAGCTACGACCGAGAGGATCGGCCGACGTTAACCCTTTCGCACAGCCCGGTCGAAAAGCGACCGTGCGGCCACCCGAGCGGAATTCAGTGGCGTAAACAAATTTATGTCATACACGGGGAAAAGTAATTCTGAGGTACAGCAGATTTTATACTGCCGAGACAGATATATGAATGTACAGAATGTTTTTTCAAGTTTACCGTCCAATTTAAGAGTTGATTATTTTTGAGATCATTTTATGAAGAAATGAACATATGTTCGTGTGAACTTTTCTTTGTAATAATATCTCAAAAATCAACTCGGAAAATATCGGACAGTACACTGAAAGGAAAAGTATCTAAAGGCTAGAAAAAGATTTATTCGGTGAGTACTAATAACATATTTATTTATACTATTATACACGTTTTTTTACATTAAAAAAAATTCTTTTCAAGTGAGAAAACATACACTTTCTTAAATCTGCAGCTTGTCATGATAGTAATTGTTTATTTTATTTAGAATAATTGAGATAAATTTAGATAAAAGAATTGAGGTTTGAGTAAATATGTTATTAGTAGCCCACCGAATATTTTCTGTTTTTCGATATCTTTTCTCTCAGAATACTTAAAAAGCCTTCTGTATATTTATTTATTTACCATGAAAGCATAAAATTTGCGATTCCTCTGAATTATATTTCTCCGTATATCATCTAAAATGAGGGAGACCAGGACTAATTGGCTAATTGGTTATTCCTGTTATTTTCTAACAGCTTACACGAAGAAAATATTGTAATAAAAATTACCATAAAATGTTGTAATATTACCATACCGGAATTGTAACTGAAATTATTATAGTGTATTGTAATCTTTAATGATGTGTACAATGAAGTACATCGCTAAGGATTGCAACGCACATCATAATTTCATTATAATTCAGATATGGTCCAACATTACAAAATTTTATGGTAACTTTTACCACAATACTATCTTTGTGTACAGAATCGAGTGAGTGGGAATTTCATAACCATCTCTGACATGTTTGAAATCTCTGCTTACTCGATTCTGCAATATGTTAGAAAACAACAGAAATAATTAGCCAACTAACCCCGGTCCTCCCTATTCTCCCCTACGTCGGCATAAGTGAAGTAATTTCAATATCGTGTAACTTTTTAGGGTCGTTCTTGACACCCAGAATGCATTTCACAGGTGGGCGACTAGCCGTTCTTAGCAGCCAGAGATCGTTTCACGATGGGCGATTCTCCGGAATCAGCCTGAGTAACGAAAGGGTTAAGGGTCGACCGTCGTTTGCGAGACGTTCCAGGCTGCCTCGCGCCGGCCCTGCTTCCACGCTTCACTCTCTCGCACGCGACCGGCTCGCTCGTCGGAGGCGGCGCGCTTCGCCCCGGCGAACTCGAGGGACCGCATTCTCGCCGCGTGTTCCGAGCGCTAAACGCGTCTGTCCGGTCGCGTCGTCGGTGCTGTATCGCCGCCGCGAACATTAACCTATCGCGTTCAGTCCACGGACAGCTGCGAGAGAGAGAGAGAGAGAGCCGAGAGAGGAATCGCATTTGCGTTACAATTCGGCCGTTTCCCTGAGTCGCGCCGAGCGTGATCTTCGAAGGGAGAGCAAAACGGAACGTTTGGATAACGAGAACGTACAAATGACGATCCTCGTAAACAGCCTGTGCACACTTTTTCCTTCACCTTTCCGCGTTTCCGTCACTGCTCAGGAAGTAGAACGTCCGTTAGTTGCAGGATATCTGCACGTCGGAGCCTGAAGATTTCCCCATAATACCTCTCGCACCATGAACACGTATTTCTTGCCGTTGCTTCTGCCGCCGTGGACACGTGTTAGCTGGCCTCCTGGCGCTTCACCCTGTCAAAATACTCCTCACGCCATCGCGTCAGGACGAGAAGTCGCCGGCTGAGAGCCTTTCACGGGTCTCTCGCGATGTCTTTCTCCTCCTCTTCCTCCACCACCCGGCGCCGCCACTCAATCGTATTCGTCGTGTGTATGCACTCGCGTATATGCGTGTGTGTGCGCGTCGAACGTCACGAGCACCACGTGCGTGTCGGCCGACTGACTTGACAGACTCGAGAATCGCGCTCCCTCGGACGGTCCGAACTATGCGAAATCCCGATTCCGACTGACGGCTCGCAGCACAAATCCCCTTTACTTACGCGTCTCACTCGCTCGCCTGCTTCGAAGTGCGGCCGCCGGCGACCGGCATACGCACCGTACGCACGCACGCACGCGCCACAGGGCCGCGCCGCGCCCCACGTGCGCCCGTAAGTGCAACACCGAGTATGTACGACTGCACCCTCTGGAAAGCTTTTTTCTTTTTTCATAATGACACCGATGATGTCACCCTAACTCTGGATCGTATTTGTGATTACGCGTATTACTAATGAATATAATGAAATAATACGCACACTGAGGAGAAAATTTCCAAAGGATGACAAATGTTTACTTGTGGCGAGTACTAATAATATGTATTTATTTATACTAATATATCTATTTTCATACTGAGAAAAATTCTTTGAAATGAGAAGATATATATTTTCTTAAAATCATAGCTTTCTACGTGGAAACAATTACTGTATATACTTAAATAAATACTTAAAGAATTTAGATTTAAGTGAATATATTATTAGTACTCGACGAATATTTTTTTATTTTTTAGATATTTTCTCTTAGCGCAGTTGCAGGTATTTTACGGTGCAACGAACGCTTCCTTTTTAATAGGAATTCCAACGTTGGATTTTTCAAATTTTTTGACTCTTCGAATCCCGATGTGTATCCTGGATATATGTAGTAAATCTCGGAAAATAAAATCATTCTCGATTAGTTTATTCACGTTATTTAACAGATCGCTTTTGGAAATATTTTGTGACGGCTTATATACCATGTAAAAAAATCGTCTTCATTTTTTGCCTGATTTTCTATTTTTTCATAATAAAATTTAATTTTTTCTCGCTGACATCGTTTTTCAAATCAAACTTTCGAAACATTATCCATATCTATTACTGTATTAAAATGATATTAAATTTCCCAAAGGACCAGGACTCAAAGGATTAAATTTCGACTATGTAAACACAGGGTCTCAGGTATACAAAACCACAAAAAGAGAAACAAGGCCTTCAAGAGCCGATCGCAGCTCTTTCTGGCTTTCTCGTTTTATTAAATTTCAAATTTCATCGGCAGAATTAATGATTCTAATTACGTGCTTGAATGCGACGTCGCGAAGATTGTAGAAAAAGAGGAATACGTTAAGCGCACGTGGCGTCGTTTTTTTTCAGTAGGACTTCGAGTCATAATTTACACATTGCTACTTACGTGACACTCAAGACCCCGAGAATACTAGCGCGATGACTCGTTAACAATTGATGCCCGTACACGTCACACCTACGCGTAACTGCATTTTTGCGACGCGTTCGATTTCACGGTAGCGCGCTGCGCGCGCTACGTCACTGCCGCCGGCAGGGATGACGCATTTATTCTGAGAGCACATTCGGCACTGGTACATTTATACACAATGAAACATCGGCGCCACGTGGCTCGCGCACGCGGTGAACGAACTTTCACCGTGACGCCGCACCGGTTGCAAATCCGATCGGCAGAGTTTCGTTTGTTTTGAGCATGACGGCATATGTTGTGCGAATGTGCGAGAGAAATTATTTCGAGAAAATTCATCGAAGTTAAATAAACAGCGATTACCGTGATTCTGATCAGCGTGACTGCCTCGTGTACACCACTAGCGCTCCGAATTTTATACGAATTTACTACATTAATAGACCGATTTTCTAACTTTCGACGACAATGTCGTTATCGTTACGGTGACGTTGCGCAGCTTTTCTGCCACATATTGTACTTGCGCAGTGACATCGTAACGACGACGATACTGTCCTAAGTTCGAGAATACAAGTCTCTGTTCAATTCTCAAGGACTGCTCGTGTTTTGTCGTGCTATCGGTTGTTTGAAACGGACTCTCTACACACAGGCGCCGGAAGGAACGAAAAAGACGATACAATGGAACAATGCGTTCGTGACCGTGCGTCGGCATGATTAAAATTTGGCGATTAGTATTACGCTATATTCGTATCCGAGCAACACGGGTCATTTGTGTTGCAACCGTGCGACGACGACAGCTATGTAATATCACAGAGGAAATCAATTTGAGAAATCCCGCTTCGACATGTGAAGTTGTCACCGCGTGAAAATTAAAATACACATTGAGAGAGAGAGAGAGAGAGAGAGAACAAGTGACGAATCTCATTTAAATTGCAACCATTCGCGGCGCCAATCACATCTAATTATCCTATCAAAGAAGTAATAGTAGTAGCAACACGCGTACAAAGTTGTCATCGTTAACACTACGGTAATATTTTATTACAAAAACGATTCTCTCGACTGTAATTTTTTCACTACGCGACTATAGTTAGGAATATCAAACATGTTTTTCCCCGATGCGTGGCACACCTACGATTGGCAATATGTTAATATTAATCGTCTAGTTGGGCGTTTCCATTACGAATGCAAATACATCTACATCGTAATATGCAGGAGAATATTAGAACAGCAGTCTGTGTAAAGGATTTCTTGGAAGATACAAAAATTCCATAAAGGTATCGCCATCGTTATCGACGACGGGAACGTCACCTTATTGCACAGAAATAATCAGGAAATACAATCTCACATCTTACATGCGCACGCTTCGACAGCGATTCGCACTATTGATGCGGAATACGCGCAAGTATCGCGTCCAGGTGAATCTACAGGAACTTTCAAGGCTTCCTTTCGTCCCGCGTCTCCCGCAGCATTAATTCGTACTAATGGCAAGCCGTACTCCTTTTGTCCAATTAATTGTCACCAAAACCACTGAACACGAGCTCGATTGCTGCTTGTACGTCACCATTGGTGAACTGCAGTGCCTGTACGTTCAACATATCGTCCTGGAGGCCCATCTCGTGCATCTGCGCCAGCTGTCTTTGCAGATCGGTGGCCTGCGGCGAGATCGGCGGCAATATCGGCGACAGGGAGGCCACCGGGGACGACGCGACCTGCGCCGTCGGATTGGCGGTCGCCAGTGCGACTTGCCTCATTGCTTCCATGAACATCTGAGGCGTGACCACGCCGGTGCTCTGGTTACCGGCCGTCGTCGCTTGATTAGCGCCTCCAGCAGCGCCGGTCGACGTGGAGGATGCTGCTGGATTGTCCGATCGTTGCGACGACGCCTGCGGGTTGTTGACGGGCGGATCGGGGAAGCGCAGAGTGTCGTTCATGGGATGCGTGGAAAAGAAATTAGCGATGTCGCGCGCCATCTCCTCCTCTAGGCTGAGGTTGTCCACACTGTAGGAGCGCGCGGTAGCCTGCGAGCTGGCCACCGAACTGCTGGAGCCGCTGGACGTCGCCGCGTTGTGCGCCTCCTCGTGCACAGCCGCCGCGATGTTCTGCGCCGCCTCGATCAGCACCGGATGCAGCTCGGCGATTCTGCACAAGGAACGAAGCTCGGGTTCAAAAGGTGATTTCTTGTACTTAGAGCAAACGGCAAAGCTACAGAGGGGATGGACCAGAACAATCGTCCACTGTGAATTTCCCAAGAACGGCAAAAAATAAAGTTACGAGACATTTTGTCATATCGAATCAATCGAATGGAATTCAAGTGAAATATTTTCAAAACTCTCTGGCCTCTTATTAAGAAGGGGACAAGCGGGACTATTATCGGTTTCTCGGAAATTTCAAGCAGAAAGAATGTGTTCAGAGTTCAGATTATGAAAATGCTGATAAAAAACAAGCTACTCTTGTCCCTAATAATTTGTTTGAGATTCATAACCATTCTAGAAATTTCCAGTAAATTTTGCTTTCTACAAGATCTTAAGTTGCTTTTGGCCAAATTGACAGAACCTGATTCTGGTGGAAGATTCTAAAAGTGAGCGATAAGAGCTTTTCAATAATATCGTATCGATTTTTGGTATAATGATAGTCACACATTCTTCACTGTAAAAATAGAGAAAATCATGGATAGTCGCTCTGAGTCCACCTTGCACATTTTTCTGGAAAACTTTAATCGCATAAAATTCTGATTAGATAGAAATTCTTATTATTAGAATGTTGTACAAATTAGGATCACATAAATTAATTACCTTTTTACAGTGTCAACATCTGTGAAGTGTGCCATTAAATCAGGGTCCTGCAGCATAGCTATAGCGACAGAATCTTCGTGTAATCCTGGAGAGGAGGAAATAATATTGTCTATCACCTCTGGTCTCTTACTTAATCGCTGAAACATAAAAACATCCATATTTCTTGGAATTTATTAACTAATATTTAATAATATAAAATTCTAATTTACGGAAAATCAATGTAGTAAACAGAATTATTGGTGTTAAAGGTAATGCAATTATGATAATCACATGTAGAGCACTTCTGAATGCAGGAGTCTCATTGAAAGACTTAAATGCCGAAGTGAGCTGTAAAATGCTGTCTTCTGATATATATTTAAATGGCACTGGCGATTCTGATTCTTTCTTCGGTAATGCATGTACCATTGACCCATTCCTTAGTCCAATGGACTCTACTGTAGCATCATCCTCTAGTAGAAGTCCACAATAAATAAATTCTGCCAAAAAATATAATATCAATTATTATTGGATTTAATCTCTTTTTTCATAATAAAGAGACTCAAAATAAATTTGTGTCAACGATAATTGGTGTCAAACTTCTTAATAGTCTATATTAAATGACATGAGATTTTAGTTAAAGTAATGAATTTATTTCAAAAAATAATAATTTATTATTGCCAAAACTAAGAATAACAAAGGGAAACTCTGATAAAGACCAATCTTCAAATAATGCCAAGTCATTTTACCCAATGAGTCATTAGGCAGGTTACATCGTTTTGCGGCTTTTCGTTTTAGCTCCTTCACTTTGGTCTTCAGGTTCACGTCGTTCAGGGTGACGGTCGTCACAGTTTCTGAATTTATTTGTATCCCGAAGAGTAGTTCCATAGCTGTCGTAGTTGCATGGACAATTTCGTACTACTTGATGTTTCGAACTTGACGTTTCAGGTACGACACCTTCGGTCTCTGATTACCGACTGATGACGAACCTTCTCGGTGTTAAAATACATACCCTTTTGCTATATTTGGACACTTTGTTTTTAGTTCTTTTCTTGTTATTCGCAGCGATAAAACAAGTCAATCTGTAAAAATTGCCATCTTGTAAACACGACCACTCGCGCAGGAATGGCCGACGTTGAATCGACATTTGAATTTATCTTATATTTGAAATATCGCACGATTATATCTTAAATGCTTCCATAGATTATTTATCAACCATGTTTAAATAGTAATTTATTCCACCTATAATTCGGTCATGTTTCTAAAGAAGAAAAGTTCGTTTAATTCGTTTGCTTGATTAAAAATGCACCGATGTCTATCAGACCACTTAGTGCCATCTATCGGTATGTCGGTAAAATCGTTGGCTGTAATGAAAATCAAGTGTCGGTTAAAGAAGGTACATCAATCTCGAAAAAATGATTCGAGTCTCGGAACCTTGATATTCTGTTGAAAAATTTCACTACGAGGTGCCACTTTCTTAAAGAAATTTGAGGTCGTAGCACGACTCAATAATAAATTTGACAAACCTTTTTTAATTAGTATAATTTAACAACGAATCAGACATTTTGTTACTCTATCCCGAAAGATGAGCAAATTTAACGGGCGTCAATAAAAATGATTCTATTGAGGCGATTCAAAAAGCAATTTGCTGCTTGGAGGATCTCTAGTTTTTAAATATATTAATATAATACTTTTGCTATCGTTTTCAGCCAAGATATCGAGTTAAAAAGAAAGTGGACATCGCTCAATTTTCAACTTCATCTTTTAGTTGAGTTCTTATATTTTCGGAGGAAATTATCTTAATTTATCTTAATTTGGTAAAATTAAGATAAATGTGCATTTCTGAAAGAGAAATTTACACTTTCAATTAATTCCTCGACGATTATCATGCAATGATTTAATTAATTTTTATAAGTATAATCAAACAAAAAAGAGGCTTTCTGATTTAACGTTAAACAACTCGGTGGAAACAATTAGAAGTGAATTAAAGAGGAAGATCTGCGCTTTCAAACAATGTAAAGTTCGTTTATATATTTAATGTAATATTTCGTTTATACATGATGCACACCAAATTTATCAAATATTTTGATATTTGTCTGACATTGATTTACCTTTCTGTAGCATAGAAAAAAAAAGAAGTGTCCGCATGCTTTCGATCGAGCAGACCCCAAAAATATTTTTGCCTTAGAACCGTCACAACTAACCGGCGTGCTGGTCAATATTATAATTAACGAGCCCATTTATATATATACATTGTACACTATTTGAACGTTCTAAGAAAATCCTCTTATCCGCTTACTGAAAGTAAACGTCAATGTGTACAATGTTTACACAAGTAGGCTTGTAAGTCACAGAACCTAGTCGTTTGTATAATTAACCAGGCAGTCGAGCGGTATTTAAGCACAGTTTTTGCTTGTTGTTCATCAACCGCAAGCCGACCTTTTCGGGAATTTCGGTTACAAAATTACTCCGAAATATAAATAATAAATAAACTTTATATGTAAACAACTACAACTAAATATTTTAGATTGCGAAATGCTTCTCAAGCCGTCTCATTATCATTATTTCCATATATAAATTAAAAAAGATATATAGACTAGTTAATAAAAATATATTAATAATAATATAATTACTATATACTTCAAATACAAAAATCATTCTGTATGGAGTGTTGTGATATGTCCTAAATATTGATAACAGCTGGTCGTCGTGGGGCGGTCTTCGGGGTCTGCAGTTTTACGTTTCACTGGGCGTACGATTATTATCGTCACTTCAGTTCTCGTTTTATCCATCGTTGGACGATACAATTGTCGCGGGTCTATTCGCCGTACGATTCTCTCGTCGCACATCTAAGATGGATAGGAACACTCTCCTGCTTATCCTGTTATTTATTTTCGTGTGCGTCGACATGATAATGTCGTACAGTTCGAGATGCAACGACGGCGAGACCCGATCGGTTCTGCTTCAGCTGAAGAGACATCTTCTCTGCGAGTACGATTCTGAAGTAAGACCGGTGCAGACCAACAACAATGTGACGCGCGTAAAATTGCACATCATTCCGCAATTCTTAGACTATGTAAGTATCCGTGTAGAAAATTAGTTCTCTAATAGCAACAGGGGAAGCAACATTTTCTTTTTAACAATCGGCGTTGGATAAATAAAGAAAACAGTGGATCATTCGAGGTTGCAATGAATGAAATTGCATTGGCAACTTTCAGTTAGAAAATCTTGTAGCGAATAAAACGCGAAGGAAATTTTTGCCCGAGAAAGTACGACGATAAAATAGAGATAAGAAGGAATTCGCTGATCGTGTTAATTAAAGTTGCAATTTCTTCCGTTTCTCAGAATAGCGAGGAAGAAATCTTCGAGCTGCACACGTGGACATCAATGGTATGTTTAAAGATCTGAACGATCGGAGTGAGTGATCCATCGATCGTCCAGCTATGTGATCGATGGATCATTTCCGAGCATTGGATAATAATTAATACTGTTTGTTTACTCTAAATAATATCCAAATGCTCAATGTGATATTTTTTCTTGCAAAATGCGTTGCTGGGAAGAACAGACGTGGAACGATTCGCATTTGACGTGGGATCCCGTGCATTTCGACAACATTCAGCTTATATTCATGTCCGCCTACGAAATTTGGCTGCCGGACATTTATCTTCATAACGTGTAAGCGACGTTTCCCGTAATTCCGTATAACCAAATCAATTGCACGAAATCATTTTTACATAATACATTGTTAATTGTTTTATACACACAGAGAGTGTCCCAGATACCGCGACTTTAATTTTACTGAAAGATTTTCTGAACAATTTAGGATTAATTATTCTTCACTAAAAACGTTCCCAAATAGCGGGGTGACGTCAGAGGACGTCATATTGACGGTCAATATGACGTCTTTTGACGTCACTCTGCTACTTGGGTTAAAGTATCAATAATTTCCGATATATAAAATAACTCGAAGAACATAGTACGCTGATTTTAATGTATTAATCGAACAAATTTATGTCGCGTTTATGTTCATCAGAAATATGGAGGACAGCGTATTCTTGGCTTTCACGCAGACGAAGTGCTGGGTATGGAAGAAAGGAAGGGTGCAGTGGTTAACACCGATGAAATATTCCACATACTGCATCGCGGATAACACGTGGTGGCCATACAACATCATGAATTGTTCCATACAGTTCGGCTCGTGGTCATATTCCGGCGACGAGATTGATCTCGACCACTATCCGAATCTGGTGTGTGCATATTATTTTTTTCTTCTTTTCTTTTTTTTTTAACACCAAAACTAAGAGCCTGTAAATCGAATGGCATTCTTTAAAGATAACGACGGCGGATCTGCACGAATATCAGACGAACGTCGAATGGGACTTGTTGAAATTTTACATAACGAGCCGGGAGGAGACACACAAATTCAATTCGAACATTACCTCCAGGTTGCTCTCTTATCACTTTATTCTCAAGAGGCATTGGGGCATTATACGTATTGCGTACGTGACACCTTCTATAGGTGTGTATTGTATGTAAATATAGCTACACGCGTGCCACATTTATTTTGAGTTAATTATCAATTAAAGCATTTTTAACGTTTCCCGCACGGGAAAGAAATCTACAAGAATGTGAACAAATTATTGAGACAATAGAGTTCTTCGATAGTATAGTCATTTTTTCGCATTCTTGTAGTTCCTTTCCGTACAGGTCGTGACCCGTTGGTTTATTTTATTGTTTGCAGTACTGATGGTACTGACATTGACGACATTGTGGCTGGAATCGAAGTCTCCCGAGCGAATGATAATCGCTAATCTTAACTTCATCTGCCATTTATTATGCATGTCTAACGTGCACTGGGAAATGCCGAAAAGCGGCTTCAATGTCCCTAAACTATGTAAGTACACACAGAAAAGTACTGCGCTCAAGTAAATATTACTTGTTTCAAGTATTTCATAGGTTTACACATATTAGCAAATATACAGAGAGTATATTTATTTGCAACTATCTTAATTGGCCAATTAGTTCCTCAGAACTTACAATTGTCATATGCTTCGTTGTATGTCAATTATTCACAGTAACTTTCTACGAGAGTTCCTTCGCGTTGGCGTCGTTTGTGCTTATCCTTACGAACATCCTGCGACAACTGCAAGAGCTCACCACTGCGCCGCCTCTATGGATCTCGGCGGCCACGACATCCCTTTTACGCAGCCGCGTCGGTCAGATTCTTCTAATCAGCATTTTAGACCCTGCCGTAACCGCCAAAATAGAAGCCGATGCGGACGATAATGCCGATCTTGTGCAATCTAATAGTAAGAAATCACCATGGAGCTACGTGATCGTAATCGTCAGTTGGTTGGCGTTTTCGAGCGTCCTCTTCAGTTACATCGTACTGTTGGCCACGTGTATGCCGACACTAAACTAAATTACTAAATATCTTGTTAACATGTTGACTACAATGGGAGTTACCAGTGATCGGCACTGATGGTCTGTTCTTTTTAGCAGGACCGGCTGCACTTGTCCAAGAAATTTATGCACACTGAAGCGTGAGAATCTCGTACGTACACTTCATACGCTTCGCTGTATATGTGAATTTCTCAAACTAGCACAGCCAATTTAACTAAAAAGAACAAACTTTGTGATATTGTCGTCAACATGTGAAGTTTCAGCGTAAAAACATTGCTTGCATTCAATTTCACATTACATATACTTTAACAGCTGAAATTTATAAGTTTTTAAGGCTTTGGTAGGCTTTGGTAAGTGAAGATCATCCAAACAATCTTCTTGAACAACACCAACTGTGAAGTTCCATCCTAGAAACATCATTTGCATTCAATTAATTGTTATGTGTGTTCTTTACCAATATGAATCTGCAGTTTGTTAATTATTGATCTTGGTAAATTTAATTCTTCTAAACGCTCTTTCGTCAGTTTCCCCTCCGCCCTGATACGCTTAAAGATAACTTCCCGAGATAAGCCCTGCAGAGACGGTACTATGGAAATACAAAAATATGTATGTACAACGGAAAGATGGGTTGTTTAATAGCTGTTTTAGCGGCCCAACAAAATGTAGATACATACCAGCATATACCGGAATGGTCCGAAATTGCTTTAACTGTCTTAGCATTTGAATTAGCAGATACTTTGGCCCCCCATTAGATAGGATAAAATTTTGTACGTATATACCATATTTAGACACTTTATACATAACATGTTGCCTGCCGTTGGGGCTTTGGAAGTAACAAAAGCCTATTCGATCGCCCACTAAGGTGTCGAGAGAAGGAAGCTCTTGCTCCATGTGGTTAATAGGTAAATACCGATATAAAATACTAAGTAGAATACTACCGTAAGGTGTCCACACCAACTCTTTAAAATTTGTCAACTCCCTGAATATTTCAGAGCGATCATTTCCTAAAACAATAAGGAAATAACACTGTATAATTCAGTAAAATACACAACGTATTATAAATTTTGAAATGCGAATCAGTCTCCAAATCGTTAATAAATAAGTACTTACCTACTTCACGACTGTTATCGAACATTACATACGATTCATTCAGCATTGGTAGATTTTCATGGTTAATGATACTACACCTCACTGGCGGATAGTAAATGCTTAATTTCTTATCTACGTTCTCTATTTCTATGAGAAATAACTCGCATGGCTCTAGTGGCTTATCACTGACAATGTGGGGAGGCCCTGGACAAATAATTACATTTTCAATCAAATTGACCGCTACAGTATTATCCTCATAAAGCTTGATTGACGGGCTTAGACTCCGCAATTTGGGTGCACCGATGTTCATCTTATCCATTTTAATATATTTTCTTCCCAAAATGTTACGATAAAAGATGATAATATACAGTTCTTCAATAGATAATTTCATCTAAGAATGAGTTCTGCCTCACTTGGCGAGAATACAGCATGCACTGGCCGAGAAGGTTTCTACGTCCCTTCTCTTACGTATTGTAGAAGGACAAAATCCCCTCTTTTATTCTGAAGGGCTACTCGGAACAGTTACATTTTCCTTTGTCATTTTCTCCATTTCCGAACAGATATTCGGTCACTCAAATATTTCTATTATTTCCAATAAGCGTGATCAAATAACGCCGAAAATCATTCAGAAAGCATATCATACTAACATTATAATCAACAATTACAAAATGGAAATGTCGAAAGCAGGATTAGAATCATTTAACGTATTAGATGGGACTATTATCCAATTAAATATTATACTATATCAATATATTTTATTATATGTCATTATTATCTGTCACAATTGTACTTCCTCGATACAGGACACAATCGCTATTTTATTTTGCATTCATAACTTCAGTGCAATTTATAAAAAGTTTTGATTCCGTGTGATATACCAGGAGTTTTCTGGATATTTTCTGATTCACTCATTATACCGACTCTTTATCCTTGAAACATCTGTTAGATGAACAGCTGTATCAACCACATAACCATATTAATTTGTTGCGAGATTAGTCAGTATATCGTTGTGCACCATACAATTGTAACAATCATAATATGATTTAATAATATTAATAAATTATTTTAAATAAAACGACACTTATATTCTTTCCCTATTTATTAATTTGACGTTCAGTACGTAGATATTTTTCGAAAGTAATCCTCCATTCTTTAAATATACAAGTGAGCGTTTTTATGCGAACACAAGTATCTAAAAAAATTTTCTTAGAATTTTTTCTTTTCTAGAAGATCCTAGAATCTTGCTAAAACACTCTCGCCATAAAAAGAAAATGTTCTGAATTTTCAAGGGTTTATTCCTAACGGGAAACGAGTCAGTCTGCCGAATCATATACCTGCTTCTGAGCTGCCGAATAATGAATTCAATATCTCGGAACTATGTATGGGAACGGTTCGTAGTTTCTTATGTATCTCGCGATATTTTTCTTTCTCAGTAATCGAATCTCATATAATAATGCACTAAATCTAAAATATCACAAAATTTCAAGGGAATTAAAATATCACGGGAATGAGGTGGGGTTTCCAGGTTTAATGGATTATATTTTCCGTATGGTCCTAGAGATGAACTATGTAAAATTTTGTTCAAATTGGTCAAAGAGTTTAGGAATTAATAATGAACATATAGACAAACATTGTGTATTTTATGATACGTGAATTTATAATGTTTAAGTTATACATCTTGATAAATAGAACTTTTCTAAACAATTTTTCGTCAATTACAATTCGAATATATTCTCGTACATCTTTAGTTACTAGAGATGTGCAATACAACTCAAATATATCGATATATCGTATCAATATGTATCGTGGGTGAAAATATTGATGTATAAAATGTATCGAACGTTTTATATTGATATCATCAATACCGATACTTGAATTACATAAAAATATTGGATTAAAAGCAAGATTATTATATTATATATATTATATTGAGAAAGTTATTATTAAAAAGTATCGTTGTTATGAAATCATTGAAAAACTAACTTATGATGGTAATGGCGTTACAAGTAATGCATTATTTTCCAATTCTGATTGAAAATGTTTATACGTTATATGAATGTAATAATGTGAATGGCATCCATTTCTAATAATGTTTAACTAATTATGATTAAATTATTTTCTAAAAAAAATATACATTTTAAATAAAATATTTTTATTTGTAAAATACATTATCTATTATTTTATATAGTATGATGTATGTGTTCTACCTATTATTATTAGTAATTAGTTAAATTATTATTAGAAATACATGCCATTCACATTATTACATTCATATAACGCTTGCATTTAATTCATTTTTCATCTGTAACTTCTGCGTGAGACTGCAACTCTTCAATTATCCTAGTTGGTAAAGGCAGTTGTTCTAAACGCTTTTTCGTCAATCCTCCGTTTATCTTTACGTAATTAAAGATAACGTCTCGACATAAGCCCTGCAGAGATGGCACTGTGGAAATACAAAAAGACGTATAAATAACGAAAGATTGGTTGTTTAGCAGTTATTTGGCGGACTGACATAATATAGATACATACTGTTTGTTGGCATAATCTGCAATTGCTTCAATTTATCTTTCATATTAATCAACAAGTATACTGGTTCATTCGGACTTGAGGTAAAATCCCGTAGACAGATATGATATTTAGACACCGTGTACACAGTATTGCGCTTGCCATCGGGGCTTTGGAGATAAAATATGGCTAGACGAACGTCAGGCGGCTGGTCCGGAGAATAGAAACGATCCATGCAATCATCATCTATAAATATGTACCGCTCCAAGATACTAATTAGAGAGCTACTGTAAGATGTCTGTGACATATTTCGATATCTTGATGACACTGCTTCAGATATATATTTGGAATGATTTCCTAGAACAATGAATAGAGAAACAACACTGTACAATTTATCGAAATGCACGATACATCACAAGTTCTGGATGTATGTGTATGTGAATGTATAATCACATAACTTCTTTCAGAATATATATAGTTATTTAAGATTCTTTAAGTGGAGAACATATACCCAGAATAATAAGAAAATGGATTTTTCAATTTTTATTTAAAATATGACATCTTGAGAATATTTTTGAGAACTGTGCAAGTCTTTGAATTCAAACTGTGCAAGTTTTTGAATTTGAAAAAATAAATAAGATACAACGTTTTAAAAAGTAGACTGTTTCTTGGGACATCATCAAGTACTATCATCGATTCAAAACCCCACGATAGTAACGTACCTAGACAGCAAGGTTCAAAATCGAGATATAAGACGTCTTTAAGAAGTTTTATTAACCCTTTCGGTACATTTGACGAGTGAGACTCGTCATCTGCTTACTTGGGCATAAAATGTATTACTTTTACATATTAATCCATATAGCGACAAATTAAATCCGTCCCATGGGCATAAAAATCTTAAAATAATTCAGTACTCCAAGGGTTAAACATGTCGTTTTTAAACATTTGTGTTATCTGAGTAATTACAGAAAGCAGTGTATAGAATACGTGTAAAAATAAATAGACAGCCATCTACGCTGTATATAAAAGAGAGCTTGTTGAATTTGGTTTCAGATTAACTGGATATATGGATTCTACAGTTAGTACAGTGAACTACAGCAGTAGTGGACATAACTAACATTGTGGGAAATATTTCCACCATTTCTCGATATTTTTATATAAAAATTTTACACGATTTTAACAAATGCATGTATAACATATTAGTGAAAATCTCGATTCAGTAAAGTTCATATTTCTGCAAAGGAAATTTCTAAATATGCGTCTATTATTAATGCGAGTATTCCGTGTATATGTCTTCCTTAAACTCTTAATAAACTAATATAATTCGAATAATATAAATCAATATCAAAATTTGAATTAATACTTACGCAGTACATGTCTATGCCTTCCTCCCACCGGTATATCGTATGGTGTAATCCACTCTTCTGAATTTATACGGTTAACGACCATACACTCCACTAATAGATCGATATCTATTCGATGAAAATTTCTTAGTGAGAAATGATATGATGTCGATTCTCCATTTTGGTACCTTCCTACCTCACTATTCTGTTTAATCTCTACGATGATGACTTCGCATGGCTTCAATGGGTTATTAATGGCAACCAGGGGCACATTATCAAATTGATCATGAAATACAAAACGTTGGGTCGCCACGGAATTGTCCGCATTAAGACTGACTGCCTCTTTGTTTAGATTGCGCAGTTTATAAAATACACCGTGATGTATTTTATCCATTTTAGTACACTTGTCTATTTTAATAACACTTAACCGAAAGAAATCTACGGCAAGCAACGATACGTTTCTCAAATGTTCGTAACTTTTCCGAAAAGGGACTAAACATTTACTCGACGAGAACGTGTAGTATACTAACCATGGTTCGACTGAGGTTCGGCTATATATACCTGCCCTTTGTTCTTTCATTCTTTGGAAAAAATACTGCTTCTTTCTAAACTTTCTAAACAACCTATCAGCTGACACTTTCTACGACAATAGATTTTTTGCATTTTCGAACAGATACGTCGATATAGTGATTGGTCAGTCATTGGCCAATGAAATGTGCTACTGAAATACATGTGAAATATATGTGTGTGTGTATGTTTATGTTACGCTATATTATTATATAGTATATTATTATATACTATATTGTATGTCAATTATTACCTAATGTGTCACCCATGTATTACCTAATGAATCACAATTATACTTTCTCGATGCAAGACACAACGGCTATTTTATCTTACATCCATTGTTTTAGTTAAATTTTAGTATCAATTAATAATTGTACAATCGAATTTCATCAATGTATGTAATAATACGGTTGTTTGTTATTGATAAATGTTATTACTTTCGTATATTATAAAGTTTATTATTTGTCTGTTAATCACGTACACCTCTTAAATAATAAGTCCACTTGATGTGAGAAAGCTTTGGATCCGTACAGTACACCAGGAGTTTTCCGGTTATTGGGTAGATATAATTTTCTGATTCTTGATAATATTCACCATCTCTTTTTGAAATATCTGTTACACGAACAGCTATATCGACCACCTAGCATTATATTAATTTGTTACAAGATCAGTCTGTATATCTTTGCACCGTTCACAATTATTACAATCGTTACATAATATAATAATATCGATTGAAAATTTCTCAACCAAAGTGACATTTGTATTCCTCCTTAATTATTAAGTTAGCGTTTAGTACTTAGATTTTATTTGAAAATGATTTACTACCTTCTAAAAATGCACGAGTAAGAATTTTTCCACAACTACATGTATCTAAGGAAACTTTTTTCGGATTTTTTGTCTCGAAAAGGTTGTAGAAGATTCTAGGAAATTTTAAGAGATTGTAAAATTGTTTACAAAATCCTCGCTATGAAAGAAAAAGTGTCGATTTTTTGTAACATTCGTCAGACAAAGCGGCGAACAAACCAACATATACCTGCCTGTGGTCCATTTACTTTTAACTATCTGACACACATACACACACACTCTCTCTCTCTCTCTCTCTCACGCTTTATTACGCATTAGATTCCTCATATATTGTAAGAAGGTATGTTAAATTGTTTTTTGTCTCATTTAAAGTAAAATTACTAATACTCAGATGTGCACCTAAACCTGATATATTCTTATTCATTTTGTCTTTAAATACGAATATTTAAACTTTCAACATAGAATATATGTACATATTAAATGTATATAACTGATTAGAAATGTCGGACTCAGGATCTGGACTCAGGACTTATGATACTTGGACACTGTGAGTCATGTGCAGATAATGTCTCATCAACTATCATGATCGTTAGATTTGCTTAAAGGGTTAAGGAATAAAAAGAATGTAAGGAATATTCAGCAATATAAAAAGAAAGTCGGGGAACTCAAAATCTCATACGTTTGAGGAACGGATGAGAACTCTCGGCAACAAAAGTAAGAAGAATAAGAAATATAATAATTCATTAATCTAGAAGAATTACCTGTTTCTGCTTGACATTCAGCAACGACGTCGTGGTGGTGAAAGCTTGAGGGTCGTCCAAGACAAGCTCGAACGATTTGGCATCTCTGAATATGTTTTTGAATGGTATGAGAGCCGGTGCGTTGCATCTGACTACGTAAGGTCCTCGAGGCATCGGTAATGAATACATGCCGACGAGTGGAAATCTAAGTGCACATTAGACAGAGTGACAATTATCTGCTTGTCTATCTCATCGTGATCTTTCATTACATATTTAATAATGCTGTACAGAAAAAAATAGTCTTAAATCAATGATAGATATTCTCATATATAAGCAAGAATATTATAATATTCTTAGAAGGTATTTCTCAAATTGAGCGCAACTAATACTTGCATTAGTACAAATTCAAATCAAATTAAGACTAAAGATTTTCTAAGAAGATTATAATATTCTTGCTTATACGTGAGAATCATTGATTTAAAACTAATTTTGTCTCTGTGTGCGCATTTTAATCGACGGTAAGTTATCATACATAAATTCTCCGGCGATTTCGGAAGTAGCTGTTAAAGTGGCGAAGACATTCTCGATGTCGCTAGGTTCGTAGGTGACGTCACACGAGGCGCTCTTCAGTGGCGGCACTTCGATCTTCCTCGGGGCCACGAAGCACTCTTTGTCCACCTAGACGTGGTTTTCGCGTCAATTGTCCTTGAAATACGTCAGGTACTACGTACGCACCTTGATCGCGAACACGGCGCTCTCTTTCGTGAAATTGCTGATGGGTAAGGAGAAGGTGATGCAGCTTCCGAGTGTCGCGACGACGCGTGTAGTCTCCTCCGCGTGTACCGGCGCGGCCCTTAATCGCAATTCGTACGGGAACAAACCGAGTTCCTCGCAATGAACGTCCAGCTTCACCACAGTTTCGTCGCTGGGGTGTACAGGGTAATACTCGACCCTGATGGTTTCCTGTTGCATTCATCGTCGATCATTATTCGCGTCTCACCTCTTGCAAAAACCGCTTAAGTTTTTAGCCGGTGCATTACAACGATACACGGAGAAAAATAATTTTGTTGTTGTAAGCGAAATCACATCATTGTTACTACACATTCGTCGCGACAGCATGAAAATTTAGTCGGCATAACCAAATTAGAGAAATTATTCGTAATTAGAGCGGAAACAGTTTTGTTGCCAGGATAAAACATATTCTGCTGAGTGAATCTGTCTTTAACACATGTTAATTTGCTGTTAGAACGAAATAGTATTTTCCTGCGTTTACTAAATGTTCTTGCAGCGAAATAATCTGTAGATTTAGCAAAATAAAACTCATCGAATGGCAATTAGTATTCTTAACAAATCGTCTCTCTGTTCACGTAGCAACCGGATCAAATTTCGTCACGACAGCATGAAATTTGTTGTGCCAGAAAATGATTTTTCTTCATGTCAGGGATCAATGGAAGAAAAGAAACAAAACTGGAAAGTGTAAATTGATTTTATTTATACATATATAACTAACGCTGGATGTAGGCGCCACCGTCTTGGGTACGTTGTAGATCGTGACGTATGGATGCTGACACGTCGCATTGTATACTATCCGTTGCTGCTTAAGCGGATTATCGAGCTTCAGAGTGTAGTACACCGGAATTCGCGCCGTGGTGAACAGCTTAATCGACTCAATCTCTTCGGGTCTCGTGATGTTGTATTGCAGCTCATAAAATTGATATTCGTTCTCTTGATTGGTGAACGTCACCTTGGATACAATGACACCACCCATAGAGCATAGAAACTTGCAACGACATTGCTGCAACATACCTTGAAGTTGCACTTTGATTCCTTGTAAGAGTGAAATTCGGCGCGATAATCTCGCTGATTATTCGCTGGTACGTCTATCTTAGTGTTACCGACGAAAGTGAACGCAAAATCCTGAAAAGAAAGGTGAATCGAGAATAACCAAATTGATCTCCGCTATTAGCGCGGGATATCAAGAGAAATATTCCAATCCGCAGACATTTCCGAACCTTGGCCGTTTCCTCGTCGTCTAAATTTTCGATCTTGCAGTCAAACCGTTGTTGCCTATTCGTCCAATTATAAACAGGTAACAGTTCGGTGAACCTTGTCTTCGCCGGGAACTGACGTGTAATTCTGCGAAGAATTTGCGGGGCTACGCTCAGTCCCTGAAGAACATACACCACGAGCGCTTTTTCATTCGGCAGCCTCAAAAGTAACGTCCCCTGAGACAAATCGCGGAGAGATATTGCGCATATCAGCTTATTGCACTTTACACAGAATTGCGAGAATGTCCTTACGTTCTTCATTCAAGCGTCACGAGACACCGAAAATTTAACTTATTAATATAAATAATAAATAATAAATTTAATTTATATATATTAATTTTGACATATACATATCTATTTTTGACCAATTGTACAATTATAGCCATATTTTATTCAAGCATTCTGCAATATGTATAGGGTATGTATAGAGTAGATCCAACATATGTAGGGTTTTACTTAGGTTTTTACGTAGGGTTTCATGGAACCATCTATCTCTATATAAGAAAAGGCTGTATTATTGTTTAAATATAGGAGCCAGCTGAAGAAACTTTGCATAATTATAGACTAGTAGAAATGTAAAAGCCGATTTTTTATAGAGGGTTGTTTTCACCCCTAAAACCATTTTTAGCACCAACAAAAAAAATCGTTTCGTTATTAAGGCCTATTAGTCAATAATTATGCAAAATTTCAGATTTTTTTCGCTTTGCCGAAGGTTCCTTGTAAATATATCCATATTTTTCGCGTAACGTATGAAATTCCCTTTAGACATCATGCTGATGCTTACCTTATGCGGATTGCTGTCGCTGTTCATAACTAGAGGGGCATAGGTGATTGCACATGAGGCGGAATTATTCGGCGGCACGCGTAAAATTTCGTCAGCGGTGAAGTAGTCGCCGGTGACTTCCGGTTTCACTGTCCATGGAACACCGGTGTCATTCTCGACAATCAGTGTCTTGGTCAGTTTCTCACGCACGCGACATGTGAAGAACAAGATGTCGATCGGATCCGGCAGTTTGCGGCAACCCCCTGTGATTCTTACACCGAGAGCACCATATTTCTCGATTTCGAGCAACGCCTGCTCGAAACGTAGAACATTACATAGAGACGCGTTTACCTGATAATTAATCACTCGTTTGATTAAAATCGACGTCGGAAATTAATAATGATGTCGAGCGGCATCGGCAAAAATTTGTCTAAAATGTTATTGACATTGAAAAATTTCTATTACGCGAGTCAATTCGATGCCTTTAATTTTATCCACTTCTAATAAATATTTGAAGTGATTTACTGAAATCGAGCGGAGAAGCCTCGAGCGTGTAGCCGAGCACGTGCATGAGAAACGTTCGATTCTCAAATTCCGAGAAGATAAATAACTCGGGAAAGTTAAATGCGATTCGTAAGGATGATGATTGTACCATATCGCCCGGTAAACTATATTTGCGCCTGACATGTATTACGTGGGAAGCACGCGCGAGACTCCCGCCGAGGAGAAGACCGAATATATATTGGTATGCATATAACAAGTACGGAAGATAGGAGTTGTATATGCGCTTACATCGCCCTCGATCAAACTGTCATGCCGAGTAGGTCGGAAACTGATGATGAAGTTGACACTCATGCCGGGAGAGCAATAGCCAGCCGCAGGAGCGATGCTAAATTCCCATGGCAATTTCGACGTGTTCCACTTGAATCTGGATTAATCGGACACGCGTCGATTCGTACGACATTAATGAGAATGAAACGATTATAACGCACCTGTTTCCTGTCTCGCTAAATCTTCGTTAAATCTTCCTTAACCTCCTTTGAGTGCGAAACGCTTGAGAGAGCTAAATTATCGCTTCGAGTAGCTTTAGTGGTAGGTCAATTGGTGAAAGAAATATTTTACTTGAAAAATCGTCGTGTTTGAAAAATCGAAAATAACGGACCGAGACACGTATTTGTATGGGTTCATTGTTCACGACGTAACATTTGTCGGACTCGTGTATGCTTCCATACCTGCGTTGAAATTTCCCAAGGTTTTCCCAGAGGCAATATAGGTTCTGATCAGAATATCCATATTTCCCCCAAAATAGTTTATCTTATTGTGCCGTTAACTAAAAATACTATTTTTATCCCAACAGAGTGTTTTCCGTTTACAATCAGAATAGAAATATTGCAAAAATTCGCACACACTTTTCCTTTTATAATAGGTAAAATCGATAGTACGTAGAAAGGATTTCTTTATATATATATATCAAGTATTGAGTTTCATGGGATAAAAAATGAAAAGGAAATTTAGAACACTTTAAGGGCGCTTAAAACATGAGTATACGCTTCTTAAATATTTATAAAAAATATTTATAAAGTATATTTATAAAATATTTATAAATATTTATAAAATGATACAAGGTGGAAGGCAGAAAAAGTGTTTGGGAAAACACGGCGGATTAAACGGCATCCGTTTGTGTCAGAATTGTGACACCAAATGGTAAAGTTTCACTTAGTTTTATTAAAAAATGTTCCAGGCGTGTGGCACTCAAAATGTTAATTACATGATCATGAGACCGACCTTGCGCCAATGTCCCCGGTGTTCAATAGCGCTATCTTCGTCTCCTCTAGGCAACCTTGATGGACGAAACCGAAGGAAAGACGAGTCTTGCTCAAACGGAACTCCCTTCCTATGCAACTGCCACGCAAGGCGAACAACGGCTGAACGGTGGAAGCAGTCTGGTACGCCACCTGGGTGACGAAGGGGCGTATTCTGCGCGTGGGCTTGTATTTGACGAAGACATTGACGATTTTACCCGGCTGTAGGACGATCGATCCTGTCGGCTCGACTTCGAGAACCTCAGACAGATCGGGTTGGATCGGGGCCGCTTCATTGGTGCCCGCGCTTGGCATCTCTATCATCGACGCTCGCGTTCGATCCAGCTTAGAACCATCCCCGGGAACGGTCCTTTTCGAACACGGTTGGATTCCTTCACGAGGCTCGAATCCTGACAAGCGCTTTGTGAGGTCGAACCGCAACTCGAGCGCGGCGCGCCCCTCATTGATCACCGGTATCCTCTTGCTGGTCGTCTTATTAATCGGCAAATTGCCGAGATCCACTGACTTGTCGCACGGGTTTACCAAATGAACCTACCGGAATAATTACGACCCTCCAGAGGACGAGTTCTCCAGTACTGTTGAGACAATGTATTCGATTAAGGAGGTTGCAAAGCTCAGTGTCATTATTTTTAATGGCGCATCAAGAGAGCCACTCACAAGTTTAATAATTATCAAGAAAAATTGCATTTTTATACTTTTATTTCTTATTAAGTTCATTTCGTCTTATAACCTCCTTATTCAACCCTACAGTGATTTGCATGTGGAACAGGGAAATCTTTTCACACGTCAGCCACGAGATAATTCGTATTTGGCAATCAATATGTTAACACCTTCACTAGCAAGTCACATAGTCACATATATAATGCACCGATCTTTTATCCAGCATCAGTCTCATGCATATCTAACACATTGTGTAAAATATTCGATTTGCCTGTTCAATACATCTTGTGATAATGCACCTTGTACGCGATTCCTTCACCCATTATAGTGATTTTCTTCTCAATCGCCGAATCGATTGTGAAACGTAGCTCGTCTCGATAGCGCGTCCGTTCCAACGGTCGGAATTTTATCGGGACAACAATGTTCGATCGGGCAGTTATTTTTTCCGAAAGAGCGTCGAGGATCACGGAGATATGCGGCTTCTCTTCGAACTTGCACTCCAATCTAAGGAAATCAATCTCTCGCATTAATTGATCTTGATTGACGTGCGATGAACAGCTCACACACATGTACGGGATGCTGTCGAAATTTGTAATACGCAGATCGACGTGATTCCAAACCGCAGCAATGGCGTCTTGTACGTAGCAAGGCCCAAAATCGTAATGATTGAAACTGAATTCCAAAGCCGGTTTATTCGCTGTCGCTTTCAAGATTAATCGATACGTCGGCCCTCTCGAAATCTGAACGAAGAACATTGAGCAGATTTTTTAATTCAGATTTCTACCAGAGATCGAAAGAGGATATTTATTAAATTGTCTGTGTATTATTTATGTAAATATTATATAATTATATTATTTATATTCTACACTTATATGATAGACGAGAGACGTATATATGCTCAGACGAGTGTAGTACCTTCAATAGAACGCGATGACTTTTTATCACCGTTTTTCGTAACCCCGTGACGGTAAGTCGACAGTCAACTCGCGACTCGCTGATAGCGTCACCCTGATTTTCGGACATCGCGAGCGTGTACGTGTTTCTGCTGATTATTTCCGGCGTCATGCCGAGATCCCAAAAATAGTAAATCGTCATTTCGCTCGAGTTCGTTATTTCAAACGTGATCACGACGGGCACTTTCAGCATCAGCTACGTACGAAAATCGTTTTCGATGATCGTGAAAAAGAATCGTGTATACTTCGCTTTATTTAGTTGTCATTGAAACGGCTCGATTCCTACTCTGCCGCAATCGACGATATTTTCTTGATCTTGATCGAGCCGCACGACCCGACCGCTCCGATCAACGTAGGTAACCGACACGACGATGTCGTACGTAATCGTCGTAACGAGGATAGTAAGTGGCGCCTTCATCTTTTTCACGGCGCACTTTACGAGAAATTGAAATTCACCGGCCAAAGTGGGCTGATACTCGAGCCTGACAAATTGTAAGTGTGTGCATGTGAAAACGTAGTCTTTTGTGTCAATTTGCCGTCTCTCTCTCTCTCTCTCTCTCCTTTCTTTTATTTACCATAGGACCTGTTCGCTCCTTGCATTTAAAATGCCGCTCATAGGTGTTACTTTCAAATTCTGCAAGCGCCCCTCGGAATACAAAGACTCGCGTGCTACCTCGTACAGCAACTGGAATTCTTCTTCGTTGACAATGCTTATTGATTCCCGCACTTTAGTACCTGCGGACGGATAATGCCAGGATATCGCTAATAATTGTATGATAATCTCAAGGGGCATTTTGTTTCTCTCCGCCAACTCCTTTTCTAACCCAAAACAGTCGGTCTCATCCTTAGATGAACGAGCGGACAATAGACCGAGGGTTCCCTAACAATCGCGACCAACAAGAAGAGGCACTCCAGACTGTACTTCTCGATGGAGAATAACCAGAAGGACTCGAGGGTGCCGACGCGCTCCGCGAGAAACGCGAAGGCGAACTCGACCTGTTTTCCCCGCTCAGCGATTCCCTCCGACAGCACGCAGTGGAAATTCGGAATCGCGCCTTCCGCATGACAGGTTCGATCATTCCATGCGAAATGATAATCGTCCGATGTCGGATTTATCATTCGGACTTTTCTGAAATTTCACAAAAACACCAATTCTACTTTCCAAGCGTTTTCAAAGGGAGTTTTCAATTTCACTCATTTTACATCATCGCTTGTCCGAGTTTGTTTGTTATATGATCATAAATAAAAAGGAATGCGGTTAGGGTGACGGACGCTGGAAAATATAATCTTTATCCCTTTTTTCAATAGCTCTTCCCCGGAGTCCGTCTGCTTTCTAAATGTATATATATATATAAAAGGAATTCATTGTTTCTGAAATACCCAGGACGTAACACAAATTTAATCAAATTTAATTAAATCAATAAAAATCTTCTAAAAAGTTTATAACGTTCTTGCTTATAATACGAGTATATTTGTTTCTGATTTGAGACTGATTTTTTTTCTGTATAGTAACCTCTTACAGGAATATTTATTCTGTTCTTACAATCGTCTTCGTCATGATTCCCAGGCGACAGAAAATTCTGTCACACTAACGGAGTTGTTTCCTCCGTGTACGGCTAAAAAGTCATTGGAATTCTAGTGATATTTCGCTCCGAGAAATTTCGGGATGCCTCGGAATTTGCGCTCGCGCGTTTCCATTCATCGAAATGTCTCAGATCGTGCATACCTCACGTGAGTCTCGCCGATTCCAACCACGTTGAACTCAATTACTCTCGTGTCTGCCGGAAGCGAGCCATCGGCCGCAGCTTGATAATCGATGGGCCCCGGGAGTTTCGCGTCGCGTCTATCGTCGGACAGATAGTTGCTTTCCGGTACGTCGAAGTGACAATACGGCAGCAAACTTCTTCCCGCGATGGGAATAACCAACTTGGTCAGTTCCGGATCGAGATTCTCCGCTCTATTCACCGATAAACGAGAGGATACGCGAAGGTGCGAATAATATCGAAGGTTCATCGATAAATTCAATAAACAGAAAGATGTTTGTATGCAAGACAGAGAGAGAGAGGGAGAGAGAGAGTGATACAGATATACATGTATTTCTCCCTCTCTCTCTCTCTCTCTCTCTTTCTTTCTTGCATAAAAATATTATGGTAATTCCAAGCTTCGAATTTCGCTTTCGATTTGTTTCGCTTTGACATTTGCTACGTTAAATCGAGTGAAATCAGATCAACGAGTCGCAATAATGATCACACTTGCACGTGAGATACGCTTTGTAGTCGAACACGTCCACAGGTGAGAATCGTAGGGTGCATTGTATCGATTCACCCGGCGGTAGTATTCCCTTTTCGGGGTAAATTCCAAATGGCAAATCGTCACTCTCTAACCAACTGTCGCTACTTCTCTCCGTCAAACCGGCGTTGCTGCTGAAGAGATCAGACGGCTCGCCGACGCTAGCAGGTGGCTTGATCTCGACGATAACGTCTGCGGGGAATAATTGGATCCGTAACGAGATCTGTCGTCGTAATACATGTTTAAGTCGGAAAAGAACTTTCCTCGCGCAATAAAAAGAATAACGGAGCGAAATACGCGTTTTCAGTCAGATACTGAGATGTATGACTTTAAAATATACGTTAACGCACTCCCAGGTAGAACGGAAAATCATGATGACGGCAAAATAATAAGAAAACAATCGAAAAGTTTTTATTGTCATTTTCTTGTCATTTTGGCGTTATCTCGCGGTTAAATCGTGTGCACGTTTCTTTTTAAGTTATCTTGAGATGACGTCGAATATTGTCGATTTATTCGCGCATTTATCATACTGTTCCATCGCACGATATTGATTATATTGCTGACGAAACTCACGAGTCGGGCGTGCTGACGGATTAGTCACAGATCTCGTGTTTCCTCGTGGCCTCAGCGTGGGTCGCGAGTAATTTGAGGTCCGTCTTATCGGATACTGTTCGTCCATGTTTATCCACCACGTGTACTCAACGTCGACAGTGCCGGTATTCGAGAAGGTGAATACATATTCGCGTGTCTATCAATGAATAATTGTTAATGCAATCATTGCATTTCTAACTTGACAAAAGTTGAGATTAAACATTAAATTTACACAGTGCTTCATTTTTATGTAGAAATTTAAAAATTTGTCGACAACAGATTTTTCCACTTTTTGTCTTCCATTTTATGATATATCGGGAAAGAGGAACATATCGTAAACAGGTGGTGTGTGTTTCGAGGAAGAGAGAGAGAAAAACAAAAGCCGATTTTTTATATCTCATCCGTGAGAGGAAGGGGGAAAGAGAGAGAGAGAGAGAGAGAGAGAGAGAGAGAGAGAGAGAGAGATAAATTCATATATTACACCAACTTTAATTAAAGATTGATAGGATGCTGCACACGCAGAAGTTTTAATATTTCTTTTACTTTTTGCACGTAAACAACGGCTGGAATTGGATCGGATATAAAACCAACAACGACAGTTTGCATTTTATCGTCGGTATTTCGTAACATTTGAGCCGCGGTGTTCGCGTACGCACCAATTCAGAAAATCCCCGTGTTATTATGAACAAATGTTTAAACTCGATACAAACGGGCGATTGTTAAAGTTATTTATATAATACCCATTTAACTATTCGACCCAATGGACGAACATGCGCTACAATTACAATGAAAAATTCTGCGACCGATAATCGAATCGTATTACGCAATACAGAAGAGAGAAAAACAATCCGTATCGTATATCGGCAAAAAATTCAGAATTCGAAATATTTAAAATGTCGGTATCTTCCATTCTAAATATGATAACTTCGGGAGGAAGAAAATTAAAAATCCGAAATGTCATTAGTAGAAATATTCTCTTTCGTGATAACTTAAGAATGTATTGCCCATTAGTGTTATATTTTCATTTGGCGTATTAAGGATGCTACAAATTTAGTATTTATCTTGAACTTTTCATGGCTGTATTTTTAAAACAAAATGGTCAATAATTCCGAAATTTGTGTATAATGTTTGTAATATTGGTCTTTAATAGTTATCATAGTTTTTCATTAAAACTTTATTTTTAATTTAGAAGATATCAAAAATAGAAATTAAATATCACGCTTATCTTAAGAAACATGTTTAAAAAGTGTTAGTCTAGTGTTAATTTAAACTTACAAATATTTCAGCTCTCGAGTCAACTTTTTTCTAATTGCATGAGAAATAAGTTAGATAATATTTCAATGTTTACACAGTGCAAGTTTCATCGAATTCTTATTAAATTCATTTCATCTTACTATCTCCTTTAAAATGAAATAACTTTTCCGATCTCTGAAGCTCTGAATTACAATCAAACTTCTGGTGTATAATTTTAAATGCAATATAGATGAATTTCTAATTTTTTTCATAATTTTTCATAATATTTTCATAATATTTTCATTATTTTGAGTTATGGACAATACACCTTTGAGACGCACTTTCGCCGGAATTTCCGTTATTCCATGGAGAAAGCACGTGAGAACACAGATAAACGGTAATTAGAGTATATTCGATCTACGCAACCTGAAACATTAGCGTATCCTTGAAATTGATCTCCTTAACGAGACAAGAATACTTGGAGAATGCCACGATCGCGTTAAGCAACACTTGGATGCACTTCGTCGTGCCAGGTACGATTTCGTGGCTCGGCTCGTGAACGGGCTCGACCACTTTTCTCGCGTACGTTTCCGCATTTGTCTCCTGCTCATCCGCCGCATCGTCGGAATTGATCGTCACCCATCGCACTTCCGTTTCCCGATCGTCCCAGCACGGTTCTTTCGCGAGATCGACGAGCTCGATCGCGTAAATTGTACAATCGAGATGCGTCTAAATCGTTGAGAGATAATTAATCCTCGATACGTCATCATGGCATCAGTAAATAAATAAATAAATACATTAATTAATTAATCAAATGAAAAAATTCCGTAGAAACGTGAACATCGTCTGTCGTTTGCGAAAGAAAAATTCAGTCTTATTACATCGACGTAGTTCGCCGGTTCCGAAGAGAGGAACGTCGCGACAATTTCCTTGCAGGTGAGACCCTTAAGATGACCGATGGACGGAGTGAATACAACGTTGGGATGTTCGTCCCATTGGAATCGTAAGTATCGATCCGCCGATTTATTAACGATCTTAAAATTCTTCCTGTATATTTTGTTGACGAAGCAGCAGCCGAAATCCAACCTGTAGATCAACGAAGCGGAGAGCAACGTCGATGATGAGTCTGTAAAATGGCGAGTAAATTAATAAACACCTGGTAAAACCGATTAACTAATCGGATAATTCATAATACGAATTTAAAATCAAGAACACGCAAAGTTCCCCGATGTCATTATAGCATTCGATATGTTAAAATAAAATTTCCGGCGAAGCGAATTCAAAAGAAATCTCGAAATATTACAAAGACTATTGGATGACCGCAAAGTTGTGTAATCCCTGTGTACAATATCTCCTGTATCTCTTTTTTCTTTTTTTTTTGCAAGCTCTTTCACCTCCTGATACGCTGTCCGGCCGTGACGACGATCTTCGCAGTTTGGAATTTAACTCCCGTCTCTCGTTGGTAACAGCGGACTTCGCGTTTACAAGTTTCAGATCTTTCAATACAATTAATTCCGCGTACACCTCGGCTTTCAGGTCGATTGTCAGATTCTCGTAGGGATTATCAGCGACAAATAATCGCACCAGACCCTTGTACTTGCCGATCTCCCACGGGCTGAATTTCACTTCGACCGAGGCCGTTTCCCCGGGCGTTAAGTGAACCACGACGCATCGATTGTTCGACACTGAAATGTATTTTTTTCCATACGTTACGCTTCATTAATTTTTAGAAAAAAAATGTCCGCTCGGAAGATTTGTCTTCCTGCGAAATTATCGTCGCTGTTGTGTCGCGCTAGGAGAAAACAAAACTGACTGTGTTCAACTCCGTAATCCCGCAATCCGTTCGTCGAGTCCTCCCCATTGTCGCGGGTGCCGAGGGTAAAGAGAAATTTCGGATCCTCGTCGATTTCGATGATCTCGACGATCACCTTGGCCGGTATTAGGCCGACATTCCGGAAAGCGAAACTTCTCACATCGGAATCGTTTACGAGCGTACGGCCGAAATTTAGTACAGCTCGTTCTCGTTTTCCATTCGGCGGTTCCACTATTGTCACTTCTGGCACGCAGGCCTGTCCCATTAATTTAACGAGAAATTTTTCGTCCTTCAGGTGCGAAGGCTGCTCGACCTCTATTCCGAAAACGGCGTGGTATGTCTGTAATTATGAACATAACACTGAACACGGTAGAAAGCCGGCGTGAAAAGTATACTCTTAAATAATAATAATAATAATAGTAATAATAATAGCAATAATAATAATAATAGCACAACACTCGCCAAATCTCTATATAATTTCATAACTTAATAACTTTTACAATAAATTATTTATTATAGTAAAGTAAAAAAAAAAATATATATATATTACACAATTAGTATTGCAACGCTTTTGTATGTAACGCGTAGGGAAAGAGTTCTTTCATCTGTTCGTTTAAAAGTTTCTAATGTAAGAAGAAGTTTGTCCGGTCACATTTTTAAAATAAAAAGAAAATGTAAAAAAAAGAAGTTAACTGAGTCGCTTTTCTTTGCGATAGAAAATTTTTCCTATGTCTAGCGAGTGATTAATGACTTGAGATCTTTTTGTTCCGGCGACGACTTTTCTCCCGAGTTTTAAACATTCTTTTCTTTTATCCGACTCTACCGCGTATACCTGTGAAGAAAAGGATGGCATTGTTGTCCCTTATTTTTGCTTATCTAGTCTCGGTTCCGCTAAATTAAAATTAACAAAATTAAATGTTGAAAGAAACGTTGAAAGAAACGTCGTTTTTGTCAGCAATTCCGTTTTCAATTCTAAATTGTTTTCTCTACGGTTAGCATTGTACATATTTAACGCTTCGGCTATCGTGAGAATGTTACCTCTAGTAACGTTGGGTTGAACGAAATCGCGAATCTCTTCCGACTCATGGGCGGTATGCGCTCTCTCTCGGGTGTCACTACGAAAGTATCAGGTTCAAAGGTTGCTGATAGAGGTGAATTCCGATGTAAAGTCAGTTCTACGTCGGCAGGTATCATGTTTCGATTATGCAGCATAAAATACGCTTTGTGAGTGTGGCATACCATGACTTGCCGAAAATACAAGCATCTTTCTTCACGTGCGAACACAGTATGCGCGCCAACCTGTGCAACGACCGCTATTAGTCGACTCGTTGAACATATATCAAAAAAAACAGAACAAAAACAAATTAAAGAAAAGGAAAGTACTTCTTTTGGGCAAACAAAGTCCTGAATGCGCTCTACTATGTAATTCTCATGGAACATAGCGTCGAGATTATAAAAATCGACTCGGGGCAAGTAAGAGTTGACGGAAAGAGTTACTAATTTGCCGCTTTTGTCCTCGGGGACACTGTCTGGCACGAGAATTAATATTTGCTCTTCTTCAGAACCTACAAATTCCGGGTAACATTTGATCGTTACGGTATCGACCTTGCCCGGTTGGACGTTTCCCTCGGTCTTCGTTACGGTGAAAGGGCCGGCTTGCAACTTGGTCATAAATTCTGACATGTTGCTATGAGAACAGTAGGACGTCAGTAAATTAAAAGAAAAATGTCTTACTATAATTACTTAAGTGTCAGACAGGTAAAAGAAAAAGAAAAAGCTCAACTCGATTTCTGAATTAAATTTGGCTTGTATACGATGGAAACGAATCAATCATGTGGTACCTATCGTTATCCATTCACCAACATTCTGTAAACATTTATTCATTCTATCATACAAGATGACTGATTTATCATCGAGAAAGATAGAAAATCGATCTTCTTAACCGCTCCGATACATGAGAAATTTGTTGAGCGGAGAGGAAAAATTGTTTTATTTACTTGATATGTGAGTTTTCGATTTTCAGTTGCTTTTTATTTTTTCTGCTTGATGTATCCGTCGCTTTGTCGATATCCTTTTTGATTGTGTCTTCCTTCTTAACCTGCGTCATATAGGCGACCGACGGATGGCTGATAGGTGTTTCCTGAATGAAATAATGCAGCGGGAACTGTCCGATATTTTCCACATGCAAGTGCATCGTCTTTTCGGTGCACACGCCGATCGAGGTGAAATTTATCTCAGGATAAGGATAAACGCGGAATCTGCAGTATAAAAAGACGCGATATCGAACGGATATAATCTGTACACGAGTATAATCTGTCTCTCCTAACAAAAATCGAAATCTACCAAGAGGAAAATATAAATAAACATTCTTGTAAATCGGGAGAAGGGATCTTTCATTTAAAAACGTGATTAAATTTAAAAGGGTATTAATCCTTTTTAAAGATAACACTTTTTACCTAGTGTAATAAGCAACTAGAGAAACTGTCAGTGGGATTTTCGCAATTACGACGGCTTGCTTGTTCGTGTCGAGAAGGTTACATTGAAGTATCGGACACTCTTTCAGGGTAATTTCGTTCTTCGGTAAAAAAGTTACCTGACAAGAGGAACAAAATTTTACCTTAATCATTGATTCGCATTTCTTACTATTAGGCAGACAATTTCTTTCAATTTCTGACATTTGATCGTGTAAGAATGATGTGCGAAAAATAAAAAAAATTGTCTAAAAAAATCTACTTCTACGGTTTTCTCCTCCTGCGATTTTATAGAACCAGACGCAGGACTAATTTCGATGTCTTCCTTCAGTCTGGCGGGTAAATTTGGCACGATCGTGGCATGTTTGTCTCGCCCCTCCAGAAGTATGCTGAATAAACCGCGTATTTATTTATAATAATAATATATTTATATAATAATACATCAGTAGCATTGAAAGAATTGGAGATGAGAATTTCAACGTTAGTTCCTCGATATAAACATTCGAGCTAGTATAGTACATCGTAATGCAATTTCTTCTACACTTACACATATTTAACTTCGTAATTTCCTCGATTGTTTATTGTGAAGTTTGCACTTGTAGGGAAGCCAACTTTCACGCATTTTAAGTCAATTGGATTTGCATGATTAATGTCAACAGCCACGTCGTAAGTTTCTCCAGATAGAGCGAGTGTTTCCGTAAAAATCGATTCCACGTCGTTCTCGTGGAAGAAAGCGTCGAAAGTCAAGCTCATGTCGACCGTTCCAATCTAAGACCGGAAAATTCTATTTTTGAGAAATTCCGTATATACTTTTTCATTAAAAAATGTCCCAATAACTTTCACTTCACTTCAATTTTGCAAAATATTATTCTGCTGAAAAGTCTTCCAATTACATTAATTAAATTTAAATTAACGATATTGAAGAATTCTAATTTAATTTAAGATTTTAAGAAATTAAATTTTAAATGAATATGTGTCACAATGCTGGCAATAATTTAATATGATCTTTTACTTTGCTGGCGTGATAACAGAATTCAATTTCTTGATCATTCCCTGCTTTCACAATTCCGCTGTTCGGCGCGAATGATATTTGAGAATTCAAGGATTCGTCAGGAACCAGACGCCAGAAGATCTGAATCGGGGATCTGTTTCGAATGACACTAGTGAGAAAGTCTCTCCTATACAGAAGCACTTGGCCGAAGGACACTTGTTTGTCTTCAAGTGCTATATCCAATTTCGAGCCGCTACACCGAAGCTAAAAGAATTCAAAGAAAGTCATATTAATATTTCACGCTAACTTCAACATGTTTTAAATAAGTAATAAAGTGGCGTATCTCTTGCCTGGAATGTATCGACGTGAGGATTATTCGTCACACATATATACATCTCGTCGGTAAACAAGCCCGGTTTCGTAACACCCGCCGATATCTTCAACAATCTGCATTGTTCAGCCTACAAATTTCAATTATATCAAATACTGTAAAAATTATAAAAAACGAAATAATATTTATATATGTTAAATAATTTTATTAATACATTATAAATAAAGTATTAAAAATATATATAGCTTACCGGAATGTAAAGCTTCTCTTCCTTCAAAATGAAAATATCCGGAATATTTTCCTTTAAATAGAAGCACACTTCCGCATCAATTTTCGAAGTGTTGCAGAATTTAAATTCCGTATCACGACGATGCTCACTGTTTGCAAAAATTACGCATCCGCAATTTGTTTTATTCTTTCATAGGATGAATACTTTAAAACGCACCTTTTGTCCTCTCGAAACGCCAATAAGGATCCGAAATCGTAAGCGCCAATGTCAGAGAAGTACGCAGGATCGTGTATGTCGGCAATCTTTACTTTTTCAACCTACGAGCCACATATTTCATTTTAGTCCCATGAAATTATTGTAAAAATAAATTTAATACTTGATGTTTTGTAAAGAATCACAGAGGAGAATCGGTAAGATTCATTCGTGTCGAACTGAATTATAAATGATGGGGAGAACGTTGTTACTTTTGAAAAGACCGCATTAGGATTCATATCCAGTCTCGGGAGATCCGCGATTCCACGAACGTTGATGTTGTAAGTTATGTCACCACCGTCGATGACGGATAACGCGTATGTGCATTGGTGAGTTCCCATTTCCTCGGGTTGATATCGGATCTTGAATTTCTGACTCTCACCGGACTGCAAAATCCATCGTGGCTTCGGCTTCGTCTCCTCGAGCATTATTGTGCTCGCGTTAGCTCCGACGGTGTCTTTACTCTCAATAGTGGATGCGTTCAACGATATAGCGTCTTCGGTTTTATCGACGAGATGTGATCGTTCTCTACGTTTAGTATTCTCGACGTGATTCTCTTGATTATTAATCGCGCTCACGCTCGAGGAATCGACCGTCGCGAGCGTGGACTCGAGCATCGCGGACAACGAGACGATTTCATAGGTTCCTAATTAAAAAACAATTAATTCGTCTCTTCGTAAAAATGCGTTACGTTACGAGCTACAATGTGATATACTCGCCATCACTCCCGTCGTCTCGTTTTCTTATGTAACTTGGCTTGAGAATATGGTATCTCTTCGGCTGGAGATCCGGCTCCGGTGAAATTTCAACATCTAGCCGTGAAATATTATTGTCTCATTAATTTTTACTCGTTACTACATTTTACCGATTATAACTCAGAGATCTATTTTAAAGGTGGTCGTATCGCTTACGGAGAGCTTCTTTGGCGAGACTATTTTCACTCATCTGATTAACCACCAAGTCGTACATTATCCGATCCCACGGATCCATGGCGTTTACATACCAGATATGAAATTCGTTCGCGTGAGTCTGCTGAAATAAATTATAGCGAAAATTTCCACACATTGCAGGTGCATTGAAAATGCAAAGCGTGCTAAATTATACATCACCTTCTCACTGATGTCGGGACCCTTGTCTCCTGGTTTATCGGTTTTCACGATTTTGCCATTTGTCGTGAGCGACGTGTCCTGAAAATCGATGACGATATATATATAATTCCCGTTTATAATTTAGGAAGGAGCAATATACAACGAAATCTTGTAAAATATTGCCTTCTTAAGAGGGTCCCAATTTTTAATGATGTTTTCTATGACCGAGAGATTGCTGTGATAATTATTCATGGCTTTGGCAATATTTTCCAGTTCCTCTGACATTTCCTGCTTCTCTGAAGATTGCAATGGATAAAATGAAATCATGATTTATCATAGTAAACTACTTAATCTCCGTCACAGTTTAATTTTGAACGCTACCTTTCGAATCGTCTTTTTTTTTCAGTTCTTTAGAATTCTGAATCGCTTTCTTGCTGACTGGAGCTTCGGCAATTTGAAATTTTTCTTTTTGATTGTTGGATTTCTCATCCTTCGTTATTTTATTCGTTTCCCTATTTTTCACGATGTCTGCCTTGGAAGATTTGCGTGATGACTTCTATAAAATATGAATTCTGCCAATAAGTAATATTGATAGAAGAATATGTAGTATCGCAATAGTATCGTCGACGTTAAAATGCGAAATGGAAAAATGTCATTAACAGCTATTTAAATTTTCATACATAAAATTCTTGAGAATATATGGAAAAGAAAGAAAATTTAAATTATACATCTCCGTAGTAAGATTAAAGTCAATACTTTTCGTTTTCTCAACTCTGTCATCTGTTGTAGAAATTGTATTCGCCTTTGTAGAGTTTCTTGCTTCTTTATCGGCAAAGTCGATTCCAGATAGAATTTCTTCTCATCTTCTGCAAGTAGCTCATACTCGGATAACCACATTTCGTCAATTTCTTGGATTCTTTTATTAGTTTCTTCCATCAATCTTCTCGCTATGTTCGTACGATGGATATAAGAATTTTAAGACTTAATATCTTATGTAAGATAAAAGTAGTGTATCACGCACCTTCTAATTCTCGCAATTCATTCATCTTTCGAATATATTTATCCATTGAGTTTATAAAAGTCACAAACAACGAATATTCTAAGTGCCCAACGATATCGAGCAATACGAGTAGCGTCGTAATTTCGTTTCTGATAAAGACGTTGTTCAAAGTCTGCAGCACAAAGCCCTTCTTGAAATCCGACAACGACAGTCTGTTTGTTGAGAATAGCAAGAGAAAGATATGAAAAAAGTTGCGAGAAAATTTACTTCACAATATGCGACAAATTATTCAAATTTGTGTGATTAATAAAATTTAAGAAATATTGCAATGATAAAATAATATATATGATATGGACGCAAGTTATCAAGTTATCACTGAATATCTCGGAAAATGCACTTCATAAAAACGCTACCTTTCTCGCAGAACTTCGGCTAATAAGTGAACGTCGAATCCGAGAAAAGTATCATCCTGATTCTTCTCGGTGCTTTTCTCGCCGACTTTGTCTCCCGCCGATTTCGTCGCGTAACGCAACATATTTCTCTGCAGCTGCAGGATCGTTTGAATCTTAAATTCGTAAAGACTCACGGGATCTAAGAATTTCAAATCTTGCTCTCGCAGAATTTTTGCGAGTCCTCTTTCAAGTGGAATGATTGATTCAGGAGGTGGCACGTCACTTCCTGAATGTCTATTGATCTTCGTCGCCGTTTTCAAATTAGATTTAGTCATTTTCGATGATTTCGGACTTTCAGGTGATATTTCGTTCGCTACTGTCTCCTCTTCGCTATGTTCCGCAAATCTGGTTATTTCCGTCCTGTGCAGAGAAATTCCCAAAACGTCTCTGACGTGAACAGATTCAAAATTATCCATTTATTTCCTTCAGTTGGAGAGAATATTTCGAATTTCTGTTTTCGAACGAAAGTCTCTCAGATTCTATTTGAGAATCTAACTTTAATTTCGCTTCTCGTACGTAGGTAGTTATTTATATTTCTGGCCTTGGTAGCAGTAAGTGTTGCCAGACATCATCTGACGTTGTCATTGGAAACTTGACATTGTTGAACATAAGAACACATTATCATTTGAGCGCGGTTTGTGTTGTTTACAGTGAATTGAAAAATTCATGTCGGGCAAAAAATGGAATTAACTCGTGAACATTTTCGTGCGATAATTTTTCATAATTTCGACGTGGATTATCAAGACAAGAGTGCATCGATGAACTTAATTCTTTATACAGCGAGAAAGCACCATCCTACAGTGCTGTAGCTTTCTCATATTTTGAAAAACAATAAAACCAATTTCGATCATAAATATTTGTTTTTTCATTATTAGGCCAGAAATATAAGTAGCAACCCTCGTAATTACTCATATTTCTCCAGTTCCGACAAGTACTCCTGATACGCGTCGTCAATGATCCGCCGCAGTTCGACAGAACACTGGTTGTCGCCGAGTGCAATTCCTTCAATCATAGCGTTGTCTATGCATAGTAAAGGCACGTGCAACACCTTGGCGCTTCTACATGCGGCTTCTTGATATTCTAAACAATAGCATGCATCCACATGCACACGCATACAATTCAATAAGTATTCAATATATTTTCCTCGAACATAGTGTTCTCATAGTGCGCGAAATTACCGGTAAACGGCGCGCCGTGAAAAATAATGCAGACTTTTTTGGCCGGTTGCGTAGGGTCGGGTTCTGGAATTGGGCTTTTCTCGAGACTATCAAACAGTTCCTTCACGGGATCTTTCATTTCCTCCGAGAAATTTAGTTCCTCGCGCAGAGCTTCTACGTAGCCTGAACAGAGAGCCATATTTTTACCAAAAGGTATAACAATTATTTTGCAATAATATTTATCATCCAGGTAGTGTGACTCACAAATGAGCATAAGCTGAATCTCTTCGGGATTCTTCGTCAACCATATCGGCTCGGAGAGAAGATCTTCAGGACTTTGTTCTATAATTAAATTAAATGCAATGTAATGAAGTGAAGAAACGAGAGTCCTGAAGGATTAAGATAGCATTAAACACATCCAACATCAACAGCAAAAAAAAGGGAGCTGCAAATATAGCGAAGTCAAAAATATTGATTCACACGAATAGTTAAATAATTGAATAAACATAACAGAAACTGAAGCAATACAGAACGTGGAGAAAACCAAAGAAAAATGCAGAAGCATCGAGAAGGAAAAAAATATTTAAGGACGCAAAAGAAACGTAAGAGAAACGCAATATAAACACGTACGGAGGAAACGCTAAAGAAACGCTAAGAAAACGCATAACGAAATGCATTCTAAGATGGCATGGTGGTTTTACTCCCCTTTCGCAATCTCATAATTTCTCAAAGAGTTTACGATGAAAAGAAGTTATAGATGTGGCTTGAACAACGTCGCTTGGCAAGGAATTCCATAGATATGTTGCAGAAATAGTGAAGAACTCTTTGTATATTTCAGTAAGGTAGGTAGGAAGAGCGAATTTTAAATTAAAAACACGAGTCGTCCCAAGGACGGACGCAGAAACGGAGAAACGGAGGAACAAGTAGCAATAGTAATAGTAGGGGAGAGAGAGAGGGGGGGAGGGATGGAGTTAGAGAGTTTATTTAACCCGGGAGATAGGGGGAAGGACATAAAAATCCCAGACTCGAGAGCACACAATAGTGAAAATAAAATATGGGCTTGCTAGTAAATTTAACTCAACGAAATAATACATTTAAATAGGAGAAGAAGATACAAAAAACAAGTGATAAAAAAGAGAGAGATAGAGAGAAAGTTTATCTTTGACTATTCCCCATGTACACATATATACCGTTTAAAGTAGCGACAGTTCCTTCCTCGATCGTTCTCGCTGACAAAGCGTACTCCATCTCGCTCACGAGGCTATTATAGAATTCCATTAAAAACGTCGGCATTCTCTCTCCGAGTTTTCGAGGCGGTAATAGGATTTCTTTAACTCCGTAGTAACGAATCAGCACCTCGGCCGCCCGTTCCTCTTCCGGAAAAAGACTGCGGACCCGTCGCAGTTTATTCAGTAAAATATACTACTCGAAGAGACGAAATTCCACCCACGCCACTTTACTCATCACTCTCGCTCTCGTCTCGCCACAAAGTGAGAAAACCGCCGCACGCTTTTCCTTATTTTTTTTCTCTTTTTTTTTTCTTATCTTAATGATTGCCACATACACATAAAATGCACTTTTTCGCTTTGGCTAACCTTTTTTCTTTACAGATTTTTATTTTCACTTTGCCGTAATTTCTAATTTTTTTGCTCTTACGATGACGGTTACCTATCGAGATGATGCCAAAAAAATTCCACCGGGTCCTCGCAAACATTCTCGATCGTAAATATTTTCTCCCGCACTCCGGTGAACGGAACCGAGGGTGGGAAATCGATGTCGGATTCGCTTATCTGCAATTTTCGCTCTGTCCCATGACCGCGCAGTGTTATCGTTTGCTCCTCCAGTCCCATGTCGACGATGATTTTTACTTTCGCCGTCGCATAACACTGTAAACGATCGACTGAGGGTCGTATAATCGTGCAAATATGTGACGCATAAGGTACGCGGCAAATACCGTTTTGCGCGGCTTGAAGTAGACATTGATGATATTCGAACGACCCGGTGAAAGAATCTCCGGTTTGTAGCTCAAATGGAACTGGCAATCCTTCTGTCTCTTGCGAGTATTGCTCGTCATTTTCGCTTCCCAGCAACAATTGATGAAGCCTCTGAGAATCGAGACACGTGTTAGTTTTTTCAGTAAAATCCAGTAAAATCAGCAGAAGATGCACTTAAGAGCCGATACGTTACTCGTTCTTCAGCAGAACGCTCATCATTAAGCATTCCCCCACGATGACAGTTTGGAAGTCCAACGATCTCGTGTTCAGGCTCACGAACGGATAGGTGACGACGCTTTTTATGATTATCGGGATGGTAGGACCGCGGGATACCTTGTGAAATCAAACAAAATATCTCTGATACGCACTGTGAACTTACATCCCATTATAAAAAATTTCATCATTTTTAGCCCCCGGAAACTGTTAGTTTGCAATTAGCTAGTAACGTTAGTTAGTAGTGAAAACGTGTGATGAATAAACACGGCGAATGAAATATTTTTGTAAAGATGGATTTTTGGATCATCGTATATATTCAAGCACACATTCAATAATTTACAACGAATTCAATATCAAATTTGCATATAATATTATATATATATATATTAATATTAAATTGCTGGCAAAACGTTACATCGCCGCAGTGAAAATGTTGGCTGAAATCAAAAGCGTCGCGTTTAAACAGTCGAATAATTAACTTTACTTCTAAATGAATCGTATGTTGTTCCTTCGTGCTTCTCTCGGTGTATCCGGCCGATGTCGGTCGCCATGTAACAACCAAGGGTGCAGTTTCCCCGACTTTCAATAGCACCTTCTTAAATTGCACGACGATACCGGAATTCTCAAGTTGTTTCTTATCTAATTTCTTTATCGCGATTTCCACGCTCCATGGTCCGTAATTGATAATCGTCGTCGAGTAACGCGCTGTGAGATCGATCGCGACGAAACCCATGTCTGAAAATATTCGTCGCGCCGTTGATCACCGAAGTCGCACATTTCTTCCACGCAATTCCCCGTAGATCGAATTGCAGATAATTTGAGATCAGCGCGATATTCCCACGGACATACCTATGACGTATTCAGGAACGTAGAGACGAGGAAGGACGGCCTTTTTATGCGGAATGGAATGTTTCATCAAGACGGATGCATTCTCCTCGGTGAAACGAGTCGCCAGGAGTCTGTCGATAGCCATTTCGATCTCGACTACGCTGGGAAAGATTTCCTCGGGCGTGATCAGGTCCCATAGATCACCTGGGAAAAGAAAGGAAAGGAATCAGTTGGAGTTTCAGTTCATTTCATTAATCTGACAGGTTTTACGTTCTATCGCACACATATAAGTCTGTTATTTTGTGAATTTATTAACTAGATAGATATATTAATTGAGGCGAACACGATCTCACGTGATAGAATCTTCTCGTCCCATTCGGGTATACGAGTCCACGGTCTATTATCGTCCATATCATCGAGTTGCATCATCACTTGTCGTCTCTGAAACGCAAGACGCTAAAATAGCATCGTAATTTTCGTGCTCGCAACCAAAATTCCGCACCATCGCGAGATAATTAGAAGTTAATAATTGGATCGCTCGGTAACCCAATTCAACGGAATGCCGCTGAAAAATATCTTCGCGTGGGATGCAGGGGTAAACTTGCGGGTAACTTGTAACGCCTTTCACGGTAATTATCTGCGGAATTATATGAGCTACCTAAAAAAGAAAATATATATGTATATATATGAATATTTTTGTACAGTAGGCATAATTGATAATATGATTAAATTACGATAACATGAATTATGATTATAAATTATGATATTAAGATAATTAATTGTCATAATTTCATTGTATCATTTTATTACATTATGTATTATGTTATGTAATCATAATCAAATAATCGATAACACAAATATTGATTTTTGCGTTAAGACGTATTTATATACTATACGAAATGTGGTTGTTAAAAACTGGGACTGGTGAGTGATAAATGTAATATATTTAAAAAATGTAATACAATTTAACTATGTATGATCCTCTTCAATATACTATACACCACTATCTACATACTGCTGCATACGCATTTTTTATTGTCCAAAGCAGCTTACTTCTTTCACTAACTGAAAATGGAATTCCTTCAACACTCTTTTCATTTTTGGGAATAAATAAAAGTCGCAGATTGTTAAATCCGGCGAATATGAGAATTTCTCGAGCACCGGGGATGCGTTTATCAGACAAAAACTCCTTTACGGAAACTGTATCAAGACGTTGTGAGCCAGCACATTGTCTCGATACAGAAATCCACGCTTTGTTCCCCCACAAATTCGGCTTCTTCTTTCAACAAACACAAACATTCTGTCGGAGATTTTTTCAACGAAATTTTTTTTAACGAAAAATTTCTAATTGACGCGCTGTGCAATTTTTAAACTCGGCATGATTCTGTTAAAATAACTTAAAGACGTCCATTTCCAACAATGTCTGAGTGCAAACTAAATAGCGGAGTTGGACGGAAGCAGTTTCGTTCGTTGCAGGAAGGTCTATTCCCACCCATATAACAGGATTCGTCATTATGGTGGACAGTCCCGTCTTTAGATAACCACATCTCGTGTGTTATTATGTATTTCGTATTTCGTGATTACGCGAGCAATTAATTCATGACGATAATTTGCATCGCGCGAAGTTTGACATCAAGATACACTGCGATATGGGAGAGGGAGGGGGGTATATCACAACGCACTTGCAGTTCTAGCTCGATTTCGAAAGCGCCGAGCAGCGTCGGTTGGAATTCGATCTCAATTTCCATCGACGATAGCGGATCTATGGTTCCTTTATTCGGCCGGACCGTTAACGCGTTGATTGCGTGGCCGCTTTTTCCCGCGTTCGATATTAAATTCCTCTCGTTTATCTTGTAACTGAGGGATATCACGCTGCGATTCGCTAAAGTGAAGCTCGACCGGCACGTTTCGCCGTACAACTACGGTGCGGGTCGATACGACCACGGAGGTTGAATTAGCTTTAACGTGTGTGTTACTACGCGCATTCAATTAAAAAAACATAAAGCATGTGAATAGTCGCTCACCCGTTCGTTGAAATCGATGATTCGTTTGTTAACGAAGAAGTGGACGAAGTCCGCGTTGGCGGTGACGTTCACTAGCTCGGTGGGGCCCTGAAGAACGTCGCAGAGCGCGACGACTTTGATCCGCACGGGCTCGGTGCCGTGGAAAATGAAGCACGTATATTGCGAGGAGTGTGGAAGGATAGTGCCTTCGTGCGGAACGATATCGAGTATCTAAATGACATATAGGAGAAAAAAGAGTAAAATGACGAAGTGGGTAAGATGATGATTTGCCAATTGAATTGAATAAATAAATTTTAATTGAATGAATAAATATAGCGACCATGAGGTAAGATAATATATAAAATAATATGAAAAGTTCATAAAAATTATCTATTTTTTGCACACATGAAAAAATTTATTTTCGGCCCTCGTTATCTTACCCCACATACAAAAGTCACGTTCTTGTCACGTTCTTAAATTAAACAAAATTTTTATTTATTTAGATTTTAATTTATACAAATGATAGACAAGGCTTTAGTTATTCAGAAAAAAGTCAATCATTATTATTATGTCACTATGAAAATGTAGGAAAAATCGATACGCTTAAGGTCGTCCTACCTCCCTCATCCCTATTAATTTTCGATTGAAATTAGCTATCGTCGTGATTACGTAAGCGGCAATCGCCGAATAAAATTCGCAATCTATAAGATGCGCACACACGCGCGCGTGTGCGCGCGACAAATATTAATTTCGCTAGATTGAACTTTATTGAGAAGAGAGAGACACCAACCCCGTCGAGTGACTCCCTCGTGGGAGGAAGAGGCTTGAGTGCAGACTCCATCAAAGCGAAAATTTCCGGGTCTTCCAAGTATGATAAATAGGACATTTCTATCGGCCTTCCCGTAGGTAAAAGGATGCTCCTCAATTTATCACGCGTTTCGTTCAGCACTCGCGAACAGAGCGCTTTTGCCAGCGAAGTCTCCGACACCGTTTTCCGTAGATCTGATTGCGAAAAGCACACGCGACGAGCGATGTGTTATCTTTCGGCAAAGTACGACCCGCAAGAGAAATGGTAACTCTTACGAGAGAACTGAATCGAGCGGTTAACACGGGACGTTAGACGGAAATCCCTGATGTACCGGGTCGGACGAAAGGTTCGGTTCAGTTTTTCAGACAAATTTCATATTTTATCGCATTTAACGTAGACAGACTCGTCAATCACCGTCGTCATTTATAATAATAATAACTATTGGTCACTACAAGCAAAATAAAAGTTAGCAATTATGCCAAAAATGGTAATAGCAGCAAAATAACTGCAAAGAAATTGATATAACTCTCTGATCCAAGCAGAACCACCAGTTAGATAAATTTGTAATCGCTATATTGGTCGTAATGTAGTATTCCTATAATTCCTCATCAACGTTCAAATCGAATTATTTCACCGACCCGATAATTATTTCAAATGTAAATTATTATCAATACTAAAACAGTACTTTCTCCGATTACATGAATAATTCATACCGTAGCACGATGAAGCTGACGTTGCGAAGATCTCTGAAGATCCATTTCCGTTCTCACGATCCTCCAAATTTTCCTTGCGATTGCACAAGCGCGCAGCAAACTCGCAATCCACCACGTTGATTTGCAACTCTGAATCGTCCGTGAAATTCTGTCGACGAAAAATGCACGTTAATACACAGAGAAAAAGATTTCTTTGGATTTAGTATTCATGTTTATTTAACTTTGGTTTGTTTAGTATAAACAATATAATTTAATTTCAAATATGATTTTGTTTGAATGAAAATATTGTTATTTCATTAGAATAAACCAAGTTGTTTGATAGAAAAAAAAAATTATTTAAAGGAAATAATATTTTGTTTTCAAGAAAAAAATGATTTCATTATATATTAAATATTGTTCTATTGGAACAAAGAAGTTCTTTAATATTATCCTAACAATGTTACTTATTTCAAATAATTTGTTGCTTATGACAACTATTATGATGTTTGAATAAAAAAAATATATTATTTGATATAAAAGTATTTATTGTTTGAGAAACTAAACAATCTTTTTGTTGAATCAAATATTTGTTTGTTTTTTTTCTTCCCAAGAGACAAATTTGTTTCGATTAAAGAAATTAAATCCGAAGAAATCTTTCTTCTGTGTAATAATTTCTAATTCGAAGTAACTCACCCTAGCGTCATACGTGACCCGGTGAATCTCGATACTCTCTCCCGCCCACAAAAACTTATACATTACAGGGATCGGTCCATTGTTAGTCAGCTTGAACTTTTTCACAGCTCTCGAGCCCAAGATGCAATTAATGGTCGCGTCTCTGCTGGGCAACGTGATGCTCGGAAAGTTCACAGCGCCTTTGCACAGTATCTTATCCTGGAAATAAACGGACGAATTATTCGCGTTGTACAGGCCGATTTTACAATGCAAATCTCACGGGGTAGGGGTTCACCTTATTAGGATGCTCGTTATACTTGAGGTAGAGCGCACCGTTGTAATTCTTCGAGCAGGGATTATCGAGATTTATATCGGGCGAAAAATTCATCGGGATCGTCACGGTGGTCCCGCTCGTCAGAACGATTTTCCTCTTACTGACGGACTTCTTTTCATCAGCCGTCAGATAAAAGGGAGGCTCGACGTATAATTGAACGTTTAAATCCAATCGCGACTGATTCGTCACGACTAGCTCATCTGGAAGTTAACGAATTCAGTTCGTCATTATCTTATTGAATATGATATCGTGTAAGTACGACGAATTACATAAATGATTGGGCAATTTTATCGGTCTTGATATCATATCGATCGTGCATAAATTCTGGCATTCTTCGAGAGGTTCAACGAGAAGTGCATCTTATTTATCCTGCTGATGTATTAGATTGCCTAACTTTTCAGTTTTCTTCGCTGGAACAGTCCCGGACAAGATCGTATACCATTTCTTACCTGCTTGTTCTAACTTTTCCTCGTCGGGACATATATCGATGCGAAACGTTAACACTCTCTTGTTGAACGAGATCCGTGGCTCTATAAAAGTCGCCTTAAATGTAGTAGTGCCGAACAATTTCCGCTTTTTTTGTCCCTGTGTTTGCCCGAATATATACCAATCTTCCGTCAAGACTTCATCCCTTCAATACGAAAAAAATGTTCTCTGTGTTCGACGCTCAGACGGTTCCTCGTGAAACAAATGCGATTGACATAGAATTAAAAATGATAAAAAAAGCTTCCATTGTGAAATTGCACAATTTCGTGAAAACTGGTGGGATTTCAACAGTTTTCTTCCTCGTTAAAATTGTTGCAATCGAGTTGCTTCCCTACGTTTCAAGATGAAGAACGACCACAACTTACGCGTCCCAACATATTTTGCAATGCACCACTTTAAAACCGCCGGCTAGCACGTCTACAATAGCCGGCTCGACTTGGAACTTGCTACTAAAACAGATCACTTTTAGCACGTCGTAGTTATAAAGTACAAATTCACAATAAGGTCGCGTTGTTACGTTGGTAAGACGTGGCCCCTTTGAACGCGTACTTCTGGATCGTTCGTCCATATTATTTGGTGACGATGAGTGCTGAGATTCTTGATCGTTATCGGTAGACTGTGACTTTGACGACTGGTGAAAATATTAAATAATTAATAATGCAATACGCGAGGAAAGCAAGCGTCAACGAAACGATTCTCGTTGATGTTTAGCCGTCAGAGCGAGTTAACACTTCAATCGTTATCCCTACCTAAAGAGAAAACCCATGTCGAACATTGGATATATCTGCGGCTCGAAGGTGACGCTACAACCGATGCCACTCGCAATCACGCTAATAAGAATCGACCGGCTATTCGTGATCTGCGTGATTACAGCGCCGACGTATTTACCGGGATCACGTAGAAATATTTTCACTTCGAACTCCGCAGATTCATTCGGCCCAAGTTCGCCAGAGATTGGATTAACGAGCCACGGTGCATTTTTCTTATCCTATACAACACGAGGTAAGCCTCTAAATTTATCTCTTCTCTATTTTCTTACAGTTTATAAATTCATTACTTCGAACAAATTATTGAGGGAACATTTACTGGCGTGAACTTGAATTGCGCCGGTATCGGTGCGTCGTTGATCATACGAAAATAAGTGACTCGCTCCTGAAGTACCGGGATATCCCCAAAATCGAGGTAGATAGGCTCCACGGACACCACCGGTCCTTGGCCGTTACAAATGATCATGCAGGATGTGACTGGTGCCTGTTCACCCATCGTCAGCATGCTGAGACGAGAAGAACGATACTTCTTTTAAATCAAAAATAGAGATAGACGTAGTTATCGAGGAAATGGCGGGTCATCGAACAAAACGAGCATATTTTATCGATTGATTGTATTTTAAAATAAATTAATGTTTTATGTACATTTTGATTTAAAACGGAGCGAACTTTTGCTTCAATTAAACATTTAATTATATGTATAAGCCGACCCAAACGTTGGTTACTATTTCATATTTCCTAGGTTTCTAATACAAAAGAACCTTGCAAAAAGAATTTCAAACATATATCAATTGTAAAAAAATTATGAATTTTTCAAATCAATAGCCGCTATTTGAGCCGTCCTGTATTCATCGTACTTCAGCGTAACTTGCTGTTTGCCTAAAACTTTCGTGATCACCGTGATGTCGATCTTCTTCGACTGACGCGCTTTCAGGAAGCCTTGATGAGACGACATCGAGTATACCATCGGGATATCTTCGGATATCTAGAGAACCGGATCATCGCGCCGTTAGTTAATCACTAAACAAATTCTTTAAATTATATAGAAAAAACTCTCATGTGTCGTTCGTAAAGTTAGTTCTCGAAATTAGCTCAGCACGTTCTACCGCTTGTGGTGCTATGTAAAAGTATCCGTCCAGGTCGGAGTTGTTTTCCACGTTAATAGAACGTGAATAGGGAAAGTTGAGGAATGAGAATCGAATGTGGATCTCTGCTGGCGTGATCGATAAGGCGGGAATGGCGCCGCAAAATAAGATGGGTAGTAACACTGGATCCGAGTCCGAGTCCCACACGTCAACGCGAACGGTTGATTGTCCACTTCGAACCACGTTCGCTGTATATGTCACCTAAATATTTCAACATAATAATAATGTATTAAATCTTTGCCAAAATGTACATAAATCTTTTTTCTTACGAACAAGGAAACTTCGAAACGAATCGTCTATTGTAATCTGTAAAATTCAGAAATACCGCCCCAATAGCGATAAAATTATCCAATTCGAAAATAATCTAATTTGGCTCAACAACGTTAGATCGTATAATAACTAATTTCGGATTTCTTTTCAGGTGAGAAACAGAACAATTGTATTTCTCTGTCGTTATAATTTTAGAAGTGTACGCGCCGTTTCGATCTACGATCTTTCGGTTTCTTTTGCTTTACAACATTACAACGATTGTGTAATCGTTTTATTTTATTTGACAATTCCGGGATTACTAATTTCACGGCCTAATATAATTGAGAATAATAATTGCGTGAAGAAAAAAGATAATATATCAACATTTACGCGTAAAAAATTCGCAATATACAGATCAGTCTCTCGTTTAATGTAAATATTCATGAGGTACATGAGGAGTTTAAAGGTATCGTTGGTAACTAACTTTTAACTTAAGCGAACTGTGCGCCTGTATTACTCCCTTCTGCGGGATAATGGTGAACTCGCGAGGATTCGTCGGAAAACTCATCCGGGCTTCGGATCTGGCGAACTCTTCGTGAGTCAACGGCGTCTGATCGCCGTCCTCCATTATGGTCGCGCCGAACGAGATCGGTATCAAAGACAAGTTACGAAGATAAACCTCGTGCCTTTTGCTGAACCCTGAAAAAGTGTACGGCGAACTGCGGTTTTGCTAATTGAGCCGCTATTAGTTATCGTGAGCAATATACCTAACGCGACCGTGCCGAAATCGAGGCTGTTCTTGTCGAAATGCAACGTCGGGCACACGATACATCCCCTGCGGACACATGGAGAAAAGTTCCACGATATAATATAATAACCTAGTCTTGCCGACTGAAACAAATTAATGCGTTTTAAATCGACAAACAGCGAAAAGCCAATACAAGTCAATGCAAGAAATTGAACTTCGCAGGCGTCTAACAATGAAAGTAAATTTGTGTTCAACATCGCTACTAATTAATAACGTAATACTCATTTCTTCTAATGGCTATATAGATAATGATTAAATAAATAAGTTAGCTCTGATAATTAAATAAAAACATTTACAATTACGAGATAAAAAATAATTAGTTGATTATATATTTCCAGTTTCCCAGGAGAACTTTCGTCAGGAGGTTTTCCCTCCACTGTCCTATATTACATCAGAAGACCCTCCCCCCACCCCCCTCCTCCACTTTTACGAGCCAGATGGAGGGAACCTGGCCAGTATTATCTCTACGTCCTCCATTCCTCCGAAGAGGTTTAGAAGTTCGGAAGGGCCGCCTAATAATGGACCCCTTCTCTGCCCCCCTCGTCGTCTGACGCCCTTTAGGTTCCACCCTTCTAGTGGGGGGACCTCTTAAGACCGCCTTTAAGATCTACAAGAACTTGCTGTAAAAATTGTCCAGACAGATGATAATTTTTCAGATTCTGACACTATTTCATTTCAAGTCATTAATAATCTATAATATAGTAAGTGAAAAACGAAGCACCCTTCTCGATGGGCCTTTTTAGGACCTGCTGCTCCGATTAGTTTTTTTATAAATCTGCCACTGCCCAATGTGTTTATTGCGAAGTTCGCGCGAATGTCGTACTTGATATATAAGGATAACACTTCCGAACTCTCTTCAACGACGAAGTCGATTCGCTCCATAAAATCCCCTTTTCGATTTGAAGAATATGACAAATTGAACGACTTGTACTCGTTCGGTATCAACGTCAGACAAGGCGGAGTAATGTTAACAGTGCCACCGAAGTCCGTCGGTCTCTCTTTGTAAACTAATGTGCCGTTGATATGTCCTTTATTTGCTGCCACGATCTATAATATTTAGTTAATCTAATTACCTTTGTTACCTTGTACGTTTGTTACCTTGTAACAAACATTTCAGTGAATCCTTATTTACACAAAATAGTTATTACATAAAATTATAACATTAAAGCGTCATTTACATAAAATTATAACGTTAAAGCGTCATTTACATAAAATTTCACGTAAAATACAATTTCAGTGTATACATCCGCTTCTGATGCAAATGCGTTAGTAAAGACGGAATTAAGCAGGACAATTGCGTTAATTCCTTGTAAATCTTTCCATTTAAATGACTTGGTCGGGGATTACCTCGTAGTTATGCACGGAACACAAGTAAATGTTGTTCAGGTCTATCGTGATTACATTGAGACGAAGAAGCGGTCCCTTGCCGATTCCATGAAGGCTACAACCGTCGGGACGCGAAATTAGCCGAAGAAATGCGAGAGAAAGAAAAAGAAGAAGTATCCTCTCGAGGATAATGTTATGCTAGTTTTCTCACAAACCTTAGTGGTATCCTGTCCTCGCGGCCCGTGACTTCGAGATAAGCGACGCTCGATATTTCCCCTACCCCCGTTGGCCGAAAGATTACCGTAATATCGGTGCAAGAGCGCGGCCAAATTTCACCCTCCTGCCAAGTGGATGCAGGACATTACATACATCAGATGCGATATCGCCGCCCATATCCGGCAAGCTCGTATTATCCTGCCCCGCGCGCTCGATGAATCGATGGCAAAAACTTTCACAACGGACACGTAAATGCAGAAATAAATGAATTATCGCGCGACAAGAATATATCGCGTGATTAAACGACGGATCTAACGGTAAATCTATCGCAGGATATCATCACCTCGGGCGTGAGGAGGAAGGACGCGTGATTGTAGCGGAAGCCCTCATTCATCAACGAAGCAATCTCGTCCGTGTAAATCCGCTGGCAGACGAGCTCGTGGGTATCTGGCAGGCAAATATTGTAATGAACGAGACCGACGCGTCGCACCGCCTCCATATCGCGCACCAGCTGAAAGAGTCTTCCGTACCTGTTACCGGGAAGGCAGGAATGGGAGAGAAGAAGAGGTGAAAAAATATCGCCACGATTCGCCGCGACGTCGATTGACAAGTACGCGGGAAAACTTTCGGGCTAATTTTGCGGGAGGATAATTGCTCTTTCCGCTTACTCGTCCCGTCGCTGTGCATCGTTATTCTTGTCCCTGAAGCACATCCATTGGAACTTGACTATGTAGTCGCTTCTATTGTGAATCGTCAGAACCTTGCTTCTGGACAGGCCCAAATAAGTGTCCTCCATTCTGACGCTATTCCTGTCAATGCGTATCGTGCAATTCGCCGAGGAACACTGCAGCAATAAGCAGAGTTTCTCCCCTGCCGATAATATGCACGTCGTTAAGGATAGCTGTTGCATCGTTAAATATAAAAACGTTAATTCATAGTTTGATATTTCATATATTTCTTATATTCTTTCTCCCTCTTTCCCTCTCTATCTCTCGGAGTTTAATATCAGACGGAGCACAAAGTTTCTTAATACCGGATTCATAACTGAGGAAAAGATTAGCTTTGAAATCGCCGGATTCCTCGGACACGAAGCTCGCAGTGAACTGCATCATCTCTTCCTCCCCTAATGTGCCTCTCGACGGTTCGACGGAGAAATACGGACTGACATAATTATGGGGATTGTTGCGTATTAGAAATTATTTTTTGCTCAATTATTATCTATTGCTTAATTATGAATTGTGTAAAATATTTTTTTATAACTATCTTAATACGCCGATAGCCACAGTGACATTAAGAAATTTTGTTTCTGAAGCTGTTTTAAATTCAGCGAAGTTATTTTTATTCGCGTTAACTAATATTCACTACTCGACAAAATTCAAGATTTAGTACGGCGCTGTTGATCGATTCTGTTGATACAACAGCGTTTTTAGTTCCCGTACGAAGAGGGGAATCCTTTCGGCCCGCCAACTACGAGATAACTCGTATCTGGAGATCGTGTTAACACTAAAACCGCTGAGCTTAGGTATCCCGCTGGAACCTTCTTAGGTGCCAATTTGACTTCCACTTTTATTTTCGACTACTAAAAAAGTTATTTTGATATTACTTCCATTATTCGAAGTTATATTCACATTTAAAACGATAAAGAGTCAGAGAAAACTATTACTTAATACAAAAATGTGTAGGATTTATAGCAATTTTAAAAATCAGCGAAGCCGAAATGGCACCATCGGCGGTTCTAATGTTAAACAATTTCACGTAACGTACTGGTCCGAGCAGAAATTGAAGGTCGCCGGCGCGTCTCCCACATTGCGTACCAAGATCGTCCTCGAGGAGGAGATCTTCACCGCGGTGTTCGGTATCTCGATCTGATCGGGGATATCGAGTACAGGCCTCGGACCGAGAGCTGGAGCAATATTAATTCAGTCCACAGCATACCGCGCGTATACGTGATCGCGTGTAATTGCGATGTAATTTACTTTCTCACCGATTACCGGCACCGCGAAGACGTCGCCGTCGTCGTTGTCGTCATCGTCGGCGACGAATCCGACACGATACTCGTAGTCTCGCCTTTCGGCCGGGCTGAACCTGACGTTATAAACGTGAACGAGCCCGGGCGCTACGACCGTGCTGTAATTCGAGCCATGATGTTCCACGGTGAAAAAGGGATCGGGGTCGCGCGAGATCCTCAAGCGCCGCGACACCTTTAACGTAATATCTCAAAAATGGAATCGGGGTTGATCTCGGGAATATCGTACGAAGGACGAACGATGCCGAGTCGGCGAATGACGTGAGACGTCAACCAAAAGTCTTGATTGCGAAAAACGGGAAAGAACAATGAACACCGTACCTTTGATACATTGCGTATTGTAAGCGTTGCGTTGTACACGTCGCCGGGAACGAATCGTTGAAAGAGAACAATACAGGGAGATGACTGGAAGTGGCGGCTTTCGGTAACATGTAAAGCTCGCGCGTTCATACTGCGACTGTGTCTCAGCAGATAGTCGAGTCTCTCTTGAGTGCTCATCAACATCTGCCTGATATACTCCGAGGGCGGCATGAAATACTGCGGGAAAATATCGATGAAATTAATAAGCCTCGTTAAGATGCCAGATCGACTATTATTCCGTGTTTTTCTCAAGCGAACTTCCTGTTCCTTCGGCGACTTGCCGGCTGTGGCCGCGAATATCTCCACGGAATTATGTATCGTCGGGTAACGCGCCACCAGACATCTCCTCTCTTCCTCGTCCATCTTTTACAATTAAAACTTCGCAGCGGACGATGTGACCAGGCGCGAAAGTATTATTAATTGCGTGCGCGTGCGGGCTCCAGTTAACTAAAATGTTGCCCGCGACTCGCGAGATATTGTATAGTTCGCTCTGAAGTAGCAGAAGTTATTACAGTGTGACATTTGTTATCAATTATTCGCGCACCGAACCTCGTTCGAGGTTGCTGAAATGTCGCGGTTTTCAGGTAATATGGATTCGACGAGGCACGAAAGCCTTCCGCATAATCTGCATCTCGCAATTTGCGAGATGCGCGAGGCCGGAATTATTTCCGATGATTATGTCAGTACGAAAGCCAGCAACGTGCAATCGGTTAATGCGCAATCAAATGAAAGTGTTATGAAATAGCGTATACAGAAAAAAGTGCTCGAGTAAACGTAATTACCTATTTTCCGAATCTTAAATCTTAAATCGGGCAATATTTTTATCAATTTAAGTATATTTTAATAACTTGTAGTAAATACTTACTTAGACGCGATACAATACTTTAATTTATAAATAAATTACTGAATGTGAGTATAAAGTGGTTCTAGATTTAAGAGAGTATTTACTAGATTTATGTAATACTCCTTTCCCACTGAAGAAACCTAATGGTTTTTAAATTTAAATTTTTCTGTCCAGTCAATATTTCTTGAAAATAAATTCTGATATTTTCAGTGTTACGAATATAATACTTATCGCAACTGTTTTAAATATTTTCAACATATACAAGGAAATGTTTATTTATATGAAAGAAATATCATATACAGTGAATTATATTTCTACTTCCGGTAAATATTTGCTAACGAGTATTGGAATAAACATTTTACTTGGAACAAGTAAGCATTACTTGAACGGTAGCACGTTTTATTCAGTATGAGAGGAGCGCAACGACACACGAATGAAAAAGAAACGCAATTTTCCCTAATCTGAGTCCTTTATTTCAATTTCTTTTTTTTATACAAAAGCAGCATCCTCCTTCCGAATGATGATTTCCTTTGCCGTAACACAGGTGGTATTGGGACAGCCGCCGCCGTGACATAAAGGTTAGTTTCTTCGATTCTCGCAACGTTCAACTAATGGCCACGAGAAGACGAGCCAGCCGCGCTGCTTGCGCAATTCATCAGGTAACGTGGCGCCCAAGTGCAGGGTGGCAACCGAGGTGGCTCGCGCGGCATCCACGATACGCAGCAGGGATCACAGGTCTCCCCGCGGCAGCACACCCCGCGACAAGGTCCTCGAGGACATCCTAGAGGAGGACAGCTCGCGTTGCACAGCTTGGGCTCGGGCTCCCTGGCGGAACGGAAAAGGGAATATCATGTTCCGTGACACCTGTCGCAGTATCGAGGACTTCATTCGGCTCGGGCATCCTAGTAAACGTGTATTTCCCCGACGCGATTATTAGATCGACTCGGCTATGGCAAAAGGCAAAGGCAAATGGCAAGTCCTCGCTTACAAGCGATCGATTTCGCGTAAGATGCCGCAGAACTCGTCCATAAAATTGCGCTGCCGGTAGTCTCTGTGCATGTTGAGCGCACTTTGAGAATTTCTCGGTAAATTTCCGCAACGATAAGTTGAACCTGGACACGCCGAAACTTGAAGGACAGTTATCGAATGGTTGCCCCTCCGCCGCGATTCCCAGATTCGATCTCGCGCTAGCTTCATTCCGAAATCAATGAAAAAATGAATAACGCCAGTTTCATTTGTTAATTATTCACGCGACACGGATTATCTTAATTGTTTTTTCTATATTTATATACTATGTATAGAATATATTTATATTCCAAAGTTCACTGTTACAACGGGTTTTGCCGTTTCAAATATTTATTTATAAAATCTCTACAACAAATATATATATATGAAAAGTTTCTATCGTAAGGTCGAGTAACATTACGCAGTTTGTTGCTTCTACAAGTGTGTGTGCTTTTACAATGATCAGCGCTGTGATATTGCCAAATCTTACGTCAACATGGTAATCAACAAGTGTACCTTCATTGTAGACATCGCCTGCATTTGATTTCATACCACGGATTTATCACTGATGTGAATGTGTAATTTTTTAACTAATGTTGTTGGTAAGTACAGATCATTTAAACGACCTTTCGTTAAATTCCTATTCGCCTTCATGCACTTAAAAATGAGCTCACGGCATGTGCGGCATAAGCTCTGTAATGATAATATTGTTGGAAATACAAATAGATACATAAATGACGAAATATTGGTTGTTTAGCATTCGTTTCGCGGTCTGACATAATGCAAATACGTATCGGCTTATATTGGCAGTGTTCTCAATTTCATCAAAGAATGACGCATTTGGAGAAGCAAATATTTTTCTCTCTTTCCACATACTGTCTTACGAGGTACCTTAATCTTTTCAACATAGAAACCATACTTTGATATAGTATAAATTCTTATTTTCCTGCGCTTGGGGCATTGAAAATAATAAATCATTATTTTATCACTCAATAGGGTCTTGAGAGAAGACAAATCATGCTTCACGATGTTGTCACTTGACAAATACCGATCCAAGATGTTAAGCAGCTTGCTTCCGTCTTTTGATTCAATCATTCTTTTACATCTTGTCAATTGCTTCACTATATAGGAATAGTCAGTTTCTAGAACAATGGGTACAAAAACAAAATTGTATAAATCAGCGTGATATGTAGTATATCAGAAATTCTAAATAATATGCTTTTCTTATGTAACATACACTTTTATTTTATAGTTTTAATAGATTTAAATATGAAAATGTATATATGGGGAGTGTGAAAATATTATATATGCGTGCATGCGTGATTATATATATATATATATACATACGTATAAACGCCCAACTTCTTTCAGAAATAACATAGTTATTTGAGAACTATCTTAAATATATAGTTACCAATTAATATGATCGCTTAGAGCACGAATATCTAAAAAAATCAGCCTCGAAATCATTAATCAGTAAGTACTTACCCTTTATTCTTTCTTTCATTCTTCTAGCCGATCCTTTAGCCTCCAACTTTTTTAACTTAGTATCGGTGATAATACCGCACAATACTTGTGGTTTGGTAATCTTTCTCTTATAATAGTCCTCTCGCAGTTCAGGAACGCTCACATCACGGTGTGTATTCTCTGACATATTGCTCGTTGATAGACATCCTTCAGATTCGTCCTCAGCTACTTTCTGTACTTCTATGAGGAAGACTTCGCATGGCTTCAACGGTTTGGCACTGACAATCGTGGGAACGTCAATTTCATTTTCACCTAAACGTACTGCAACAGTATCATCTTCAAAAAGATTGATTGACCGGCTTAGGCTGCGTAATCGCGGTGCACCGACGTTCATCTTATCCATTATGATGCACTTATCTGAACAAAATTTTCAACAAACAGCGATGCAGTTCCTAAATCGATACTCGCTATATGTAAGACTGAAGTGCAACTGGGCCTTATATTCCTGTTCACTCTTCACTTTTCACGACTTTTGAAGTGTTTGAATGTCCTTGAAAGTAGTGATTCTAGTTAGAAGATGGGTATCTATTTTAAAGAATTCTAAAAAAAAGTGGAGAAAGTAAAAAGGTTGGAAAAAACCTCCGCTGAATGATCCTTATGGAAAAAAGAAGGAATGACTTATTTTCCAGCGATACTTCCTCTTTATATCCCCCCCTCCACATGTCCCTTTTTTTGCGTATCCCTTCCACTTTTCGCACACTAAACCACGTCTTCCAATTAGAATCACTGCTTTCACGAACGTAAAAAGTGAGAAGTGGACAGGTCTATGAATTTCAGTTGAACCTTAGCTTTGGTCAGTAATCGTCTTGTCATACATCCTTGTGGACTAAACGTTCATCCAAAGTTGCGAGCATCTACTTAGAAATTGCAAACGTTTGTTCGGATAAGTGTACTAAAATGGATAAAATGAACGTCGGTGCACCACGATTACGCAGCTTGAGCCAATCAGTCAGACTTTTTGAAGAGAATACTGTTGCTGTACACTTTAATAGTACAGGTGATGTTCCTGTGATCGTCAGTGAGAAGCCGTTGAGTCCATGCGAGGTCTTTCTCATAGAAATACAGAAAGTAAATGAGCAGTTAATGATGAATCTTCAGTCACTGCGCTATAAGACAAGATACAGGCATTATTTCCGTGAACAACATGAGATCTTACTTAACTTCTTCACTACCTTTCCACAAGTAGTGTGCAATATCATCAACGATACTGAGCTGAAAACGTTGGAAGTTAATAGACCGGTTAGAAGATACACCGAAAGAGCTCTAATGGGTAAATACTTTTTGATTAATGATTTAAAAGCAGATCTATTTAGATGTTGTGCTATCGATCATATTAATTGTTGTCTATGTATTTAAAGAACGGGTGAAACTGAATGAAAAAATCATGTATCACTTTGCAAAATTCACAATAATTAGAGAAATTAATTGTTTTATCTGAACTAATGAACGCACAAGAAAAAGGGATAGCTTAGACTCTGTATAACGAAAAAATGGCTATAAGATATTCGCTAACACACATGCAGACGCGCGAGCGCATATATATTTTCACACTCTCCTTATATTTATATGCTTCATATTTCTATATAATAAAACTATAAAGCAAAAATGCGTTACATCACATAACATTACATAACATTTTTGTATTTTATTTGATATCGCCGATAATTACTATTATAGTAATGTTGTCATATAAGATACACACATTACAGTGTTAAATTATTTATTAGATATAATAATGAAAGAATAATATATGTATGTAACTACACAGACACACATACACACACACGCGCGCGCGTGCGCACACAACAGACGCATCCAGAATTTATAATACATTATATATCTTGTTGAATTATACAATGTCGTTTTTCCATTCATGGTTCTAGGAGGAGGTCGCTCCTGTATAGTGGACGATTTAAAAGAATTTGAAAATATGATTGAGGCAAAGTACGGAAGCACGCTACTCAGTATCTTAGATCGGCATTTGCCTGATGTCAACAGCGTTACGCAAGAGTTATCTGGTCTCGAAACTCTTCTGGGTGATAAAATAGCCATTTTTTATTTTGAAAGTCCCAGTATCATAAAAATTTATACTGTATCAAAATATGGCGTTTATCTTGAAAATATTAATGTACCTCCAAACCCTCCTAACGCATTATCTGAGAAGAGGCAGAAACATCTGCTTCTCCAAATGGAGTTACCCTTAGTGCAATTACGGACCCTGCCGATATATGCCGGTACGTATCTACATTAGGTTAGGCCTGTAAATAGCTATTAAACAATTGATCTTTCGTTATTTATATGTCTTTTTGTTTTATCACAGTGTCATCTCTACAAGGCTTAGCCCGTGAACTAATATTCAAGCGCATAAAGGCGAACGAGAAGATTGTAACGACAGAATGCTTGGACAAATTTGATTTACCAAAAGTATTAATTAGCAAATTACATATTCATGCTAATAAAAACACACCAATAACGCGCATGTGTCGTAAATGTCGTAATTACATGCGCAGGCGAAATTTACGCTAAAGGATTCAATGGTTGATTTCTACCTAAAGTACTAGCTAAGTTCTACCTAAAGTAAAATATGCATATATATACTCGTATGTATACATTTATGTACGTAAAATAATAAATAGTCCACTGAAGTTTTACGTTAACATATGAAATGTGTTACAAATAAGCAAATATTTGTTAAGAACTCCTTATAATATTAATAACATTAAATTAACAGAGTCACCCTGTTAACATATGTTTTATGTTTTTTCTGCAATTCTAATTGTTCACTACATTATTTGGGAGAATCTCCCCCACCACGTGAAACACCTCGTTGTCAGATGCTATCTTGCAGTCAGGTATCACTTTGCTTAACCCATTAACTGCCAAATTTTTTTTTTGAAATTTTTGGCCGGATAAGTTATATATATAAGTTATATATATATGCACAAAGAGTTGTGTAACAGTATAATTATATTCAAATTATGTTTTGTTTTGAGCCCCAAATGGGGATCGTGGCAGCTAATGGATTAACCTTCCGAATAGCATAGCAGGTCTTTTGTGTCCGAGCCATTGTAAAAAAAAGGTCGTTTTTCAGGAGGAGCCGAACCTCGCTTTTTTCTTTAAAAAACTTATCAATGGGGAAAATTCCACTGAGAAACCTATAACTTGCCGAATTATTTTTTTAAGCTACATATTTTTTTAATAAATTGGTAATTTTTATTCGTCTTTGTTTAAAAATTATTAGAAATAAAATACTTAGCAATTTATTGTTGAGAAAATAGTTATGCGGTTTTCAAGTAGAAGGATAAAGGAATATCCGGTAATTTTGGAGGATTTCTTCGAGCAATTCAAATGAAAAAATGTTTGAGAAAGTGCAGCTGGCTCGTCTTTCTGTTTCCATTAGTTGAGGCCACTGATTAGTTGAGTAGTTAAGACGTTTTCAAAATGATACAAATAAATTCTTTTAGCGCCCACATACGCACGCATGCACGCACGTACATACACGCATATAAAGATGGTAACAAAAATTTATCAGCGGAAATCTAAAATAATTTTCTAATATACCTTTGATCGTAGCATCGATTTTTCATTTTTTGCTCTCGTATATTTTCCCTCCTTAAATTAAATTAAGAATATCTTTCTATAACATTGCATTAATATTTACACAAATGCCGAAGAAAATATGAAGGAATTTGTGGAGACGTCTTACAAGTAAAACCGAACGCCCTTTGATCCAACGTTTACCATTATAACAAAACCTTTCTTAGGAAAATCCATGCAATTATTACTTTCCTCTGTGGTCACTCAAGAATAACATTTTCCGGCTGAGCACAACATTATAGAAGAGAAATTGAAAATATAAATTTGTATAAATTAATTTATTCTTCTTGATGCTTAAACACGACGTCGCATCGAAAAGAGCTAAGGACATGCATGAACGTCGTATAAATACAAATAGAATCGAAAAACCCGTCGGATTTGCGTACACGCACAATATTGACATAAAAAAAACAAAACGTACATATCCGAACATTTTGACCCAGTACATACAAAGCGATACAAATCTAACTTGCATCGTACATACAATATCATATATACAATACATCATCGTGTATACAAATTTAACGTACATATATCTAAAAAGTGAAGAAAATCTGTTTCGCTCTCTCGCTCATGAGCGCAATTTCGCTCGAACGAAACAACTTAGAACTGTAGAACTGTAGCCGCGCCGGTCACGAGGAAGCCGCCATCGTCGCAATTGTCTCACGAATAGGTCGAGCTCTAAAATATCATCGGCGGCTATACGTGCCTGCTCGCGAGCAATTTATTCGGCGGGACGGCGAGACCGTTCGGCAGGTGATCGGGCTTCCTTGCTAGAAAAGACGCGTCCCGGCGCAATCGATGATCCTCGCGTCGCGGATTTCCGCTCGGCCGTAAGGGCTCGTCCCCGGCATCGATCGCTCCCCGTAGCCGCGCTTGGTCGCCTCCTCGGCGCTCGGGTTCTCGCCAAGTGTATCACCGCCGGCGCGATCAATTCCCATCGCCGGTGCGTCGGGCCGCTCTATGCTCGCGATACCGTCACCTTGGCCGCCATTGTTGCTCGCTAGAATCTGCCTGTTGTGATAGCACCGCTGCATCTGCTGATAATGCGGCGTGCCTCCGTATTGGAGGTTCACGGCGTGATTGTCGGGACGTGCTAACGTTGTAGGCGCGGGCAGATTCGCTCGATCGCAAGGAATCGATCGTGCGTCCTGGGGGACCGCGTGATCTCGTTGCTGCGAGCTTCTCGCAGCCATCTCGGCCGACGCACCGTCGTAACAGGTCTTCGGGCCTTGCCTTTGGCGCGGGTACTCCATCATCACGGGCTCGTCGAATCTTCCGAATCGCGAGACGCGCGGCACAGGATTGTCCGGGTTCCTGTTGTTCTCCAGACCATTCGACGAGATCCTCTTCGGGGCTTGCGAGTTCTCCAAGGAGGCTTGGTGCAGTCGCAGGTCCTCCGGGATTTCGTCAGGCTCTTGAGTCCCGTTTAACTTGATCGCGGGTTTCTTCCTCGCCAAATTAGCCAAGTACTCGAGACCCTTCCTACTTGCCGGATCTTTCAGCGTCTCGAGCGTTCTCTGAATAGTAACCGGATCCTGCAGGCCGTTGTTGCGCTTCTGAGGGCGGATTACTTCCCTGTACGTGCGCATCTTTAGCAGACTGGAGGACTCAATGGGCCTCTCGCCTCGTTCGCGCACGGTATCCCTTGATTCTGCCTGTTTGTCAATCGGTCTCAACGAGGTCGCATTGTGTTGCTCGGACCAGACCTTTTGATGTTCAGGATGCGTTTGGCACGAGTTATGAGGCGCGTTGTACTGGTAAAAGCGTTCCGGACACTGCTCGTATCCGTCAAAACCTTGCTTCTGATAAAAGTGGTTCGGTGCATTTTGCAAGTGACTGTAAGGATAACAGCCTACGCAGGGCGCCCGATGTTCGTCTCTGCGCGACCAATCGGCTGTTTGCTGCTGCCACGGATGAGGATCCATGCGCAAGTACATTCGCTGAGGTAAAACCGCCTGAGCGCTTGTCTCCTCTCTCGGCTGTCGGCAATCCTGTTGTTGTTGCTGAGCAGGCATTGTCCCGCCAACTTCTGGCGATTGAGCGTTCGTCGGCTGCTGTTCGGAGGGCCTTAGGATTCTCTGCTGTGATTTTATTCTCTCCAGATCGCTGTACGAGATCCGCGACGGCGTGATGTGCACCATCCACTCCGGCTTCTCGTCGTTCTCCGTCCTCCTTCGTATTAATCGGCACGTCCTCTTGATCTCCGCTTCAGCGTCGGCGGTCTGTTGTTGAAATTGCGCAATATAAGCCAAGTGCCTGCGTTGCTCGTTCAGCAACGCGTCGAATTGACGGCGCATCACGTCGTGCGGCACGCATTGCTGCCGCATGGTGGACACCAGCAGTTCCTGATCGTGAATCATGTCCGGCGTGAATTGCAGCGTCTTCTTGCTGCTGTGCTGTCGGCCGTGAACTTCTGCGCCGGGTTGCTGGTCGACGACAGCCTTGCGACTCGTCTGATGCCGTGACGACATAGACTGATCTTGACTCTCCGGGTACTGTCGACAGCAGCTCGAATTCGGCGCGGGATTCTGGTGATAACAGTTCCATTGAGGCAGAGGCGCTTGTTGCTGACTCGCACATCGCTCGTCCCGCAGCCACGCGCTCTGACCGATGGGGTAGCCGAGACTCTGCTGATGGACCGGCAGATTGTGTCGCATCAACCTCATCTGGCTCATCGTCATGTCCTGCGGCGAGGTCATTCCCTGCGCGGGAGCTAATTGTGCCGTGGATAATCGCTGATTCAGGTAATTACAGTGTACCCCGGGATTACTGTGCACTTGCTGATTGGAGGTCGATAGCGCGTGATGGGACGCCTGCGATATTTGTTGATGATACGCGTCGCGCTGAAGCTGCTGATACATCGGCTGCTGAGGATTCTCTGAGGACTGATCGTGCGACGGTGTTCGACGAGCGCCTTGCAACTGGATACCTTGACAGTTACTCGCGTCCTGCTTCTGTTGCTGCATCTGCATGATCATTTGTTTGTAACTGGCCGCGTTTCGGCCGCCGACCGGTTGCTCTTCATAGTCGGTGTCGAGAACGGCATCCTCGTCGCGATGTCGATCGATGCCTGCGCACGGGGATCGCTCGAAGGCCCGCTTCATGCCTCGTGTGCGAGAGTTTTCAACGATCACCGACTGGTTGACCATCGTCGGCGAATTTGGAAGTGACCGATCGCGCACGACTGCTTCTTGGTTGGCACTCGCTGCGAAAGTACGATAAACTTGCTCTTTAGTAGATCCGATTTGTCCAGTCTGCAAACTGTCGGACTGTGGTCTCGTTTGATCGGTCTGCCGATGGTTCGGTACAACCTGTTGCTGATTCATGATTGACGCACACTGCGACTGAAAGTATATGCATCGTATCAGTAAAATTCACTTGATTCGTGATACGAAAGAAATATAAAACTGGTTTTAGAAAATAACAAATAAAGTTACTGATGCTTTAATTACGAGATGAGATATGCACACGATATGCGATTTTAATTGAGGTCGAGGAAGCTTGCCCGGAATTTACCTTGAATTGCTGATATCCTGGCGATAATTCGGCAGACATTCCGTCGCCACGGTCGCAGTTCGCAATCCCAACAGGCGAGTCTACTAAGGAAACTTCATCTTGTGGTACGCCAATTGACTCGGACGAAAACATCGGCAGGTTATCTAGTTTCTTGATCTTCTCGGCAGGGAAGCTCTTGAGTCGTGGTATACAGGTCATACGCATCTCCTTTGATCTGTCCCGAAAACTGAATCTGGTTTTCGGTGGACGAGTCTCGTCCCTTTTGTCGGGCAGCATTGTTTGATCGCCTTCGGCCTTTACTTTCGCGATAAATTAAGTCGCTCGAGTTCTGCCAAGGACGACGGATCTGCGGATCGCAAGCGTCGTCTTCGACGACGTCGGTGACAACTCGTCTCGGTCAATTTGCGAGCTCGGACGCGCGGATAATTCTCTATATCTGGAATTCTTCTCGACTAAAATTTTCCTCGAAGAAGATTTCGCATAGACATCAGATATTTATTGATTTGATACGTGTGACTCGAGATCTCTCACATATTTTTCACTGTTATAATTGATTTTGCTGAATTGTGAATTTAGAGACGCGACATTAGCTGTGAAAAGGTCTCATCGTTTAAATTCGATGAGAAAATTCCCGGATTTTGCTCTATCGCCGAAAGGAGACTGCGTGTTTTAACGTGTTAAGAAATGAGAAACATGTGTGCGACTAGTTGTCATGGATACGTGTCCGAACTGTTGATCGAAATTTTGATATACACTATACAGCTGAATTTTTATACAGCAATGTCGATATCGAAAGTTACACTAGCGCTATATGATTTTTGACGCTTTTTTTTTAACTCGCAATTGTTCTACTCTATTATTGGAGTGGTGTGTAAATACCGAAGAATGAGAGCTAGCAAAGAGAACCGATAAATATATAATATGTTAGTAGAGGGGGAGAATAATTTTATTTATTTATAATCTTGAGTACATAATTATTAAACGTTTAATGTAACACGTCGGACAAATTATTATCGATTTTAAAGCTGTTCCGATTAAAGTGTCTTCAATTAATACCATTTATTAAAATCAATTAAAATGTATGTTGCACATCATAATGGCCTGCAAACAACCGACTCTGCATGTTAACCTGCGTGTTTTGATTTTGTAAAGAAAAAATATTTGCATTGTAAGAGGAAGAGACTTAGAAATAGCATGAGAAATAAATCGAGATAAATCGTTTAAACGCTTAATTAACTAGAAAAGTTTTTTTTTGAGATATTTAATTATGAACTTATAAACAGACATACGCTGTCTCTCTATCTATTTTTTCCTCCTCCCCACTTTTTATTCTTTCTCGACTGTTTTTGCCTTTGTAAATACATCGTTTGTAAATTTGCCTTTGTAAATACATCGGAACTTTTAAATCTTATAACATTAAAATGTGTCGCTTCATAAACATGTATAAGTCTCTTCTTTACCGCTTATGTAAATTCCTATTTAAATGCAGGTACATGTTGTATAATTACTGACCTGTCACTCGCCAATTAGAACAACGTCTCTCAGCAAGGCGGAGAGGGTACTGCGGGACGAGAAACTTGCATTAATTTCAGCAACAAATCCTCATAAAGGAGCCGTGATAATAAACTGACCACATAGTGACTTGCAGACAGAACGAGGCGATGGACAAGGTACACAGGAAGAGTACTTCGCAGTGGAAACGTAAAAGGTAACCGGAAGACATGGTTGGGGACACGGAGGGCACGGAGGGCAAGGAGGACACGGAGGGGCACAGCATGTAGGAAATGATGGGTCACATATGACCTCGACTTTCGGTGGACAAGGTGTGCAACAGCGTGGACAAGGTGGCAGATAAACCTTTTGAAAATTTTTGTTTATTAATTTTCGTTACCACAAAGTGAATAAACACACGATTATCGTGATTGTGTGTTACATTTCAAGTAGATCCATTTGTATTAAAAAATATATAAATATAATGTTAAGTGTCTGTAATGTCAACATAAGCAAGACGAATTTGTAAATTTAACATTATATTTGTGCTTTTTAATATATGTCCAATGTTAAAATAACGAAAGATTTCAGTGGACCGTTATTAATAAAATATTTTTTACTATATATGCAATTTGGTCATAAAGCGCGGTTGATTAATCTCGTCTTAATTTTGCACGTGTCGTGCGCGATGCTAAAGACGTCGATGAAATTCTGTTGGGTGAAATTCTAGATAATTTACGTACCATCGCCTTAGCGGGTTTCGGGAGGCATCGAGGCTGAAGAACTGGTCTACTTGGAATGGTGGGCTCGCGAGGCATGGAGGCAAAACCCAAGGGCGGAGTACAACAAATTACAGGACACGCAGCTGGAGGTGTCATTTTTATATAATATGTTTGGGGGGGAACGCAAGAATTCCTGCAACATTCAATAATTAGATACATTGAGACTTTAATTAAAAATGATACAACTTATATAACTGAGGAGGAATTGACGATCGTGACCAAACATCGCGGTACATTTCACCACAGTACGCGAACAGCGCGATCGCGCTGCGTGGCGCTAAAACGGTTAAGCGGCACACGCTCGGTTGCTTTGACGCTTTTAGGGTGGCCTACCTGCCGCGCTGCGATACCTGCGCTAACGGCGAACCCTTCGGTGTATTGTTATACGTGGGTGAGACCGGTCGTGGATTACATAACCGGTTTCCGCAGCTGTATTCCCCGCCGCGCTTTCAGGAAATCCGTCTAGTGTTCGTATCTTTTCCGACAGCTACGGCCTTGCCCCCACCATGTTTTTGTAAACACTGCTGTCGGTCATGAAGATAAGACCGCTCAGCTGTGTTCGCGCGTTGAGACGCGCGGTATATCATAGAGGGCAGCACTATCCACTAGCGCGCGCGAAGGTATCCGCCATATTTCTTATACTCGTCCATTTCGCCGCCGTCCGCTAACGAGCGTGTCGAAGATTCGAAGACTCGAGAATGAATCGACGCAGAGACGCGGATAAATCGTAAGCCTCGAGTTATTTTGCATGCTATTCCAATAGTGTTATCTGTCGCTTTATCGTCGATACGGAGAAACGACCGTAGTCAAACGCCGAAGCGATAAATTTCAATCGACAAATTTCAACGTCGCGATCCTTCACCATTCGCGCTCCTTCGCCATTCGCGCCGAAAACGTTCTGTACCTAAAATTCATGTCATCTCCGCGTTCAAATGTATATGAGGAGGTATTTTTAATTAACGATGAGTTTTTAAAGACGCGAGAACAGTTATAAGTAAGAGAAATGATAGAAACGATAAATTCGCGATTCTTCGGTAATACGGCGACTACTTCGAATAAATAATAAATGAGGTTAGGAAACTATGCTGAAAATGTATGCGTGATAATACACGTTTAGATCACTTGCAAAACCGACAATTCGAACTCCTTAAGATATCAGATGTCATTTTCCAAACAATAACGTCTAAAGCCGAGACATGAGATGTCTTTAAGAAATTAGGAAAGACATCTGTTTAAATTCTAAACACAAATTCACATGGGTGAGGTTTCTGATTAAATCCTATTAAGAGATTACGTTCATGCTAAAATTTACCTCGACATGATATTCAAAGGCGTACACCGTACGACGTAGTGGACAACGATCGGTATCGTTGGCAAAATTCACGTGGGGGATTTTGAAAAGTGCGATCGAGGATCAAGTCGTCGATCGTGATTTGCTCCAACGATTGCTTGTTCTGACGAGAGAGGATCCGTTAGGCCGAGAAAATGATTCGACGTCACTTGAAATTTTTCGGTCTCTGCTGAGAAATACTTTGAAATTTAAAATTAACCGCCTCTCATGGCAGAAAATCAGCTGTGAAGTTATTAATCGGGTAACCTTGGTGACACGTGAAAAAATTGATCGTCGGCTTTCGCGGAATAGATTACGCCGGGGAATCACATATTCCCGCTTTTTTCCCGTTTCAAAATGCGCGAGATGACGCGAATCGCCACACATCCGGCAAAAAACGCGAACAACGTCATTCATTACCGATAGCGGATCACCTTTAGCCTTGAAATAGTCTGAGCAAATATGATATTTTTAAACGATCGACGGGAATTCAAACCGGTCGTTTGATTTGCATAATTGACGTGCATCGAATTGCCGATTACGCGGAAAAGGCAACGTCTCATGCAAATTTCTTTTTCGGCGCGCGACCGTTTGATAAACAATTGCAGGTTTGCACGGGTGAAACTTTCGACCGAAAGTATCTTCATTCCAAATCGAAATCGCCAACGGAAATCAATCTCGTCACGGGCTGTTTAATTTTAGACAAGAGCATTCCTTCGCCCAATGCAACTGTTCATCGCGTGTCCGCTTCGACAATGCTCTCGAAGCACATCAACTGTTGCATTCCAGCGATGGTTCGTGAGCATGATTGAAAGGCTAGTGACAAAAGCAATGCCATATCTTCATTGTAATATCTATGTCTAACAATAGAGATCATAATTTCGCGACGCTATTAGATAGGGATAATGGATAGGACAGGTGTAATCGCGACCGGCGCGCGTGCAAATCAATTTTACCTACTTTTCTGACACTGTTGCATACAAACGATCAAAGGAGAAATTTTATCTGACTATGTGAAATTTCCGAAGTTAATTAGTTGTCGAAAGTTGTCGAAAGTTGTTGATAGTTGTCGAAAAAATCACGATTACGTCGATTACTCAGTTTATTTTTTCTTTTTTATGTCTTTTTCTTTATCGCGCGGTTATATATAGAATAAAAGAAATAATAGTTATTCTCGGTCTTTTCTTTTCGGTTTTAATCACAAAAGCAGCAATATGAATGTAAAGTTATCATCACTGACATTACAATAACACTTGTTAAGAAAATGGTTCCCTTGGCTTTAATTTTTTACTATGGTGTATAGTTATGGCATTATAGTTACATATGATATTATAGCACAAATATTTTTTCTTTCAGTGCACGTAGTGTGAACACTGAAATTTTATTATTATATAAAATTATCATCATTTACGACCTCAATTATATGCATATTCATTTGATTTTAACTAAAAAATAGAAGTGGCGATATGCATATAAAGTTATCATCATTGACATTATTGAGTTACACCTAAGGCCAGTTTCACAATTTCCGATTAACTTAATCGATCGATTAAGTGTCAAGCGTGATTGGTTATTTCTGGCCAATTCTGCTTAACGACGACATGAAATGTGATCGATCAATTCCAATGGAATAATCTGTCAATTAAGTTAATCGAAGGTTGTAAAACTAGCCTTTACTAGTGAAACGGTTCTCCTGACTACAATTCTTCTACTTATGCGATTATAGCTACAAAAATGATTTTCTCGGCGAATAAAAAGAAATACACGTTCTCTCATAACTCAAATTGTATTTATTGTTACATACAATCGATGCGACAGTGATGAATGAATGCGAAATGACGGCTCGTGTTTCTCATTAACGTGCGCTTACGTAATACGTGGGTTAAACGAGAAGATTAGTGCCAACCGGCGGGTGCGCACTATATCACGCAGAATCCCGGTCCATTTGGTGGTTGCGCAGGTATACCGCGTCTGTTCATACGACAGGCGTGCTCCTCTAGACGTTGGGCGGCCGCATTGTTGTCCTGCTTCTTGAAGCTCCACAGACGCTCGGCCGCTGCGCTTGCACGCGGCCAAATTCTGGGGTGCACGTTGCTCCTGAAAGCAATGATGAGTGATGAGAAAACTTGATATGAAACATGTGGTATAATACTTTTGCTACCAGTGTCACACAGATGTGACAACGGTAATGTTTTTTTTTCTATGCTGCGTAAACAAAAGGCGGTGTTCATGATTGGATCTTATATTTGAGATCTTTGTAAGTTCATTTTCAGATGCTATACAAATTTTTCCATTGGCTATTCAGTATCTGAAAATGGACTTACGATTGTCCTAAGTTTATAGTGCTAGGTGTTGCATTTTTAGTGGCGCATCAAGGTCACTCATAAATTTAGTATTTATCAAGCAAAATTACGTTCATATACATTTACTTCGCTATGTAAATAATAAATATTAATTTAAAACGAAGTTGAGATAGAGACATGTATACATAATATTCTAATTCTGATCCAGTATCTATTCAGATACTGAAAGGGAAATGTAAGTAGATACAGGCACATATATAAATTTGAAATAAATAGATATAGATACATATACTATGAGATTATATATATATATCATGAAATATATCTAGATATTATATTCTCTATATTCTCATAGTATATGTATCTAGTTATATAAATGTTTAAATATGTGTACATGTATATGTATTTCGAATATTACTACAAGTTATGAAATTTATACCGCTCTATTTTCGAGATAAAATGATCAATAATTCTGAAATTCTTTTATAATGTCTCTATATTAGTCCTTAATATCACAATAGTTTCTCATAAAAATCCTAAATGTAGTTTAAAAGAAATTAAAAATAGAATATAAAAATAGGACATTCATTCTCAAGAAACACGCATAAAAAATGTNTTTTGATATTATTTTGATGTTATCTTGACTTTTATATGACTTTTTATTATATTTAGGAATTGAAAATGACATTTTTTATGCGTGTTTCTTGAGAATGAATGTCCTATTTTTATATTCTATTTTTAATTTCATATAAAAGTCAAGATAACATCAAAATAATATCAAAATCATTTATATTATTTTGACATTATCTTGACTCTTATATGATTTTGTGTTCTTCTTGGATTGCGAATATCTCGGCTTTCGAATAGTAAATTATTTTCTAATTTCACCAATAGGTCATATTTAAATCTACATGTTATAAGACTTCATTACGATATATAGAAGATATTATGTAGATATTGACGATCTAGTCGTTATCCAGTTTATATCATATCTATATCAAGTTGATGTATAGATATAACGATTCGATTGGATATGATATCGACTAGATATCAATTAAATCGTTAATAATCGGTCGATATGTATAATATCTTCCACATATTACACAGACAGCTAGATATTGACTATATTAACAGAATATAGCATCGATCCTCCTTTGTATATCAATTAAAGATCTAGTTATCAAATGAAAAGATCCGAGGAATCAATTATCGACATCGAATTGATTATCGACTTGTGAATCCGGGGACGATATATGTTAAAAATCACAAAGTAAAGTTGATGCTTGAAGAAAACATGAGAAAAAAAGTGGAACACTCACCTGTCCACGAATTCTCCCCACATGCAAGTCTCGCCGCCGAGCATCAGGTTCGTGGCATTGGCTGCGCCGACGAAGTCGAAAGGATCGCAATTGTAAAACTTGATCCAGTCACCGCCGCTGTCGATGTGGTCCAGGTACCAACAAGAGGATAACAAGACCGGATGGCCGGCCATCGTTGCTCTCTCCAGCTCCTTCTGCCAACGTTGTGCCTTCCAGACATGAACCACGGTGGTCGTAGGCAGCACGACGCCGTTGTCGAAAACCTACGAGATAAGATGCTGAAGTAAAACCCATATAAAGATGAATAATACACGTGAAAGAGATCAAGCGACAGGAAGGAACTGATTGGTCGTCGAGGAAGATAGGAAAAAGTCTACGTGTAGATCGCGAGCCACTCACTTCTTGCCAGACGATGGTGCTGGCGTCCAGCGAATTGCTGATCGCGAGCACCTGCGCTATGTACTCGTTCTCCAGGAGCTCATATTTCGACATATTGTGCGCTTTCATATATGCAATAATTTCCGGATTGCTGGCCCAGCAATTAAAGGGCACCTCGTCGCCACCCAGGTGGATGTATTGATCCGGAAACACCTGCACGATCTCGGAGAACAAATTGCGCACGAATTCGTACAGGGCCTGTTTCGTCGGGTTCATCGGGCCCAATTTACCGCTCGGCTTACCGGTGGAGTCTAACAAATTCATAAACGAATGAACTCTGATTACCGCAATTTTCATCGTCGAGAAAATATTAATATGTTTAACGGAATCGACTGTCGACTTATCATGTTCAAGTGTAAAGTAGAATAACATTTTATCATACTTTGAATATCTTCGAAAAATAAAAATATTATCGGTGATTAGATAATGAAGATTAATGGATTAGACGATAAAGGTACAGAAAAATGTATATTTACAGATGTTCGATGCAATTCTCGTTAGATAAATTTTTCTTCTATTTTCATATCTCGAAGAAATTCAAGGTGGCAATAGTTATTATCTCACTCTGTTATTTCACATTCGTTGAATATACATGGGGAGAAATAATTTTACTATTGCAGTGAAATCGTTGTTCCTACATATTCATTGCGGCAGCAATAACATTTAGTTAGGATAAGAAAAACAGTGAATTATTCGCAATTAATACAAAGACAGTTTTGTTGTTGGGATAGAAAAAATTTTGCTGAATGAATTTGTCCCTAGAACACGTTAATTTGCTATTAGAACAAAATAGTGTTGTCCTACATTTACTAATTTGTCCTTAGAATAAAATAATTTATAAATTCAGAAAAATGATTCAGCGAATGGCAATTAGTATTTTTTAACAAAAATCAATTTGCCGTTCATGTAGTAATTGACGGATTTTGTTGCGACAGCATAAAACTTGATCTGTTAGCAAATTATTTTTCTCCGTGCTATATTTTTTTGGTTGAACGGAAATACGGACCTATGACTTTCACGGAAGTAACGACACGCGACGCGCAAATCAAGTCGCGTGTCTATGTTCATTTATTTACCGTAACATATAGTCAGCAATTCCGGATAAGCCAGCCCCCACGACTTGGTGTGTCCGGGTGTATCGAACTCAGGCATCACTCGGATGCCGCGTAGCCTCGCGTAATCAACTACTTTCTGCACGTCATTAGGCGTGTAGATCATCGAGTGATGAAAAGCGCCTTTGGCGGACAATTCGGGATATCTGGTGCTTTGGTACGGGAAACTGTTGTCATCGACGATGTGCCAATGCAGGACATTGAGCTTGTTGTACGACATTGCGTCCAATGTCAAGAGGATGTCGGAGAGAGGCAAGTAATGGCGAGAGGTGTCCAGCAGGAGACCTCGATGTGGCAATTTCGGTTGGTCCACGATGGTTTGGCATTTCACTTTCAACTGAAACTCACGATTAAGCTTACGTCCTGCTGAATCATTTTCGAAGAAAGAGCCGATCGCGAGCCTGCCAAAATTTCGACGTTCGCGCAGGAAGCTCCGCGTGAACGAATTTATAAGCGTGATTTTCTCGACGAAAATATCACCTCGCCTTTCGTCAAAATGAAAGTCGTAATAACGTTGCGAAAAATTGCAAACGTTTCATTTTCGAGAATATCTACTGCGCAAAAAGTCGCGCTGCTTTCGTTCAGAGGCGCTCGAAACATGAGTTCGTCGGATTGCGTGTAAAAGTTTCATCGTTTACGACGAGAAGGAGGATAAACGTGCAGATACTCACGGTTGGACCGTCGCCGGACGGAGCCAACACCTGCGAGAAGGTTTCGAGTCCTCGTAGGATTCCCCAGACGGCTTCGGCCCGGAGAACAGCGATCGGCGAAGTCTCGTTTATTTCAAGCTTATCTGAAAATGTCGTGCGTGTCGGATGTCAACGACGAGAAGTTAAATCGATTTAGTCGCGAGGAGGAAGAGCGCGGATAAATTACGGAGAATTACGCTCGCTAATCGCCGATTACGACATCACGACATGACACTTCATTCGGTGCGATAAGAAACCAGAAGGCGAATCGAGTTGTCTTATTGTCCGTCGTCGTGCCAATCGTTTCGCTGATTACGCTACTATTGCTTAACTCGCTCGAAAATCTTGCGTTCAGCGCGCACTCGTCATTCCGGGTCGCGCGATCGCCTTGAATTAATCGGAGTAAATTAATTGTAATTCTCGCCACGTAGCTAAACGATCGATTGTTGAAGCTTCAAGGCTTTCGGATACAGCCGGATGCACCACGAGGAATTGTTGAATCTAAACTGAAATCTTATTTGTCGCAATGTATTTTACACGCACAGATGTAAGAAATAGAAGTGTGAGAAATTATATTCGAAGCTTCGAATTGCTGAGCTTTCGATACATTATATTTGAATAATAAAATTTTGAAGTATGAACATTCGAATATTCAGGTATTCGAATGTTTCAATATTTGAAACTTCAAGAATTAGAAAATACATGCGTTCGTTTTGTAGGCATAGTCAACAGTATTTACTGCTCTACAAAATGTAAATTCTTTTTTACATTGCATTATACTGATACATATTATGGCAAAGTTTAATTTAATTTAATTTGCATTTATTTTGCATTTGTTGCATTAATTTGCGTTTATTTTTGCATTAATATGAATTCATTAAAATTTGCATTTAATTTAAAATAAAGTGAATGAAATTCGTTATTTATTATTTATGCTTTCTTCATTCACTTTGTTTTAAACAAGACAAGTATAAATTTCAGAAGTGAACTAAAGATGCTATTAAACTGATACTCTCTAATTATATAATATTTTGTTACCTTCTTTAAAATTAGTCCTATTAATAACTTCGATATTACAAATCTTCGAATTTCCTCGTTAAATGTCGAAGTCTCAAAGTTTCGAAACTTCGAATATATCGAATAATACTACCCCTAATAAGAATTAATGGTCTCGCGTATTTTGTTGCTTTTTCATGTGATTTTTTATTTCAATGGAGATTGCATTGACGAATCGATTGTCTCTATCGTGTAATGAGATAAGTAATAAGATAATGAAGAAAGAATTATCGCTATTCTTTACTCGCGCTGCTCAGTCAATGTACCGTTTGTTTAATGCACCGTTGGGAATTATCGAATCGATTCGATAAACCGGTTTAGGTTGCCGACAGGAAAGAGAAGACGTTATTAGGAATCGTAAGAATTCAATTCGCGCGCACGCGAAAGCCCGTTATCGACACAAATCGATGAATGTTAGATCGAGGCTAAGACAGTCAGTCGCCGGTATCATTCAGTTGATTTCTACGGCGTTACCTATTACTTTGCAATGTATGCTGCACGTCTCGCAAAGCGACCATCGCATCTCGTCGCATAAAACATAAAACGTGCACTCATGCAAAAATTATAGCTGAAAAATGCAGCTCTTTTTTTTCACCGGCTAAATAATCGAATTAATTTACTGATGCAGAACGTAAAATCTCGTACGAACAGCTGACTGAAGTAACAATCTAACAAATGCAGTTTCCGGTTTGTGCGAAATTACAAGTTGAAAAAATTACGTTCTGCTGACGCTTTTCCTTTCTTTTTTTTATTATGATACACGAACTTACAAGACTCATTCATGTGCAAGTGTGGCCAATGCTCGCCATTCTGCTCGCAAGGTTGCTGAAGGCGGATGCTTAGGGCCTCAAGAGTGCCTTTGAAGTGAGGATCGTCTCGGACGGACGTTCTTGGCTGCCCTTCCGTGACCAGCCTGGCTATTCTGGCTTCCGTCAAGATGATTCTCGTGTACCGTTCTACCGCCTCGATCACTATATCGCACGTCTCGCCGTTTACCTGAGCGAAAGGAAAAATACCATTCTAGATACGAGCAAATCGAAATGCGTGCGTTAAAATTCGATGAAATACACGATAGTGCGGGTCTGCAGAAATAGATGTTTACGTTGATCTTACGATAGATTATAGTAATATTTGATATATATAGAGGGAACGGATGAACGAATACATCGGGGAAAAGTAAGAACGAATATACGACCGCCGGTGCAAGACACGTGAAATCGCGAAGGAGCGCCGTTCCATCGGGAGCCCTCCGCTTTGGGAATTCGGCGAAATAACAGTTGCATTAAAACTACCGCATCGCGTGTGCACGCAAAGTCCGTCCGTTTGACAACCGTCAAGAAATCACTGCGGCAAAATTGCGAATGACAAACATGTGTGACAGGAATCCATCAATCCATCTCGACAATTTCGCATAAACACACGCGTCGGCGAGTTGTCGCGTGCCGAGCGGGTAAATATGACGCGATGGAAGGAATGTCGGAAGAATGTTTGGAAAGAAAAGGAAAAGCAGGAGAAACAGCTTACCCGGATATCGAAGTTCGACGGTCGCAGTAGGTAGAAGTCCTCCTTGAGCGTTCGTGAGTTCGGCACGGGCCAGATTTCGCCCTTCGTGGGTTGGAACCAGGAGCCTGACTCATCATGCCAGCAGGAGGCCGGCGAGGCGACTAGCAGGACTAGGACGATTGCCGACGACAACAACGACGCCCACATGTCTGTCTCGTGAGAGCGAACGGACGAGTGTGAACGAACAGGCGAGTGAGCGAGCGATTTATGAGCGCGATCGACGTGGAACGATGCGACTCCACCGAGTGGTCATCGTCTACTGGCGATCGCAGGACGCGGAGAACGGTACGCGCGTACGATAGTGGTAACGACCTTAGCCTGCGCCACTTAAGTTTTATCACTTTGGTCCCCGAGAGCCTCACGGTCAAGTGGGAATAAACCAGTCCTCCTGGCCAGCGCAGTCTCCGTTTTGTCCTTAAATCTTGCAGGCGCATCTCCTCGCCACCGTGTGCACACCGGAACGACCGTCAGGAATGCCCGTTTGCCAACTTCGTGGCGGACTCTTTTCCGAGTTTCGCGACGGAGGAAAGGGGGAGGCTGGAAAAGCGAAGATTTCGCGAATACTTTTATTTTGTGCGCGCTGAAAATAAGATTTCGTAACAAGCACCAAAATTTGGTTAATATATCAGCTCACTAAATGTTTGATTACTGTAATCAAAAATTTAGTTTCATATATTTAGTTTCATACATTTTGTACATTGTATATTAACCGTTTTAGTGCCAGGGGTTTTGAAAAATCCGTGTCGGATTGTGCCATGCAGCGCGATAGCGCTTCGTTCATTTATCTGCGAGTAATGCCGATCGACGCGATCGCGCTGCTCTTGTTTTTCGTCGAAATATACCGCTCGGCGCGCTCGCGCTTCATTTCATCAGTCATATCAGAAACGCTATACTAAACACTCAAAAGCTTGCAAAATATTCGTGTTTTACGTTTTGTTTATGTGATAACATTCTATAATACAGGTTTTGGTTTTCCAATTCAAGAGGTACGTACGACATTCGGAACCGAGCGCGTTGCGAATTGACGATCGTGAGCAAACATCGCGGCACATTTATCACAGTACGCGAACAGCGCGATCGCGCTACGTGGCGCTAAAACGGTTAAGAAACAACAGTAATATATAACATATACTAGGAAAAGTATACTAGTATACTAGGAAAAAGATACTTGAAAATTTATTTGTGGAATATAAGATTTATTTTTTACAAAAAAATGAAAAATAATCCTTATTTCTGTGAAATAAACCTTGTATCCCCACTTCTCATAAATAAATTTTTAAGTATATTTTTCTTACTATACATATATAGTATACGGAACTAAATTTTTTGGTTGCAGTAATCTAAACACATTGATGGATGTATACCAACCAACAGTACATGTTACCAAACTCCTCTCTCAGTGTGACTTTTATGCATTTTACACTATAGACTTTATGATTCTATGTATAAATACATTTTTAAGTATTTTTTTTCTCAGTGTGCGCGTGTATATTATTTAATCACGGACACTACGTAGATATGATCTATTTGTGCGGGCTGAAAAGTTGTTTTCATTTTATGCGTTATCATTTGTCTCTAGGTGCGAACGGATAACGCTTTTATCAAAGATATGATATATCAAAATGGAATATTTGTAATGGGTAGAGATAATATCCCCCGTTTATCCTAAATCTGTGCTTTGTTTTTGTGTTTATTGTATTCACAGTTTTTTACACAGTCTTTTACATTTTTATACGTTCCTACTTTTACAATTTAAGACAAAAATTTAAAAGATGACGTGGAAGATTGATCACGAACTGTTGTATCTTAAAATATATCAACGCTCGCTCAATAAGCGTTTTGCGGTCGTCAAAGAAATGCAACAAAAATGAATTAGTCGAGCATATTGTTTACAATATGATATCACATATCTCGCGAAGCGGTGGGATCGTTCTCTCTATCGTCATTATATCATTATCGAAACACTAGCAGAAGATCGTAAACACAATCGAGTATAAAGATCGGTGGTCGTTGCGGTATCGGCATCGGCGAATTATTGATACAATGTAACGATCAATTCGATAATATTCGAAATAATATTTTATTTTACGATACCGTGAGAATCACGTCGGATCGAAGAAAATCTTTCGAGGCGTCTGGAGGGGCTATCTAACGGAGATTACATAAAAAGACGCTGCTTTCTGCTTGATTAATCTTTCTCCGAATAATCAACAGCATTTAGAGAACACGACCGGGCATCGGCGATAAAAGCAACACGAAAATGATAGCAAAGTATGTGTCAGAAAGAAAAAAAGATACAGTATCTTTCTATTTGTTTCCTGTTATCGAACCGATTATTTTTCTTTTTAGCTGTATCCTTTTTCTCTTTCTGCGAATCGAGCGGTTTCGCTCGCTGCTGCTGTTGAAAACTTGGCGAGTCACTGTAATGACACGTAATCGCGAATGCAATCAGATTCAAAGCGGAACGCGCGATATGAAACTGCATTCATTAAGAGCCGGGGATGTACCACACACATCAACACAGACATAGTAATTATAACGTTGCGTTGCAGCAATTATCACGAACTTGGCTCGCGTGTGTGGTGCGCCATTTACTCGCGCGACTCTTCCAAACGAATCCGCTTAACTATTTACGAGGCAACTCAATAAACCAGCGTTCGTTCAAAAATTGTCCCATCTCGCTATCGAGGTATACGCGAACGAGGCTAACCGAATGAAATTAGCGAACTATAAACCGGAAACGGTAAACCGTGTTAACGAATCAGAAAGCTGTCGTCGAGGAGAGACACGGGCAGATCTCGGAAATCTCGTTATTCTTAATCACGGCTGCGACAGGACGCGCCGTCAATCGCGCCGCGATGTTTGACGCGACGATCGGAACGCGCGGGCGCGTTAATTGACCGACCAGCGTACATTGTAAATTTTATTCCCAGGCGGCAACTCTCACGCCGCTGTTCTACGCGCGGTACTATTTTACTACGTCAGAGACCGCCGTAATCCAATTCCGTGTGATACGCTACTGCTCGGTGAATCGTAGCTTCATTGATTGCGACGCTCGTACGCCGGGTCGACGGTCGTTGCGAGGCGAGAAGGGAGAAGTGGCTCCAAGTGGAACGTGCATTCAGGGTTGGAGTACGGGACCGGAGTGCCCCGGGAACACGCTCCGCTAACCTTTTCTACGTAAAACCATTTTCATTAAATACCCGCCGTAACAACAAACGACAGCGCAACTCCGGCTGATTACTTTCGGCGCGGAAATCAAGTCGGCTTGACAATTTTCCGCTGCCGGACTCGCGCTGCTCGGGTAAACATGCCGAGACAATGTGGGAGGGGAAATTTCATGAAGAAAAGAATCGGTCGTCTCTGTCGTTGCTACGAACTTCGAAACGCTCCCGTCAACTTGGCAGGAAAGGGAGATAAAACAGTGACTTTGTTAGAACGACTCAAAAGATCCGTTCCCTCGAGACATTGGTTCTACGTTAAGTGAATTCCGTCCCTCGTCATCGGGTGTCCTCGCCAACTCGCGTTACTTTTGTTGTTCACGTTCTCTCTCTCTCTCTCCCTCGCTATACATACATCCACCGAATCCGGAAATTTCGTTTCTCGAAGTTTGCGCACGACGTCGTGCCGGCGCACACACGGATCCCTGCGGGTGCATCTGCGCGTTGGAGAGCCACTCCGAGGAAGAACTCTGGCCGGCCACTGCCAACCGGGGGCGTTCGGGGTGGTTGGGGGATGATGAGCGGCGCGCTCGATCGGGGATGTAGGGAAAATCGAGCGGGTGATGCCCCTCGGCGTGGTGGCCGTCGCGATGACGTCGGTGACGTCGGCCGGTGGCGCTACCGACGCTTTTACCCTTCGTCCGCTCACGAGGGTGGCGGTTCTCAATGTATGTGTAGGAGTGACGTACGTGGAGCATATTCGCGGAGTAGAGAACGTGACGCTGTTAGGGAGGTGGCGCCAACGATGGCGGAGCCGGCAATGTTGGTGGTGGTGGTTGATAGTGATGGTCGCGTCGGCGTCGGCGTCGGCGGCGGTGGTGGTGGAGGTACGAAAGGGTGGCCTTTCTCGCTCGGTCACAGCCGGTATTAGAGTATTCTCTCAGTACGCGCGGACTCGTCGCGCGTCGTGCCGAAGCTCCTCCTCGTCTCTTCCGCGACTTTCGGCGGTGGCTCCGCGGAGGGCGCACACACACACACGTGCGCGCGCGCGCAAACGAACCGGCGAGAGCGGGGCTGTGTGATATCAATCGCGAGTGTATGCGTGTGTGTATGCGTGCGGGGTGGCTGGCCTGTATTCGACGGCGCGAACGATAGAGAGGGGTGGAAAAGAGCGGAGACGGGGAAAAGACACAGGGAGGGTTGTAGGAACGCGCCGGTGGCGGTAGCGGCGGCGGTGGCGGCGTCAGTGCACGGAAGTGGCTGTGCTCCGGTAGTGGACGGTGGATAGTGTAGTGCGGTTGGTCGGTTGGATCGGTTGGTTGGTCGGTCGGTGGTTGAATCGCCGTCCGTCCCGCCGTACGTCGTCGTCGTCGTCGTACACAGGGGGTTGTGCGCGAGAGCGACGTCGGGTATCGTCCACGAGGCGCGGGCGGCGAGACGACGACGGGACCGGAAGAAGAGGGAAGCGACAGAGTAGAAAGAGAGAGAGGCGGGAGAGAATGAGATCGATAAGGAGGGATCTTAGGCGGTGGTTTCGCGAAACGGGAACGGCGGTGTGCGACGTGTAGAAAGAAACGAGGAGAAAGAGAGAGAGCAGCATCAGAGAGGGAGAGATATTACATACCCTCGGGTGTGTGCGCGCCTGGAGCGCACGCGACGTACGACTTTTACGCGCGTATATATATATATATATATATATATACATATACACGCGCACGTTATCGCACGTATACGGACGTACGCACGCCGATACGCACGCAAGCGCCAGTGTGCGAGCGCCCCGTCGCACACGAGGGTGGAACGAGCTCGCGAGGAAGGCTACGTAATCGGCTCGGTTCGTCGACTTGGCTTGCTCGCTCGAAAGGGCGGTTCTTGGATCCGAAGCGCCGCGACGGAGGCCGAGGGAGAGAGCGAGAGAGACCGGAAGAGGGAACGAGAGAGAGGGCACGCGAGAGAGGGTTCGTTCGTTCGTTCGTTCGTTCGTACGTTCGCGTCGGCTCGGGAACCGGAAGGCGGAAGAAGAGGGAGTCGACTACCTCTCTTTCTCTCTCTCTCCCCCTCGATCTCTATTCGCCCTCGCTCGATGGGCTACGCCGCCGAAAGAAGGTCAAAGATCGATCCTCGGGCCGACGAGGGTCGTGACCTCGCCGTACGCCTCCGCCGAGTACGAAGTGACCCACGCGCGTAGTAGTACTATCCGCTAGTAGTAGTACGCCGGCCAGAAGCGCGGAAGTTGTACTCGCCGAGGGGTGGAAAGGGCGGCGCGGGTGGAGAGAGAGGGAGAGAGAGAGAGAGAGAGAGAGAAGATTGATCGGACGGAGGATCATCATCGCGATGGTGCGATGAGATCGATCGACCGACAGAAGAGAGACCGAACCAGCCTTCGTTGAGATCGACGATATACGAAGAGAGAGAGAGAGAGAGAGAGAAAAAACTATCTCCCGAGATTCACATCTTCGTCAATGGTCGTCGTTCACGAGCGAGCCGTCGCAAGTAGAGTAGAAACGTCCTCGCGACACACGCCGTTGTCTCGTTTATTCGGTGTCGAAGACCGCGGAGTGGCCGGGACCGCGACGTTCTCGTCGTCGTCGTCGTCGGCCATAGCCGGATGCTGGAGGACATCGGGAAGGGAGCGAAGATCGAATCGCCGGCGAGAAGGCGATCTCGTGGAGACTTGAGCGTACGAGGAAACACGTCTCCATCCTCCGGCTGTTACTCCAATTGAACAAGCGGACAGACGTCCCGCTGCGACGGGAAAGCGCTCATTGACGATCACCCGTCGCTCAATCCGGTTGATATGAGCGTAAAAACGCGCGAGGGTGACGAGAGACTGGGGAACGGCCGCGAGGCGTGACAGGAAGGGTAATCGAGCGATGATTAGCGCGGCGATCGGAACGGAGATTTAGGGACACGGGTGAGAGAGAGAGAGAGAGAGAGGGAGAATCCGCAGGATTCCCTCAAGGGGAAACGAGCACTGCCGGAACACGCGGACACCGAGAGCCTGAATCGGTAGGTTCGCACCTCGTAACAATAACCGTGCGATCTCGTGTTAAAGCGAGAAGCGATCACGGCTGACAAAGAAAAAGAGAGAGAGGGGGATACAGGAAGGGAGAGGGCGTGAGAAGAAAAATATCGCGAGCGTCGAGCACGGGACACCGACTCGGGACGACGAGGTTCGGCATCGCGGAGAGCTTCGTAGAATGTCACGGGACCCTTATTCGAGCGGCAGTGGCGTGGTCGGTCCCGGTGGTGGCACTCGCTCACCACGCAGCGGTCGTCGCGTGGGCGAACTGCCGACCGTCGACCGCAGCCCATCGAGGAGTTACGCGAGCGGTCGTGGCAGTCCGTTGGGTCGCAAGCAACGAGGCACCCGCAGCGGCAACAACTCGCCGGAGCACCTCGGCTACGGCAGCTACCATCACCATCAGCTGGGCAGCCCGTACTACTCCCGCGACGAGGACCTCGGCAGTCCCGTGATGCTCGAGGAGAGGGGCAGGAGTATGTCGACCGGGGGCGGTGGGGGCGGACATCACCGATCCAGAAGCGCCTCGAGACCCGCCATGTCCAGCTCGGCGGGCATGGTAGCGCGTTACACCAGCCTCGACCGTGCCTCCGCCGGCAATCTCGACCATGATCGGGAATTCGTGCCGATCCGCGAGCCCCGCGAGCGTAGCCGCGACCGCGGCCTCTACCTCGAGGAGGACCTGCAGCTCTACAGCTCGAGGTCGGCGCGACAGAGCCCGAATCCGCACATGCTGCGCGACAGCGGTGGTTACATCGGCGAGCTGCAGCACCAGAACAACGATCTGCAGCGGGAGCTCGGTAACCTGAAGAAGGAGCTCGAGCTGACGAACCAGAAACTCGGCAGTTCGATGCATAGCATCAAGACCTTCTGGAGTCCGGAGCTGAAGAAGGAGCGGGCGTTGCGCAAGGAGGAGAGCACCAAGTACAGCCTGATCAACGAGCAACTCAAGCTACTCAACACGGAGAATCAGGTCAGTTGAAATCATCAGACTCGTTACACGCTTCGCCTTCGGCCCTCCTCGCGCGGCTGTCATCCTTGAGTGAGCGAGTGGATGAGTGCGTGCGGATTCGATTATCGGATTCCGTTGGTTCCGCGCGCACGGGAGGGACCTGGGTATATTAGTCCTCGGGATCGTCGCGGTTGCCACGCGAAGTGGCCCTCTCGGCCGCGGAAATGCGCGGAACGTCGTCCTGCGTAATCGTGGCTGTCGTCACGCGCGTCCTTGCTCGAGTTCGCTGAGGCCATCCTCTCGGAATTAGGTCGCGGAATGTTCTCTCTCTCTCGCCTCCGCTCGACGGGTCAACCCTTTTCCGCCCGCGACTTCGCATATCTTAGCACGTGTGTCTGACCTAATTATTTAGGGCAGCGTGCGGCTGTAAGATTACGGTGCCTAATGAGACGCTCTTCTAACAGCGCTCGTTGGAAAATGGGGTTCAACCGCTCGCGCGAGGAATCGTGCCGGCCGCTAATGCGCCTTTTCGCGCGAATAAATGAGCCGGAGAAATTACGTGCGAAGTGAGATATTCAGGGGTAGTCGCGAACGCATCGATTTGTTGAAACGATGAACGACGATGTGCGATTGTCCCTTTCGAATCGCCGGGTCACGCGCGACGTTCGTTTTTTTGTATTTTTTTGGGGGAGGGTTAAAAGGATCGCGTACGAGGGCGATCCGTTAGTCGGAAGTGGGTTAACCCTCTGGCGCGACCTTTTTGCGAGAGTGACTGATCGTTATTTCCGCGGAGGCGTGCTGCACAGTCGGTCTCGTATTTCCATTTTAAGAATGAGGAAGCGACGAAATTCATCACTCGCCGGAGCACATTACTATTCTCGGCTCTCGGGAACGCGGATCGGGAGGATTTGACGACTCAAGCCGCGCATTCCCGTGCGCTACTCGTGACGTCACAGGAAGTGGACTCGCGCCGTCCGAACGAATGAAACGTCCACGTTCGAGTGAATTTATAATTGGGAACGCTACGTCGCCTTATTCCGCAGTAATGCACTGCCGCGGAGCCTCATTATCGATTGGCTAAAAATGCAACGTAAAGGTGGAGCCACCTTTACACCCGATTTCGCCGACGTCGCGCATAATCGCCAGCGAGAGCGGCCGATGTATCAATTACCGCTTTTGCTTTTGCGCTAATTGACGCACGCACGCCGCGCGCATCGCAGTGCGCTTATTTGCGAAATTCCACGGCGATTACCGCAGCGACAGCGAGGCCACCGCGTCGCGTGTTATCGCTGTCGAGTAAATCATTCATAATCGGCAGGGCAACAAGTTACGCCGGCGCGTAATTTGTTTTCGCGTGCATTTCGCTTCACAATATTTTACAACGTGAAATCCCGTCCCGATAGCCACGCGTCGTCGGCTATCAATGAAGCTGGGGCTTCTCGCGACGCGTGCTCCGCCCGAGCTTCTCCCTCGCGATATTCCACGCAGAACGACTCGCCATACCTTCCGCGTGTCGTTATTATTTTTTCTCCGGATAATATCACTCGACACAATTAAACTCTCTCACGCATAATGCGCGTCGTAATTCCGAATGCTCGACGATATATTAATGTATTGTAATATCTCGGAGATTATGAAGATACACCGGTTACCGGCGTATAAATAAATCATCAGGCGGTTATAGTGAAATCAATATTTGCAACGGCACATCGTGGCGTGTACGATAAAATTCAACGAAATAATGTATAATGGCATACCGCACAAAGAGAGAGAGAGAGAGAGAGCATGAAGAATTTCCTCATGAAACACCGCATTCTGTAATAATACGGCGCGGAGTGCACGCATAAATTTGCGCAAATTCGCATTACTATGAGCTCGGGTCATCGTTGCGAATTGAACCGCGTAGAATTTTTTAAATCGCAAATTAGGCTCGTTCTTCTCTCTCTCTCTCTCTCTCTGCGTCTTCTCGATTGATTAAATCCGATCGTGATCGTGTGCACGCGTGCGTACTTGCGCGCGCACTCTCACGCGTGTACGTCGCCGCTGACGACGACGGCGGCGACGGTGTCGAATGAGTCATTGGCCTCGGCCAGTGGAGGAATCTTAAAGAGCCAGATATTTCTTTGGCCGGCTGCCCACGTTCGTGCCTCCATCTCCGTCTACCCCCGAATAAACGGCCGCCTGTCAGGCGTTTTCCTGCGCGACGCGTGTGTGCGAATACCCCGGGCTTACATCGCTCCATTATTCTCGACTCGTCCCGCCTCGCCTCTTCGAAATTCGCAATCATGGGCGAGCCCGGGGCGCGCTGTAAATTACACTGACGATGTTTTTACGCGTTTCCTATTGTCGCCTCCGGCAGTCGGACGGTGATCGTCCTGGTAAAACGGAGCTAATGAATTTCAATTATGTTAGCATAGAAAATGGCCGGTACAAGGGATCTACCTGATAGAATTCATCGGGCGTGACGATGAAGTCACATTTCCCTCTCTATCGAGTTACTGTTACGCTCTTTGCTAATCAAGGAAGAAAGAGAGGGAGATAATTATAATAATAATTTTATCGAGTACAATTGGTACAAGTAATAATAATAGATAAGAGAGAGAGAGAGAGAGAGGCGGCTATAAATAATTATTTAATGCAGAGATGGAGAAGTATACTAAACGTCCACACACAAAAGCCGCAGCGGAAACTGCTGTTATAACTCTAAACCGGATTTAATAAATAAAATAGAAACATAAATCAATCCAATCGGATCTAACCAATTGGAATGAACAAGCATGAACAGAGTCTGGACGTACATACAATCGCGTTAAGTAGTGCGACGAAATATAGCTTATAACGGTCGACGGAGAAGGCAGGGAGGGAAGAAGCGGAAGGAATTGTTGGAGGAAGGAAATCTCGCTGGAAAATTACAAACAATTAATAAAAATTTTTAACGCGATTTGCACCAACGTGCACGCAGCATCGCAACATTTTGTCTGCGCGTCCGTTAAGATCTAAACATTCGCGCCCATTGGGCTTTAGCCTCTTAATATCGCCTAATTAAAAGCGTTTTTAATTAAACGCGCGATCTTGTTTTAAAACACCCGCGGCGTGTGCAACGATGGCCGCGGTATAATAATCCTGTATGCAAGCCGAGTTCTCCTGGGGAATTTTATTAAAGTCGGACATGGACCACACCGTGTGCCGGGAAAAGTTAACGGCGCTCACCTATCGTTTTATCTCGCTTCCGGGAGAACCCCACCTTCCCCTTCACCTCAGCCTATCATCGCGCCAAAAGACTCGAACGAACGAGAGAGATCGCGCGTAATTTCCCGAAAAAGTCGGTGGGAATTTGCTGAACAAGCTAATATCGCACCGTGTCGCGTTGCGATAGGGAAGAAACGTGCGCGGACGTAAGAAGAAACACCAAAAGAAGTAATCCTCGTTCGTCTCTCTCGACGGCTGACGGGAGAGAGAGTAAGTGGAGTCTTCGATCGATCCGTAGCCTCCAGACTGGCTCTCCTCCTGCGCCCGTCCGTCCTTCCTTCCTTCCTTCCTTTCTTCCTTCCTTCCTTCCTTCCTTCCTTCCTTCCTTCCTTCCTTCCTTCCTTCCTTCCTTCCTTCCTTCCTTCCTTCCTTCCTTCCTTCCTTCCTTCCTTCCTTCCTTCCTTCCTTCCTTCCTTCCTTCCTTCCTTCCTTCCTTCCTTCCTTCCTTCCTTCCTTCCTTCCTTCCTTCCTTCCTTCCTTCCTTCCTTCCTTCCTTCCTTCCTTCCTTCCTTCCTCTTTTCCTTCCTTCCTTCTATTAACATTGGGAGTCTGAGAACGGAATGCGCAAAAAACGCATTAAACTGTCGGCTCGGGCGGAAAAAACGGTCCCGAAAACGAGGGCGGAATTAATTTTCCCTTCTGTGTGCGCGACTGCGAGAGAACGAAATTGGCGCGCGCACGTGGCTCGTAAGAAGTGTCATTGGACTTTCGCAATCTTGTTACACTTCTGGTTAATATTCTTTTACACGTGCGAAATTATAATCCCCGCAAATTACCGCGACATCGGCAGGCGACGCGATGGTTCCTGCGAAATGTCAAATGTCGTATGCACATGTGTATGTATGTGTGTGTATTGGCCTTACGATGCACACTAAGAATATTGACAGTGTCGAAAATTGGATAATTAAGAGGTGGAGGACATGGCAGGTTCAACATTCAAGATATCGATTAGAATCGTGTTTGAGGCGTTCAAAAAATTATTAATCCTCGTCTAACAAGATTCGTTACACCTTTCATCATCAATCATAGTTACACTTTTCACAAAGTAAGTCAGATCTGACCGGTAGAAGCATTTTATAGCTTTCTTAACTAATTTTTTTGACTTTACACTTTTCTATTTCCACAATAAATTAGAAAATATTTAAAAGTTAATAAAATATATCGCAAAATATATAAAATATTTGGAAATATAAAATGCATTGTAGTATTTATTTGGACGGAAATCTCTTAAAACTCATTTGTTCGATATTCAACTATTTTCTTTTTAAGAAAAAATAATAAGGCGAGTGTATTATTGAAATTTCCGGAAAAGTGGCGCGACAATGTGGCGGCCTTGATTATTAAGGAGTTCGTTCGATTCGACGTTACGTTCGATGTGATTAATAATTAAAATCGCGCTTGGACGAGATAAATCCGTGCGGTGGAAAGTACGTTTTATTTGTACCTGGACAGCCTGTTTGTCTCGTCGGAGTGAAAGTGACGAGAATGATTGTAAACGAGCACGGACGAGTAACTAATAACGAACGGGCTGAGTAATCTTAAAGTCGCCTGTCATGTGGATGTGGGTCGATCGTGCACGCGGCGTTTACGCGCACATACTGTCGTTGTCGGCGGGACGTGAATCCGCTCGGTGTGTCTGACTCCGCCGACAATGCCGTCCCTCATCTCATGAATGTTCACACGCCACTGTAATTCATCTGGAGTTGCAGCTGCCACCCAGGGCCGTGGCTCTGAACGAAGAATCCCGACTTGGGGCGGACGCGCGCGCCGTT